TTTCCTTCCAAAGTTTGTTAGGAGGTTCTTGGAGTGTTTATGTCCAGTGAGTGAGTTTCATCGTTCCCTCAAACTTCTGTCTGAGATGTTAGTTGATAGTGTGGATTCCTATGCCACAGAAGGGCTCGGGTCCTATCAGCGTCACAGCAGCCCCTTTTCTTGCAAGGGCAGCCGCTTTCTCGTTGCCTTCTACTCCCACATGTCCTGGGACCCAGCAGAAACTGACTTTGTTATGCATACCTAATTTGTTTAATTTAGTTTTGCAATTCACCACCATCTTTGTGCTAATGATGTTTGAACATAGAGCTTTGATGGTTGCTTGGCTGGCATGATATGATCTCTCGATTGCGTTGACCTCCGCTTGGAAGATACTGGTGTATTTTCCCATGGGTTCTGAGTATTTGGTTCCCGGACTGAATACTCCTGGTCCCGTTCCTTCTTGCGTTCTAGATCCGTCTGCGTGCCGGTAGATCGTGCACATTTTTAAAGAAGGTGTTTTTTCTCTCTTTCCCATTCTTTTTTGGTACCTAAGTTTATTTGGAAATTTTGTTTAAACTCAAACATCCTTGGGTCATCTTGGGGCTATGAGTATCGGACGGTCTTTCATTAGACGGTTGCTAACTCTCCATTTTAGTTTTATTCCTATTGGAGGTTTCTCTTTGATGATACAAATAATACTTTTCTTGCTGTTCTCATATCATGTGGTGAAGATCGCTCGATAGTTGTCTTAGTTATTTGAACAGCGAAATCCTTACGCCCCTGGAGGATTATCTTCAACTGCAGCACTCTGTTTAATTAATCTTAAGTGTATTATTTTTTAAACTGTTCCTCTTGTGGCCTTTCGTTTTTTTATTTCTGCTGATTAGTTCGTTCCGTAAAAGCATTAAGCCTTCATGGCGTCGTGTACGAAGGCCGAAGCAAAGAAACCCAGCGAGACTAAACGGACTAGACCTTGCATTAACGAAATCTGTACACTATTTTCAGTATGAGACCAAAAGCCGACTTTTTTCCTGCCTCGGATTCTTAGGCACTTCAGAGAAGAACGAGATGTATAGCGCAATTAGAATTTTTCTAAAACATGTTCAGCAAAAGGCAGACTAATGCGTTCCTAGAAAGCATTAAATCCTTTTTATATTTTTTTACTAATGAAATTCATTTGGGATTCGTCTACGCTTATCATAAGTGGGCCTTGCGATTTAAAAAGACGATAGCGGTGCTTCAAAGTTCCGAAATAATATTAAAACCACGTGGCCTTTCTAGCAACTCGTGCCTCTCCCGCATAACGCATCAACGCCCATCAATTACACACAAAAAAAAAATATAATGAATGGACATTATTATGAGCAGCTTGATTACATCAGGAAATTAGATACATGACGGAGAAAACCGTAACATTTCCCCGTTGATCTGGTACCGATTGAGAAATTCAGTTTCGGTCCGTCTAATCTCGCGTTTTCCCGATGTTACATTGCACGCGGCCATTGGTTCTTTGGTTTAATTCCGCTCGAATAATATTTAATGCAACATCATCATTCTAGCGTAACTATTGCAAAGGAGACATTTATATCATCCTAGTGTACAATTTTAAAGATGTTTTAGGGCATGTTTCTATTGCGTGTCAAAATTTTTTTAGAAAGCGTCACGAAGCAGAAAGTGAAAAAGCTCGATTTTTAAACCTTAGAGGACTGTGGATAGGCTTCTGTTTGGTTTTATAAGGCCGTTTTGATTGATTCTCCAAGCCTAATATATCAATTTATCCGGTACCGACCGCTCTTTCAAACTGGAATTTGCATAATGGCCCATCACTCATTTGCTTTCTTTTCTTTTCTGGTTTTTCTCCCCTTCCGTGACTTACTTAGCAAGTCTGCTCCTTGCGAGTCAGGTCTTGTTGCAAAAATAAAAATGCACAAATCATTAGCTTCCATTATTTACCGAGGTGGTAAACATAAATTAAATTCAAGGTAGAAAAGATTTATTTTTTAATCACATCAGTCCAAACAGAGACAAGTCTCCAAAATAGGATAAATAAAAGACTCACACTTTTTTCAATCAATATTATCATGTCACAGTAATAAGTAATTGGGTATCAGCTTTATTTTGTTTAACTAGATTTTTTTCTTTTAATATAAAAATGACATCAAGAACAATTATAATGGTCGCTTATTTCAGGATTTATTTCTGTATTTCATATTTTGAATTAATCCAGATTGAGAATCGAATCAATCTGTTTAATACAAGTGCCACCAAGTCTGACCAACTCGAAAAATCATGAGCCACGATGCACCAGTTGTAGAAAGCATAAAACCTTGAAAATCTTAAGATCATCAACAAAGAACTGTAGAATTTAATAGAAATGGCCAAATTATTGACGAAGACATTGAACAAAAACCCTATGGAACACCAGATCTAACTTCAGCTTCATCAGACAAGAAACCATCAGGCATGAAAGGATCTTCCAACAACAAAAAAAACCAACTCAACACAAACACAAACCAAAGAATTGACTCAAGACCTTCTCTCTTATTGCTCACAGATTTTTCTTTTCATGTACTCTGGGATATCTTCCGTGGTCTTATATGAGAAAAAAGGTTTGTGCAATCCTGGGTTATAATTGGATTCATTACACAGTATGTCTTATGCAGGGGAAGAATGTTGTCAAGCTTAGTCATAAATCTTCTTCACGGTGGATTGCTCTAGGTCCTTCTTATGATGATAAACCCTTGGACTGACTTTTATGACTCACTGAACAGCACTGATAAACTCAAAACCAACAACTCTGTGATTCACCTCGAGTCTCCACATCAACTCAGACTCTCTAGTACTTATGAGCTTTGAACGAAGCAATTTTGTACGATATTAATGACTGATTAAAATCCAAAGAGACTTTTCATTTATATAAAAGAGGTTAAAAAGAAAAAGTCATTTAATATTCAGAAGAACTGAGCTCTTTGCCCGAAAATAGAAGTAAGGCAAATAAAACAGAACACATATTATTAAAAATAGGTATGTCCCAATACCTGTTTAAATGTGAGATTTCTGTGTGTCGCCTGCATGGTGTTAAATCTGTAATTCAGTCCTTACTGATCATCCTGGTCTGCCTATCCTGACACAACAGTGACGATGGTGAATTGCCTGCCGTAGGATTGGTAGCAAATAAATTGTCTATTTAACTGGTTTTAATTTAGTCTAAAATTAAATAACTGATAAAATTTCACTGAGTGATAAAAAAAAAACTGGCCTCAAAATATTCAATTCTGTACAGAGTATTTCCTCTTGCATTGATTGTATTGTACGCGGCATCGATTTTAGGAGGTTTTGAATGAGGTGGTTTGGAATATTTTCATACTCCAACACACCATTCTTAATTCCTGCAAATTCTCCGGCATCACTAGGAAACCACTCCAAACATTGAATTGAAGCTCGTTCAAGTAGTCACCAATGATCTGTGGAAAATAAAACAGTCGCCAATTAGTGCCATATAAGGAACAGCTCATTTCAATAAGACATATTCATTGTATTGCGCAGCTCGATGAAGATCAAGTTTGAACGACCTTCCGTAGAAATGCCTGTCTAAACCATCACACCACCACCTCCGGAGTCAAAATGTTGCAATGGTATATCGCTATCCTGTTCTTCTCCAAACCCTTTCTCAGCCATCAGAAGACCTCAAACAAAACCTTATCTGAAAACAAAATTTTAGCCCAATCTTAACTGAGCTGTTCTGTGACTTGTCAGAAGTCATGGATCTGTGGCAGGCCTTCTCTTGTGTAATCCAGCTTCTGAAAGACTTCGCCTTACAGTGTGTAAACTGACATTAACATTCTAACTTGTGTAAGTCATTGCTTGATCTCAACAGTGGAATGTCAATTACAGAGTACATTCGATATAAAATGATCATCTCTCTGAGATGTGACACAATGATGACCTGATCCATGCCTTCTCGGGTAAGCTACAGTATCTTTGTAGCGATGGAAGACACTTTGGACAGTAGTTCTGGAAATGTTAAGCACCCTGGCCACATACGCTTGACTTTTCATCTTCCAAGGAAGCTACTATGTTAGCCAAATCTATATCACTTAAAACCATCACTCAAACAATTTTAAAATTTAAAAATGCTACAAATTAAAAAAAAAATCAAACCACAGGAATGTTAGAAAGAAGCTTTACAGGAAAAAAAAAAAAAAAAAAAAAAAGAGAGAGATTGACTAGTCAAAGATTTATTTACAAATCTAATGGTAAATACAAAATTTTTTTGCTTCTCAGTGTAGATGGAATTGTTCCAATTGTGCGAATTTGAAATTGTTTCTTTCAAGATAATTTGGATAGATGTTCGGTCTTGAAGCTAGACAAATTGTTTATTTAAAACACTGTCACTGGCATAAAAAAAACCCTCAGTGAAATTGTTATTAGCTTGTTCATACATTTCATCTTTTCCATGTCAGCGATGACTTCACCGTCTTTGATGTTTTCATACAGATAACCATGTAAATTTGATTATATTTAATGTAGAGCGATGGTACTGCAGGATCTAAGGGAAACTTCAATACTCTCAGTTGTTTACCCATTTGGAAAGTAGTCTTGCCTCTTAAATATTTAATTGGTTGAATTTTTAAAACGCAAATTGCATTAAAATTAGGAAAACCTTTTGAAAACTCCTTTGGATTATCATCTTTTCACAATCAGTTGATACTACCTATTGCTTAATTTGTTTATTTTAATAATTTTCCACTGTTCTAATTAAAAATCAGTGAAGAACAAAATTGGAAATTGGAGCTCTTTGTCCATCATCCTACATTCATTAAAATGCAAAGATAAGGATGAAACAAAAAAAATTATCAAACTATATTGCTCATATTCTGAATTATTCTATATCTGAGATGTCGTAACTCTGAACAAAATGAATAAATTCAAATAAGGGTGTACCATATATATTCCTTTGTTGTCTATTTTTTTTTTCTTATAAAAATGCTTAAATAAAAGCTAAATTGAATTGTTTACAGGAGAGCAGGTGCGAATATTAAGCTACAACAAGTCAGGAGAATGGTGCGAGGCCCACTCGACCTCGGGCCAGGTTGGGTGGGTGCCTTCCAATTATGTGACACCAGTCAACTCATTGGAAAAGCATTCCTGGTACCACGGACCAATATCCAGGAATGCGGCTGAGTACCTTCTCAGCTCGGGAATAAACGGGAGCTTTCTCGTTCGCGAGAGTGAGAGCAGTCCCGGACAGAGGAGTATATCACTCCGGTATGAAGGGAGAGTGTACCATTACAGGATAAATGAAGACCCGGAAGCAAAGGTGAGCATTTTTATAAAAAAAAGTTGATAACTTGTATTTCAATCTTAACCTTTTTCTAGGTGTTTGTCACGACAGAAAGTAAATTCAACACTTTGGCCGAACTAGTACACCACCATTCGTTACACTCAGATGGTCTTATCACCCAACTATTGTACCCAGCTCCTAAACATAATAAACCAACTGTGTTCGCTCTCAGCCCCGGTAAGAAAATCACTATAAAAAAACCTTTCTGAAAACAAAGAATTAAATAGAATACAAATATTGAAAATAAACCGTACTAATTAAAAACTGTTGAAAGTTGTATAAATGATGTTATTTTCCTTCAGAGCCTGATGAATGGGAAATAAACAGGACTGACATTGTGATGCGCCATAAACTGGGTGGCGGACAATACGGTGATGTTTACGAAGCCGTTTGGAAGAGATATAATAAGACTGTAGCTGTTAAGACACTCAAGGTAATGTCACTTATATAAATATTAATGACTCAATCTTATTATTATTGTATTTGTAATTTTAGGAAGACACAATGGCACTTAAAGACTTTCTTGAGGAAGCGTCAATAATGAAAGAAATGAAGCACCCTAACCTTGTCCAGCTTTTAGGTAAATATTTAATTATTTTAAGAGTATTTTTTAAAATTCAAATATATGATTGAATATTTAAATCATGAAAAGAAAAAAGTAAGATTTCTTGTTAATTTTTATAAATTTATTGTTTCAGGCGTCTGTACAAGGGAACCTCCTTTTTATATAATAACAGAGTTCATGAGCAAAGGCAACCTCCTAGATTATCTTAGGCTAGGGAATAAAGAGCAGATTAATGCAGTGGTTCTTATGTACATGGCCACGCAGATTGCATCGGGAATGAGTTACCTCGAGTCCAGGTTCTTCATCCACAGGGATCTGGCTGCGAGAAACTGTCTAGTCGGGGACAACCACCTTGTCAAAGTCGCAGATTTCGGCTTGGCAAGGCTAATGCGTGACGATACCTACACAGCGCACGCAGGAGCCAAGTTTCCCATTAAGTGGACTGCTCCGGAAGGTCTTGCATACAATAAGTTTTCAACAAAGGTGAGTAAAATGTTTCATATCCTCTGTATTATCTATAAGTTATATTTCCATTTGTAGTCTGATGTTTGGGCATTTGGGATCCTCCTATGGGAAATCGCTACATACGGAATGTCACCTTATCCTGGTGTAGACCTCTCGGAGGTGTACCACATGCTAGAGAAGGGCTACCGGATGGAGTGCCCACAGGGCTGCCCACCCAAGATTTATGACCTGATGCGTCAGTGCTGGCAATGGGAGCCAGGCGATCGACCCACCTTCCAAGAGATTCATCACGCCCTTGAGAACATGTTTCAGGAATCGAACATTATTGAAGGTGGACATCAATTTTAAATTTTTTCAGTTAGATCACAGATTATTAAACACTATTGTGACAATAAGAAAAAATTATAATATTGTATAAATGGCATCCACAGATAAATAGGGTACTTGCATGATTAAAAGCAAAATCATTGTGCTTATTTCTTACTACAGAGCATAGACAGTAATTTTAAAGTTGTTTTTTTCCATCAAATTAACCTTTTCTTTAATGTATGAAAAAAATAATAACAGGAGATGGCATTAAATAAAAGCATAATTCTTGAATATTTGTAATTTTGGTTTAAATATATAATAATTGGGCTCTTTTGAGACCATATGAAAATTAATTATAATTATTTAAAATAAAAATGGTCAATTTGAAGCTAAAAAAGGTAAATTTTAATTTTAAAAAGTTAATTTGATATTAAAAGGGTTAATTTGAAGTTAAAACGGTTTATTTGCAATAAAAAGGGTTAATTTGAAGTTTAAAATGGTTAATTTGAAGTAAAAAAGATTAATTTGAAGTTAGAAAATGTTAATATTAAGTTAAAAAGGTTTATTCGCAATTAAAAAGTGTTAATTTGACTAAAAAGAGCTATAATCTAGTAAACAATCTCAATAACTAATTATTGGGAAATTAATTGTAAATTAAATAATTAATGAAGTGGTTAGGGTCGTATTTCGGTAGGATAGCAATATTCAAGTAAAGCTTTTTTTTTTTCTTTTATTATAGAATATAACAATATTTCAATGACCTTTCCATAAAAATTCATAATAAAATTTAATTATTAGCAACTAACTGCCCATCTGTAGTGTCAAAGATAAATTTTAAAAAACCCAAGAAAAATTATTTAAACAATTTATATGCAAGTACCCCATCTATTTATTGCAAAGAGTCTGAAGATTTAAAATCCGAAGCGGAGACATGTTTTGGCTTAAATATTTTTGCATGGCTTCAGAGGAAATTATGCCTTTACAAATTATAATGGTAGATGTACAGTGTAAGGGTAGAAATTTTAACTTGTAGTGGCAAAGAAAATGCAAAACGGCGAGCTGTGATGGCGGTGCTGCATGCGAAACACGGTGGTAGTGATTTGGCCCTTTTCTCACTGGGTCTCCCCCTTTTGTTTATTAAAGTAAGCCAACAAAACTGAATAATATCTGCTTGAATGTCTTGCTACTTTGCATCATTTCACCATACCCATCGCAACTCTTTTGCCAAACTAAAGATTTAAAATCATTTATCTTACGCCCTCCATCATCTTTTCCGTTTTGTCTTTAATATTGTTTTACATGCCTCCATATTTACTTTTTTTTATATATTAGTAGTGTGAATTGTGAATTATTTCCTTTAATAAACTATTTCATTACTGGATGTGAGCCCTAGTTAAATAATCTCCAAATGTTATTTTTAATTTATTTTTTTATGGATACACAGAGGTTGAAAAACAGCTTCAGGGATCAACGACACCTCAACTCCCGTACAAGAAACCACATAGTGGTAGCACAGGGAACATCCACAGTATGGTTCTTATGGCAGACCAAGTACAGCGTAAGTATTTTCTGTTTAATTAATCCCCAAGTCAGGAATAACGTTGTATTGATTTCCAGCTGAGTCGACACTGCCGGTCAACAAACTTTCTACATTCAGCAGTGTCAATTCGAACAGTAGCGGCCAGTTGAAGAACAACAGCATGGTCCAACTGCGTAGGACGACTAATCGTAAAGGAAAGACTGCCCCTGCCCCACCAAAGAGGACAAGGTCAGTTGGACGGAATTAAAAATACGTAATAATTAAAGGTTTAACAAAAGTCAGGTGTTGAATGCTAAAAAAACCATGAACCATTCCATAAATATCTTCTAAATAAGTTCTTATAATATAATATTTTTGAGCTTTCACTGGAAAAAAATTACTTAAGGTAAAATAAAAAAAAATAGTAAAATGCTTATGGACATAAAAAAATTAATATGCTTCTACTCGGCTAGTACATAGTGCAGAGTTTTCAGTGAGTGTATTGCTAAAAAATTGCATAAACATTAAACTCTGAATACTTACTGAGATCACTCTATTTTCTACTTTTTAAACAGAATTGAGACCATCATAATTCCTTAGTTGTTTGCTTATGACTGTTGTACTTCTTGCTTAGAGTCATCACATCATCTGAGAAAACAAGTTGCTATATATTTTTTGTGTATGAAATCATTTGTATTCTTCATCACCACTAAAAAAATCAGCCAAAACATTTACATACTTCGGCAAACTATCAGCCTGAAATTTAAAACAAAACTTATTTTTATTATATTCAAAAACATTGGGTTGGTGATTAAGTTTTATAATTTGCTGTTTAAAAGAAAATGTTTCGGGTGGATAGCATACTTTTTCTGATCAGTTACTCTTTTAACTTAACTTGATTTAAGCACTGACTTATCTCTGGAGCTTTGAAATTGGTAGAATCTTGAATTTTTTCAACTCACGATCTCTACTCTTTTTTTTCTTTTTTTTATACCAGGGACTGGAGGAGTTCCTCCCTCCTGAGCACTGCAGTAAGCTGTACAGCTTATTGTACTTTATCCCTGGCTCCATATTTTGGGGGAGGGCTCGCAACACAAATGTGAACTTGAGCCCCCGTTCTTCCATCGGAGAAACTCATTTTTGAAGGGGGTTGGGACCAAATTCAGGGTCGCTGAGATCCGATCCCGCTCCTTCCATTGATGAGTGCCGTGTCAATTTCTTTCATTTGCGGCCACAGGCGTCAGAAAAGTCCAGAGGCGATGGTGGGGATTGAACCCACGACCGCAGTATCTACTAGCCGAGAGTCTGACACCTTAACCACTCGGCTACTGCGCCCCCCTCCCCACTATCAGCCTGAAATTTAAAACAAAACTTACTTTTATTATATTCAAAAACATCGGGTTGGTGATTAAGTTTTATAATTTGCTGTTTAAAAAAAAATGTATTGAGAGGATAGCATACTTTTTCTGACCAGTTACACTTTTAACTTGATTTAAGCCCTGACTTATCACTAGAGCTTTGAAATTGGTAGAATCTTGAATTTTTTCAACTCACAATTTCTACTCTCCTTGTTAGTTAAATCTATTAGTTTAGTCCTCATCAGTTGACTCAACTCTATTCGCTTCTACTCTTTAATCACTTTAGTCAGGTCTCAACTCTTCTAGACTTGCCTCTGCCCTTTACTCAGGTGTCTCTGGTCTCATCCCTTCTCGTCAGTTTATTCGTATCTCGACTCTCCTCAGTCAGTCGAATCTACTTGATTTACTTTTACTCTTTAATCAGGTTTTGACTCTAGTAGACACGCCTCTTCCCTTCATTCACGTCTCCCCAGTCCCATCCCTCCTCGTCAGTTGATTCTCCTTGTCTTGGGATTCTCACTTGATTCCTTTCTGCCCTTTACTCAAATATCCACTCTGATCAGTCGACTCTGCCCGATACTTCTCAGCCTTTTAACAATTGACTCTATTCCACTTGTTTCTGCCATTTTATTCTCAAGACCAATTTGTTTTTCCAATCCTCCCCTTTTACATAAGTCCCTAAAACAAGAGGGAAAAAGCAAATATCCGAGACCTGACGGTCAAAGCCCTTCTTGAGGTGTAATGACATCATGACCCTCTGACACTACATAATATACATGCAACACTCCACAATTCCTGGGAGTTTCCATTATGCAACCCTCCCTTCCCAGGTCCCGTTTTAATAGATCTCAGTTGTAGGTATAGGCCCATCCAGTTCACCCAATCCCAAATTATGACTATGAGAATTTTCAATATTAAATATAATAACACCACCTTTTTGGTTATTTCCTGTCGTTTCTGCAACCTCTAGCATTTTGGAAATGTTCATTTCCCACTGGGATAGCAATAAGTGATATTTAAAGCATAGCGTTAAAAAAAGAAGTACAAAATCCCCAATAAACTATTGCTTTATTTTAATAATTACAGCTCTTATTTACTACAGCTTAATTACCTTAATTCATATTCAGACAAACCTACTTACAATAATTTAAGTGAACAACTGTTATAATGTGACTAGTATTTCAAGCTCTTCTAGCAACAATTACATTACTTCTTCAGTTTACTAATAATTTTTTTTCTGGGCTATGTTTATTAAAAACAAAGTTTTCAGTGTATAAATTAAAAATGTATAAAACTTAATTAGCAGCCCCTTCTTCATATTATTTTTACAAAAAAAAACTAAATATTTTGTATTGATACTCAACCTTCGATAATTTTTTTTTAATTAGTTTTAAAAACTGCATGAAACATACTGTTTATTAGCTATGTTTATTTGTTTACAAACAAAATGACAAAATTTGCTATCCATGTTGTTTAAGAGGAATTGCAACATAATTTTACACTATCATTAATACAGTATCAGTGAAAAAAATTTAAACGTTCGATAATTATTATAATTATTGTCAGGAATTATTTGTATGTATGATTTTTCCATTTAAAATGGCATTAGTTTTTGCTTAAATTTATTGATTTTAGTTCAGACTAGCTGTCCCTTTTTTGTGTGTATGTTTTCCTCTGAGTCGTTATTGATCCAATTTAAAAGTTGGCTATTATTATGTGATCATAGTGAATGACAAAGAGAACCCAATTTTCATACATCAGCTTTCTGTATATATATTTCAACCTAAACATTTGTAGTGCTAATTGAGAAATTAGTTTAGTAATCTTTAACCACCTTTCATTTAATTTGTATTTTTGTTCTATTTCAGTTTATTGTCTTCGTGTAGCTCTTTTCGAGATTCGACATATGCCGACCAGGAACAAGTACAAGATCCTAATCCTGAGGAGACGCAGTCAGCGTTAAATGGTATTGATCTCATTTTCCAAGGTAACAAACACAAGCGCTCTATCGCACCTTGTGTTTGTGTGACCATTAACAAATAGATTTTTTTTTTTTTTTAATGTTGTTTCTATGATTAAAGCATGATAATCATGGCTGGAATGAGTAAAATCTAGTGATCTTGATAATATTTAAAATGGTTGTTACATTTAAATTGAACTTTTTGAACTGCAGTGGAGACCCGCAAATCTGAATATCTGTTTGGAAAATAAAGGTTTTTTTTTTTTTTGTATTTTCCAGTTAGATTAAAATGGTATTAATAAATTGTAACTTTGCCTGCTTCAAACTCTACTCCCAATTGCTGCTTTTTGTCCTTTCGAAAATTGTGAGGTCTTTGTGGTGATGACTTTTCTTTGTACGTTTTGGTCTGCCAGAAACATTTTGTCTTCTCGACTTCAGTGTTCGGTTTCAACCAACATTATTAAAAACTGAAGATGAGGAGAAGCCGAAATGGATCTAAAAGCCAAAACTGTGAGGATAGGCAGGCCAAAAAGATCCGAAAGGATTTAATTGTCCTTTTCAAAACTCCCGGCTGATTTTTCAACATACGTGTGTGTATATCACCTGTTCTGGTGTGTCTATTTTACTGCTTGCTTCTGCATTATTGAAGTTATTTGGTTAAGCAAACAGGGTCCTAGTCAGATCGGACTAGCGGGGCTGGTTTTTTTTTTTTCCCCCTTCCCTCTTGGTTTTTAATAAAAACACTTTAGGCTGTTATATCGTATATTATTAATTGTTATTTGAGCCTTTAAAAAAAGTTGGTTTTTTATTTTATAGTTAGTTGTTTGTTTGTGTTTGTGTATTAGGTTAGCACTGAATTATATATTCTATAAAGTATGTGCATGTATTTGAGTATCTGATAAAATAAAATATTTTTTTAAGGTATTACAAAGGAATTACAAAGCCTTGGTCAAAAGACTGATAGTGAAGACCAGATGACTCCTGATACTGATGATTCTGGTGCACATTCTTACCCTGGGGAAGGCTTTAAGAGGTCGACTAAACAAGAAACACCACCAAAGGTATAAAAACAAAATTAAACATTACATTTTTACTTTTCTATAAAAACAAATTACTGTATAGGTCGTGCAAGTAGCAGCGCTTGAGGTGCATAACGTGCGAAAAGCCATCAATAGATATGGTACGTTGCCAAAAGGGGCTCGTATCGGAGCATACCTTGAGTCTCTTAGGCAGAATCATATGCCGGAGAACAACAACACTTCTGGCTGTGAGACACCGCCATCCCAGAGATCGCCGAGGAGCAAAGTTCAGACTCCGGGGCAGATGATTAGGAGTAACTCATCCGGTGGATTCCAGCACCATCACCAACCGAACTCTCCTCGCAGTGTCAGGGGACGAGCTGCTCAGCCTAGCCTTGCCGACCTCGAATTCCCTCCACCACCTCCACCGGAAGAGCTCCAAGAACAACCAAGCTACAGGTGAATAAACCAACAAAAACAAAATTTGTACCTGTTTTTTGTCTGTGTATATAAATAATCAGAAAGATTCTGGCTGCTCAAGAATTCCAAACGAAATAAACAAACTCGCAAACTAAAATGTCTCATTCAAATCGGAAATACAAATCAATAAACTTAATGATCCAAAACACACAGAAATAAATCGACTGACTTCAGATGCTGGCTGATTACTGAATTTTTGATTCTTGTTTCTCTAAATGCTGGTTTTTCCAAATACAGAAATCTTTGTTCAGCATTTCCTCAAATAATTAACGCCAAATAACTAGATTAGCTAAAATAAAAGAGAAGTCTCAGAAAAATCAAACGTTCAGTAATACAAGTGTCGGCCAAAATATCTTCATCTGGAAATTGTAACATGTAGGACCGGCTTTGCTCAAATGGGGGTCGGTTTTTCATAACGTTTTCAGGCAGTTAGGTCATGGCTAAAGCATGTTCATGCTAAAAAAAATTAAAGTCAATTGTTTCAGCAAACTCATGGACTGGCCCAATTGTGCCTTACAGGAAACAGCAATCGAGGAAAAGCTTCTTCTTTCAAATATACTTACCTATCCTTTTGACCAAGGGAAGAAGGCCGAGTCCTTGAGAATCGCAAATCCAGAAAACCGTAACTTTTCCTGTCTTGACCACTCGACCCTCTTGTCTCTTCAGGTTGTTTTAAGATATTTATTTAGAAATCGATAACGGTCACTAATCACCACACACGTTGTTTTAAGAGTTCAGCTTATCTCCCTCGTTTCAGCCCACCATGTGCCGTGCCACCCCCTGATACTGGTCTTCTTCCCCACCAAAATTATAACTTTAAAAAAAAACTAAAAATTACAGCTAAACTTTTTTTTTTTTTTTTTTAGGGGGTAGAAGAAATATAATAGATGTAACTACATTTGACCTGTTTTTTTCAAACCATCCAGCTTTATTTCAATGTATGTGTCTATCACCTGCTCAGGTGTGTCTATCAGAACGTTTTAATGCTTGTTTTTGTATTATTCAGTTAATCCAAACAGTACTCAGTACCAGTAAGTTAAGACTAGCACACGACATTGGTTATTACAAATATGATTATTTTGTCATGTGTGTTTATTCGTCACTTTTAGAATCACTGAAAGCCACGGCGTAACAAAAAATGCCACCCTTTGGTTTGGGTTGAATCGAGAAGAAATCTTTCGCCGGTACTTTGCTTTCTTTGTGCTGCACTTCCAACTTCAACATGTTTTGAACGGACAAATTGTGTTTCTTAAGTAAATCTGAATAGGTTTTCGTATCCTGGAAATGAAATCGTGTATTTTTATATGGCGATTTCAATTAATAAAGGACTCACGATGTAATGGCTCAACTCCTTCAGCTCAAGTGGCGGGTTCGCATTAAATGGGAATTGTAACGTTCCCACCTCTATGTTATCCTTTAACAATTGTAAGTACAAGGTCTGTTGCTTCATCGTCTCGATCCGATTGCTCAGGCCTAACTTCTCAACCCAAAGGATTGCATAATCCTGCTCTGAAATGTTACTGAAATGAGCACTGTTTCCTTTTTTTCCTTAAAAACGTACAATTCAATAAACCAATAAATAAATAATATAGATTGTAAAAATGGAAAAATATCCAGTTTCAGTAGGTGTGAATACAGTACAAGCACAATCGTTGGCATAAATTTGAAAAAATGTTTTAATACCTTCACTGAGGATGTTTTTCCTTCTATCCAGTTGTACCTAGATAGTTCTTAGATAGCATTTGACTTTTATTTCTAAGTTTAATGTTTTAACACTGTTGCCTATTCGTAAAACCATTTTTTCAGAATGCCAATTTCGCCAAGTATTTACATTTTGTGCTTGTGGTTCGGTAAACATTTTTTTCTGAAGAGGCATTTAGAGAAACACAATTGTATTTTTAATTAAACATACCGTCGGTTTGTAATAAAGGAATATTCAAATGAATGCTCCTCTTGAGGTCTTCTGTTAAAGTAATCAGTGCTCTTTTATATTTTATGTAATGGATACTCCTATAATTATCATCTTCACTTTCTTCTTTTTTTATTGACGATTCGGCTCTCACTCTTTCTGCACTGGCATATTTGTTGTTTTCGGGAAAAGTATCCAAGAATTTCGACTGAGACGATGTATATGTGGTTATACTGTCTTCTAGGACTTTTTTCCCTTTTTCAGTCTTTAACTGAGCTGTGGTTGTCATTATTTTTGTATGTAAATTTAGAGAGTAAATGTTAAACATGTGTTTCTTTAATTTGTGTAATTATAAAAGAGGTCTCAGTTTGATATTTCTTTCTAATGGTTATATGTATATTGCTGAATTCAGCTATTCATTATTAATTATTAGTAAAGGGTCAAATATTGTTTTTAATATATTTTAAAAGTATATTTTATTACCTGTGGTTTTTTTTTTTTTTAAATATAATATTTTGAATTTCCAGTCCTAAATACAGTCTCAGATAAATTTATTAACCAAAACATTCATGAAACCGTAAAACATTCTTTAATTTATGCTTATCTACATAACAAAGCTGAAAATGAGGCAGTACTGTAAAGACTGTATTTTTTTAGTAATAATTTTATTTATTAGACAACTAAAAATTAAACAGCAGTTTTTATTTTTGCAGAAGTGTAAACTATGTGATGTAATAAAACAGCTTTTAAGGGGTCTGGCGATTTTTGTAGTTAGGGGGAATTTTTTTTTTATAACACTTAAGGTTAATTACTAGTACTCCAGGTTATACGAATGTTACAATTGAACCGAAATAAACTGAAAATTTGTATATGATAATTGCTCAACTTTATTTTTAGGTTTGGTGTGAGTTTGAGAAAGAGGGAACCATCGACGGATTCTTGCAGTAGTGCAAAATCAGAACCTGCCAGGAAAGGATCGAGACCGAAGGAAAAACCTCCTAGTCCTCCGAACCAGCAGCCTGAGAGTAGTCCAGAGGAACTTTTAAAGACGGCTCTCCCTGGGATGATGAAAGAGATGATGGAACTCAAGATAAGCAACGACAAAGAAAAAGATAAAGAAAAGGAAAAAGAAAAAGAGAAGGAAAAAGAGAAGGAAGAGAACAACATAGACTTCAAGTCCCATCTTAGAAAAGTCAATAACAAATGTGAAAGCAACAAGGTTGTAGATGACATTGCGGATGTCAAATCTAAATTGAGAAAGGTGGAAGTCAAACAAGTCGATGAAGAGGAGGACGAAGATAAAAGGAGGAGTACCGGAAGCATAAGCAGTCTGAAGAAATTATGGGAGGGTGAAAGCCCGCCTGAAGTCGTTAAAGAGCGCAAATGGCCGCCTGAGGAGAAACCAGCCGTCCCGACCAAGCCTACTGTCAGGCCCGTTGTGCAAAAAGCGCCTGCTATCTACGCCACCCCCGGAGGCTTGGCAAACGTTATCGAAATATCCCAAGCTCTCGAAACGAGCATAAACAACCTGAAGATGGCTTCGACAGTGACATCGGCCAACTGGCTTCAGCTGTCCGAGAAGGTCGGCCTGTTCCACAGTTCCTGTTTGAGCTATGTCAACACGGTAGCACCGCCTCACACAAGATTTCACCTCATGGAGCTCTTGAACAGAGTCGAATCTCAGGGGAGGCAGCTTAGATCCGCTGGAACCAAAAACCAAGCGGACAACACCAAACTCCTCGAAGAACTTCACAACACCCTCAAAGACGTTGTGAACGCTGTACAAAGATAGAAGTTTTCTTGTATATATATTTATATATACATATATACATATGCATATAAATTTGAAATATATTTTATCAGTAATTTTAGGTAAATAAGAGGATTAAAGTCCTGGGTAACATTTTGGAGAAAAGAAAAATTTACCAGGAAAAGAATTAAAATTTGTCAACATAACAAAGGCATTTCTTTAATGGGAACGTGTCTTTGTTCCCTGTGATATTATGTACATATATTTTCCTCTCCCTTGTGAACCAAAAAATTTCCCTTACCTCAAAAATTATTTAGATATGCTCAAGTGTTTTTAAGTTGTGTGCCACAGTATGAACAAAAATATTTGCGTTAGTCGGGAATGTGAGTTGGAGTGATAATGCCGAAATGTGAGATTTATTGTTTTTATTATTAATTATGTTTGTTCGTACTCATCCATCTTGGTATTTTATCATATTCTTTAAGAATTTCTTAGAGAGATGACTTTTTCTCTCTATCTCTCTGAGAAAATAAGTGTATGCTAGTCTGATTTTTGTTTAATTTTACTTTTTTCATTAATATATCATTTTAATATAAAAATACTGTACATGAATGTCTTTTTTTAATCATAAAAATAGAAAAAAATATGCTACAATTTATTTCTCTTAGAGTATTTGACTTTGTTGTACTTTTAACTTTTTTTTATAAATATTGTAGAAAAACTGTATTTTTAAAATTTGTAGATTTTAATAAAATTATATCACACAAATTTCAAAAAAAAAACCCGGTGTACTGGTTCAACCAAAATATCGATAGAATATAGAAAAGTTGCCTATTCGGCCTACTCCAGACATTATTTTTATGTACATTTTTGACGTTTCAGTTTAAAAAATAAAAAAATACCCATCCATCACAAATATTTTGTCAATGAACGTGCATTTATAATAGAAATAATTTTTTAAAAAACTCTTGTAAGTGAATAGTTTTATTGCATTTAATATTTATAAGTTGATTGCACTAAGAATTTTGTTGGAATTGTACTTAAAATTCAACAAATCTATATCCAGAAATTTTGCTAAAGAAAATGAACTTTGGTTCCAATTAAATCTTAACAAATTCTCATTATTGTAAAACAATGATTTTAAGAACGATTAAATGCTTAAAAAAGATAAAATTTACTCGAAATTTAACAATTGGCCTAAAATGTATTAAAAGGTTAATATTATTACATTTTTTATTTATTATTTTTTATATCAATGAAATGTTCAAAAATATGATGGTGGATGGTGCAGCTGAAAGTCAAAAATTGCAAATGAAAAAATAACGACTGTGATATTAGGTTAAACTTTTATTATATTCTATAGATAAGCCGCTGGGATTAATATTCATAAAGTACATACACTGAATGTGAGAAATAATTGTATTATTATATATTTTTCATCTTTAGTATTTTTTAATTTAAAAAAGTCCTATCCCATTTTATTATTATTATGTTTTTGAAAAAGAATAGTTATTAAGGATATGGTGAGAAATATCGAATTTGGTGATTGCTTTTTACATTGTATATTGATCGGTTTTAAAAAGAATCTTTTTGTGAATTATGTTAGGCCTTTTGTGACAACAGTTGGATAACGTAAAGCGAAAGTTAAGCTTTCTGCAGTCATTGATGATAAATTTGCCTTGTGTACAGATAATTTGCTGCGCTTTCAGTCGACCCTGATAGATGGACATTTAGCTAAATTCATGTTGGAAGATAGTTTTATTTTTGCATTCGTGTATGAAATAAAAATCTTAATATCGATAATACACTATTAAATGAAACCTCGATTTTCTGATAGGGTAGGAAATCTGTTCCTCATTCCGTTGATTCTTCTCATTTTAGCCAAATGTAATATAAAACTTTATTGAGCTATGGCTTTTTTCAAAATACTTGATGTGTAATAGAACATTTCACAAAGAAAATTGTAAATTGTAATTATTTTTGACTGATTCCAATGTATTTGTAATTTTTAACTGTCAATCACTTTTTGTATAAACATTCAACGGCAGAAATTATATCGCATTTATGTAATGTGTATTTTGTACTTGTCCTTAAAAAGTTGTATATTAAAAAAATCAAAACTTTTTTCAGGATGCAGTAATATTGTAATAATGTAAAGTGAAGACCATCTTGTATTAAACAAAAGTATTTAAAAAACAGTTGTTTGTATTGTGCAAAGCCTTATTTTCACTAATGAAAAATAAACTAGTGTAAGCAGCAAAGGTTGAATAATCTCTCTAAATTCTTGCTTCTCCCTAAGCAATAAGAAAGTAGTCAGCGAAAGTGCTTCGCTACCTAATGTGTAGGGTAATATGAGGTTCTAGAATTCAATAAATCAGAGAGTATATTTTTCAACATGTATTTTAAAACACTTCCATCTTTTAAATGTACACAAACAACAACAAAATTTTAATCAATCTAAAAAGTCAATGACAACTTTAAATGTGGGAGAAGTTTATTAAAAAATGGCCAAATGACACTTTCCACAAGTAGGAAACACAGCATCCCAAGCCTTTCTGGTTTCTCGACCGTCATCTTGATCCTAGGGTCACAATGGCTGGTCCTCGCTGGCCAAGTCCCATAAGGAGTGTAGCTGATTCTGTTCCAGATCGACTCCTAGAATCGACTGTTCTCTGCATGGGATGTCTTTGGTCTTGACGACTTTTGATTTCCAAATCATCCCTTTTTATACTAGTTTCTCTACTGAAGTAGGGGTGGAAAGGAAAATCTAAACTTGGATGTTCCCACACTTGTGGCACCCTTTTTTTTTGGGGGGGGGGGTTATGCTGGCATATTACCTATGAAGTGGCACCCTTTAAAGTTTTTATTTATTTGACCTACTGTGTAATTATTAAAGGGTTATGTTTTGTACTATTGTATTTATGTACCAAACCAGGGGGTTTGGTAGGAATATTGCTCCCGTCTGGGTGATTGCCCCTTCCGATTTACTGCCTTTTTTTTCTATAGTCAGATTTACGAAGATGGTACCCTTGGAGAGATACCATGAACTGGAACATTTCAGCAAAACAGTGATTGTCTGTGTACTCAGATTTACAGGGCTAGAGGGTAATGAAACCTCTGGATTTAATCATCGCAGTTCGGCCCTCACACTAAAAATGCATAAAAAGCATGATTAAAAGAAAGTGGCAGCGTCAGTGGACCAGATTAACAGAGATGCTCTCTTCTATCAAGAGCACGTCAAAAGGTGGCCCTCGGGAAGATCTGACTTGTAGAAGGGGTCATCCAACAGTTATAGTGTTAATGACCTTAAAATAGGTCAAAAGCTTGGCAGTAGTAATGTAATTTGCTTTGTTCCTCAAGTCCATACCTTGATCCAGTGTTCATAATGACATATAACTGAAAGAAGATAGTTAATATTGGGGCTTGGTGGCCACAATGGTTTATGCATTGACAGGGAGCTCAACACTAAGGCAAAAGTCCTGAGTTCAAATCCAGCAACCCTGCATTCGAACCCAACGTAGGCTTTTTTTTTCAAAAACACACCCCTAGAGCTGATATGGCCTCTGCAGTTGTGAACCCTCATAAAAAAAAATTTTAAAAGTGGGGAGAGATGAGCACCTTGTGGAACACCAGATACCTCGTATATTCTCCTATTTTTACTGCTTGAATACAAGATGACAAATAGTTTGAAAACCAAGATCAGAAAAGGCCATTGATGACTGCTACCTTAAAGTTTTCCAATTAATATTTTATGGTCAACTCTGTCGAATGCCTTTGAGAAATCTATGTAGATGATATCAACTTGTTTCACTTTTTGATTTTTTTGAATTTGATATTTATCCAAGTAGGAGCTAAAACAGCTGAGGAGAGAACCATGTATTCCGTGCTAAGTTTTCAAAATTTTCAAATAAGAAATTTTGACTCGTAATGACCTTTTCCTAATGGAACGAGATTGATATAAATACATTTTCTTTTTCCTCAAACTAGTACCCATAATAAGAGGGAATTTATTTATCACATGCTCCATGTGACATTTTGTTTTACAATCATTATAATATATTTATGTACATTTTAAATATAATTATTAGCATTTCATGTAGATGGCTTGAATTAACATTATCATATCTTGAATATTTTAAATTAAATCAAAGTTAAGATTTTTAATTAAAGAAAAATATTTCTTTTTTAAAAGTATTAATTATTTCTAAAAAAGTTGGTGGCATTGTCTCGTTGTAACACTATTGCACGCATCAAATCAGATCTTTTTTGTTGAACTTGGTACAGTCGAAGATAATGTGTTCCCAATTTTGCGCTCTACTCCCTATCCTCGATGATTTTGAGCCTTTTAAGATGTACTTTATTTTTTCCTTGACGAGAAAAAATCGTTGTGGTTTATAAGAGTGTTTGATCTCCATTCGTAAATGTTGTGATATTGTTTGATAAAATTTTTCAGTCTGACTTCCATTGTCAGTGTTCTGCCATATTTCATCTCATTCATGTTGGATTTTCACTCTGGTTGTTCTTAATACATGCGATATTGATGCCAAGTTGAAAGCAGCTTCCATCGGGCTCTCGCTACTTCTTTTGCCTTTTTGTCATCTTTTTCATTCCCCTGTATGCTCATATGCGCCTTAATTCAGCTTATTTACCCTGAGAAGCAAAAGAAAAAAATGGCTTTTTTTTAAATTAAATACTTACAAGTGTTATAATTTTTATATTTTGTTGTTTACTGTATATTTTTAATGAAAAATATAAGATATGGCTAAATAAAAAATTAAATTGAGTAAAACAATTTTACCACATACGTTGCTGTGGAAACAATGAAAAAAATATTCAACTCAGTCTGGAGTATTTACTCTTCTTGAGTTGATCACGGCTTGCATTCAATTTCATGAGGTTTTGAATGCAGTGCTGTAGAATATTTCCATACTCCTTCAATTGCGCTATTCTTAATAACTGCAAATTCTCCTAAATCACTCAGCAACTTTTTACCTTCTTTGACAACTCGTCCAAAAGGTGTTCAATAGGGCTTAAGTCGGTACTACACACTGGCCTCTTCAAACATTGAATTGAAACCAGTTCCAAGTAATCACCAACGATCTTAGCATGGGGCCATGCATTGATATGCTTACAAATAAAAGTTACCAATTAGTGGCACATAAGGAACAACTTCTGATAATACATCTTCAATGTATTGCACAGCTTGATGAAGTTCAAGTTTGTGTGACATTCTATAGAAATGCCTGCCCATTGTTGTCTTACACCACCACCTCAATAGCTTCTCTGGAGTGAAAATGGTGAGGGGGATATATAGCTTTCCTGTTCTTCTCCAAACCCTCTCTCGGTGTCAGAAGATTTCAAACAAAACCTTGTTTCATCTGAAAACAAAATTTTAGTCCAATGTTGCTCAGACCAATTGATGTGATTTCTTGCGTAACTAAACCGAGCTGTTCTGTGCCTTGTCAGAAGTTTTGGACCTGTGGCAGGCCTTCTCTCGTGTAATCCAGCTTCTAAAAGACTTCGTCTTACAGTGCGTAAATTGACATTAACATTTCTGTCTTATTGAAGTTGTTTGATATCAACAGCGATTATTGAGTAAAATCGAAATAATAAAGTGATCATTTCTCTGAGACTTGACACGATGGTGACCTGATCCATGCCTTCTTGAGTAACCTCCAGTATCTTGGTAGCGATGCAAAACGCCCTTCGGACAGTTGTTCTGAGAAGTGAGAATGTTAAGCACCCTGGCCATATACGCTTGATTTCTTCCGTCTTCCAACAACGATATGATGATTCTAGCTGTATCTGTATCATCTAAAACCATCGCTGAAACAAGTTTGAAAATAAAAAAATGACAGGTTAAAAAAATCAAACTACAATAATGTTAAAAAGAAGCTTTACAGAAAACCAACCAAAAGAAGATTGGCTGTTCAAAAATTTGTCAAAATTCAATTGTAAACATAAGTGAGAGATTTTATCTGTTTTATTTACTTCTAATGCTTTAAAACGGACCAAATATTGTTGTAATATAATAAATGGAGGATTGTCTAAGAGGTAATTAAAATATTAAAGGTGGCCATTTTTTCCCATCTAGTGTAAAATTTCAAAAGTGTCTATTTTGTCGAATTGGAAAAACATGTTTGTCAGGATAATTTGAAAACTGAAAAGTCGATGAGGGACTTTTTTTTATTTAAATAGAATTAGAAAAGTGGTATTTTAATTAATTTTGAGTTATCCGGCTCGTCCTCGAAATAAACAGGAAGCGATTTACAACCGGAAATAATAGGAAGCAAAAGTCCGCGAGGCGTTCGTGGCCGGGCCGGGAGTGGGAGCAGCCAGCGGCAGCGGCCGAGCGAGAAGGCAGTGGTGACTGGCGAGTGGACCCGCCGCCCTGACGTCCGACGGCCAACGCAGCTGATCAACCCGTGATATTGTTATTATCAGTTTCTCTCTCGGCTATTTTGTTTTCACCTGGACTTTTATTATTATTATTATCGTACATTATTGTAAATGTTATTAGTAGAATTTTTCGTTTGACTCCAGTCCGGCCACGTCTCACCTTAGCCGCCTGAGGAATACAGAGGGAATTCGCCTTTTATCGAACGGTGAGTGGCCTTTACAGCTTTTCCGACCTCCTCTGGTAAAAGTTTAAGATTTTTTTCAAGTCTTTTCCACATTTTTTTACTTCTCTCTGCTCCATAATAATATCAAAGAAACTTAAAACAAGAGTGAAATTGCCCCAAATAAAATTTCACCTTTCTCCTTTGTGCTCTGTGAGATGAGTCCCTTTCTTACCACGGGAAAAAAGACGTTCCACGATCTCTTATCTTCTGTCATGTTCGCGACTTCTAGCATAAAAACAAAAAGTGAAAAAAAATTCAACTTTTCACTGACGTGGAATTCAAAAAACCAAAAGTTCCACGTAATTTTATTGTTTTATTTGGTTTTACTTCAAGACCTTTCATTTAAATTTTAAAACATTAATACGAGATATGATCAAATGGGGATTTTTTTTAAATAGCCATTATCGCGTTTATCTGTTGAAAACATGCATGCAATCTCGCCCTAATTGTATTTCAAAATTATCCACACTTAATCAAAGCAGAATTTACAATGGATATCAAAAAGAAAATTGCACTAGTTTTATTTTATTTTTATTTATTTATGTTATACAACAGTGTTCTGAACACTGTCGCTCTGGGCCATAGAGTATCACTCAAGATAGTTTCACACATAACACATTTCTACATTCACCACAGTAGGCTCATCATGAAGAACAAAATAAACAAAAAATTTTACAATTAAGTACATTTGCTTAAATACTAATATCATGCATGCACTAAATTTCAAGTTACGAGTTGCTACTGCCAAGCTTTCGACCTATTTTAAGGTCATTATCTGGGAAAAACAACCTTAAATGTGTCTACAGATTGACATATTTAAGTTTTTACAGGCGATCTCAAATTTCGTTGAAAACCAACTCGCTCCCAACAATGCCAAGGGCTATATCTGGTAGGTCAAAAGCTTGGCAGTAGCAACTAAGTTTGCTTTCTTCTTCAAGACCATACAGTCCATACCTTCTGACTAGAATTTTGAATCTTTATTATTAACAAATTCTTTAAATGCATTTTCTAATGACTTTTGATCAGTAATTTTTTTTTATTTTGTAAAACGTCTAGATGTCTGAAAAAATGGTAGAAGGTATATTAATATACCTTTTAATAGTAGGCGAGAAGTCTCGAGAATAGGGAGGGTGAGGCAGAATCTCATAGCCAAGATCCAAAAGTTTTCATGTCGCATGTAAGACATGGTACTGAGCGATGTCATGTAACAGAACCAGCATTTTCCAATTGAGCAAAGATCACTTAAATAATGTAAATTTCTGGTGCATTGCTTCAATATAGGAGCAGTACATTTCAGCATTGATTGCTTCGCCGATATTCAAGAGCTGTAGTAAATCAGCCCAAATGAAGCCCACCAGAGAGTCACCATCTTCTTTGTCGAACCACTGTCCAGAATGAAGTGTTTTGCAAACTTCATAACGATGCTTTTTTTTGGCAATCGTTTAATGAGTGTGGAACCCAATTTTCGAGTTTTTTCACTTTTCCAATCGCCTTAAGGTGGTCAACGATGGCCGATTTGCCAACAGAAAGATTCTCTGCAAGTTCTTGAACAGCCGTGCTGAGATTTTCTTTGACCAAAGCTCGCAAAACATCATAATCTAAGGAAGAAATCCTTCCACGACCTTCTTTGTCTTCAAGTATCCCTCTCAAAAATTTTTAAACTCACAGTGCCATCGCCCCAGACTTCATTAATGCTTCTGGCTGTTTGGGAACATTTGGTTTTGGGGGCGATGAGTACAGTAGACTCTTCTTACCCTTGCATTCATTATTCACATTTTTCACTTATTTGCAATTGCCTCCCTAGTTAGTTATATTTATTTTTGGCCCCTAATATTTTTTTTCCCATTTGTTTCGATATCGTGTCTGCCATCAATTCCAATTGATGTGTATATTGTTTTCCTGCTTGGAATAAACTTTTTGAATGTTGCCATACAGTGTATTTTTCTTATGAAAAAACCTGAAATATATAATAAGTTCATTCATAACGTTGACAATAGGTACATATGGTACAGAAAGTATCTGAAGAAGAAAATGCTTTGAAGCCTGAAATATTCGAGGCGTTCCTGTTGTCCGAGGTGAGCTTGGTACATATCCCCCATGGATAACAAGAGTCTATCGTGTATCTCAAACTGTCTTTAATTCAAACTCACGGTGCAGAGCTGAGTTTCTCTTGTACTATGGTGGTACAGTTATTAATTATGCAATTAATTTAATTATTTTAATTTGGACTGTTGAGTTGTGAATTGGAAGCAGAATACCATATTTCCTATCCATAAAACCAGATTAGCATTTTATAGACAGGGACTTTTATCTTAAGGTGCAGACTCTGAGGCTTGAGTACTGGTTTTAATTGGTCCGGTTGTTTATCTGTGGGACCATTTTGGTATTTGGTTCTTCCATCTTGAGTCAAGGGTTACCCTAAATATGTGACAGAATTTTTACAATGATTTTTTGAGCCTGGTAGGAGATCCATCACTAAGTAAAGACAACTATAAACAATTCGCTCACAATCTTGATTTTCCATTTGCTGGTCCTTTTGGGTTTTTGGCTGATGCTTCTTCCTCTGAAGGTCCACATGCAAGAACTGTGTCAAATCTAAAGACTTTTTATTTAATATTTATTGTAGGAGCTTTATTGTAAACTTGGAACTTTTAAGTCTAATTTATCCTATTTAATTTTTTTGGTTTGTATTAGAAAAACGTTTCCATGCGGTTTTTATAATAAAAAGTAAATACGTTACACTTATTTGAATTTATTTGGACGTTTCGAAAATTTACACCCATCATCAAGATTTTATATTGTATTAAATTTATAATTTACTATTATCTATATTATATTTTAAAAGATATGACCATCTTGCTGCATGGCCAAGATGGAAGAGGTAAATTCCCAAAACATCTAAATAAATGTAAATAAGTAATGTATTTACTAATTTGTTAAAGTGGTGAGGAGCGGTCAAGAACGAGGTAGTTCAGAAAAACACATTTTTATTTTTTGCCAATGTTTCGACCTTTATTCGGGTCACCTTCAGGGACTTTTGTGTGAAAGTGACACCACAAGAATAGCACCACACTTTATGCTCTGAAGATGATCCAAATAAAGGTCGAAACATCGGCAAAAAAATAAAAAAGGTGTTTTTCTAAACTATCTCATTCTTGACCTCTTCTCAAGATTTCAAAAATTATGAAACAAATTGTCGCTAAGAAACACAAATGTATTTACTTTTTTTTTTTTAAACCCTCGCGGAAATGTTTTCTAAATCAAAAAAGTCTATTTTTATAGTAATTCAATGCATCCTTCAACTTATTATTTATTTATTTAAATTTATTATTAAATTCATATATAGAATTAAATGAATGAAGAGCAGCACTCAGTCCGAGGACGTTTAAGTGGAGTGCCAAAATACCAACATTTACACAAAGAGTAAATTATAATAAACTAACAGTTTAATTATTTTAAATCCAGAATCAAATAAACATGAATAAAATATGAACTGTAAAATACGAACAATAACAATTTATTTTCATGAATTATATTCGCAGATTTGCTTCTATTAATTTAATAAATTTATAGATTAGATACACCCAGGTCTAATTTTATTGCCGAGTTCTCAGAGAATCCAAATTCTTTTAAACCAGCCAAAGTAATATAAACAATTTCTTAAATTGGAAGGATTGGCAATGGCTAAGTATTGTAATATGGTATTTGTTCTTTTTTCAGGATATCAAGCTAGATAGGCTTTCCTTGTTTGACTTACTTGCAAAATTGTAAAAACAATGGAAGAGGATATTTTTTTCTCTCATATATTTAAACATCGAAACCTAAATAGGTTGTAAATTGTTGTGACACATAAAAGTTTATAGATTTGAGTTTTACAAAGACATTGATGTGGTGATTCACTCATCTGAAAATACTGTTTGGCAACTGTTCAGAAGTAAACTATATAATATGACAAGATATATTCATCAGAAACAATTCTTTCCATTTGAGGGATTTATTTTAAAATAAGGAAGTTGTTTAAAATATCTCAAGCGTTGAATAATATTTATTTTTTTACTTACATTCACATTTTTTAATGCTTTTGTTTGTAACATAACACTTGTTAGTTATTAAATTATTTGGTGTATGTGTTAGAAATGGTAAAGGTGGGGTGAGTATGTTGTTTGACTATTTTAAAAGATAGTTCTCATTCACAATTTATTGCTTTTGCAATAAACGGCATGAATTGTAATAGTGAATAATAATAATTAATTAATAATAATTGTAATAGTGAATAATACGGATTGTTGAAAACGACAAACTATGAATAAGAACTATCTTTTAAAGTAGATGTGTTATGTCATAATAAACAGATTTATTTAGAAGATAACCATATAATTTCTACGTTTGTTCTCTTAATATACAAAATTATAGAAGTGTTTTTTTCCAAATTTATTCTTCTTAGTTATATTAATGAGAAATTAATCTTGAAAATGTTAATTTGGTTTTTATTTTGTTACAGGTCTATGAAAATTTCAACGTGTACTAAATTTAGCACCAACCATGTGGCTTGGTAGTGGTGCTTTTGAAAAAAGCCAAGACTGGATATGCTTTTAAAATTGTCAAATCCATAAAAAAAAACGTGGCGGCGCTAAATTTTGTTTAATACAAATATGCATGCTTCTGTGCCCCAGCGCTCCACCAAAGCCCAGCCCATTCACAGTTCGAGGATTTCCAACTCGCTGAGGACTTTGTGACGATTTCTTAATGCCTAGGCGCAAGAATTCAATTGTAAAGTAGTATTTAGGGTTTGAAAATTTAGGAGACATTTAAAAGAGATAGAGATGGCTTTTCAAAATCCTGCATCTCTTTTGTTGGTCTCCACCCTCTTAGTTGCTTTTTTAGTATTAGTTAATGGCGACGAGGATGAGAAATTGAACATCATGTCTAGAGAGGAGCAAGAAAGCTTAAGGTGAGAATTAAATTTTTTTTTCCTTTTTTTCCCAAAAGCTGAACGAGTAAGGTTGAAAGAAGGAAGTTAAGGAAATTACCAAGGCAATCCACTATTCTTGACCTTCCTCTTTTCCAGGCCAATTATATTCATTGAACCCATTCGAGTTCGACCTTTCTTCCGTTACTAATAATAACAAGGGTTTAGTAAAAGTGGAAATAACTACTAGCTATTGGTAGTAACTTATACTTTCTATTCTATTTTGAATTGTCCCACTTCAAAAACTTTCTATTACTTTTTAACTTGAAAATTTCTCCATAATCAATAAGATAAATATATTTGTTTAGAATAGTATAATAATATATAGTATAATAATATAATAATTAATATAGTGTATAAATAATAAAATTAATAAAAAAAGACAAAACACTATGATTGTTATTAAGATAATAACTTACAATTTTTTTAAACTTTAATTAACTCCTTTTAATTGATCGCCTTATTTTTCAATATTACCCAAAGAATGTGATGAATTAATTGTATTCTTAGGGGAAAACAAAAGCCAGAGGCGACAGTGGCAATTGATCCCACGATTACAGGGTCTGCGAGCCGAGAATCTAAATCTCTGACCACTCGGCTATCGTGGACCCCTACTTGCGATTTAATTAATATAATATTCAAATATGCAACTTATATTCATTAATTTAAAGTTGTTACATGCATTTCCCTCAATATGTATTAAATATTTATTAAATTATATACTCTAGGGAAGAGGCGAGGGATATGTTTTATCATGCTTATCGAGCATATATGGTAATTACTTTTATTATCATTATGGTTAAATATGTAGAAGTAGTATTAATATCATTTTTTTCATAAAGGACAATGCATACCCTGCTGATGAACTGATGCCATTAACATGTCAAGGCCGATATCGTGGAAGTCACCCTTCTCGAGGAGATATTGACGATACCCTTGGGAAGTTAGTACCAACTATAACTATCTGTTTATCTTTTGTTTATTTATTTATTTATTTTTTTACTTTTAGTTTCTCACTGACGTTAATTGATACCTTGGACACGCTTGTGATACTTGGAGACATCTCGGAATTTGAGCATGCAGTAAAGCTAGTGATAAAAGATGTAAGCTTCGATTCTGATATAGTCGTGTCTGTATTTGAGACCAACATCCGAGTCTTGGGGGGACTTCTATCAGCACACATTCTGGCAGAATATGTTCAACAAAAAATCGGTGTGATGGAATGGTACAAGGGCGAGCTGCTTGAACTAGCCAAGGATATCGGCTACCGCCTCACGCCAGCTTTTAACACCACAACGGGCATACCTCATGCCAGGGTAAATCTGAGGACTGGCATGAAGGCACCTTCACTCTGGTCATCCAGGGAAACATGCACTGCCTGTGCTGGCACGATGATATTAGAAATGGCTGCTCTTTCCCGGCTCACTGGAGACCATTTTTTTGAGGTAATTTTTAAAAAATGTAATTTATAAAGACTTAATAGAGATTTATTAAATTCTTACAAATCACTTTTGTAGGAAAAGGCTCATAGGGCAATGGATGGTTTGTGGAAACTTAGACACCGCAGTACTGACTTAATGGGAACTGTACTGAATGTCCATTCTGGAGATTGGATCAGAAGAGATTCAGGAGTTGGTGCTGGCATTGATTCCTATTATGAGTACTGTTTAAAAGCCTACATCCTCCTCGGAGACAATCGTTACCTCTCTAGATTTAATAAGGTAACCATTATATTTTTTCTAGGCCAGATTAATTTTTGTTTAATTATAAAACTTGTTTTTTATTCATGTATTTATTTTTAAGCATTACTCAGCTGTCATGAAGTATATCAGTCAAGGACCTATGCTCCTTGATGTGCACATGCATAGACCTACAACTAACTCTAGGAATTTTATGGATGCATTGCTTGCCTTCTGGCCTGGTCTTCAGGTTAATAAAACTTACATTTAAATTTACCCCTGTTCATTTTCTAATTTTGTTAATTTAATTTTTTTTAAGGTTTTGAATGGAGATCTCAAACCGGCGGTTGAAACACACGAGATGCTCTATCAAGTCATGCAGCGGCACACGTTTATCCCAGAGGCATTTACTACGGATTTCAAGGTGTATTGGGGCCAATACCCTTTGAGACCTGAGTTTCTTGAATCAACATATTTCCTCTATAAAGCCACTGGGGATCACTACTATCTCCAAGTTGGTAAGAAGATCCTCAAAGGCCTTCAACAACATGCCAGAGTGCCTTGTGGTTATGCTGCTGTCAGCGATGTCCGGACCGGTCAACATGATGACAGGTGGGCTAATAAATAATATATTAGTAAAACCATTGCTACATTTGCTATTGAATTACTGGATAAAATTGCAAATTAAGTTAAATAACTTAATTTTTGCCACTTATCTTCCTAATGGTGAAGGGGGGAGTTGAAAGAATTGTAAATTTGTTCGCAGCTTAGTTATCCTTTAAGTCTTGCTATGCCTATCTCTTTATATATTAATCAGACCAAAACTATTGAAACAACCATGCTGACAAGAAATTTTGAACAATTTGCAAACCTAGCAACACAACTTTCTAAAAACACTCCTTGTTAGAATATAACCAACATTGCATAAGAAAAACGATAAGTGACAAAAATTTATCTAATAGGATTTAATGATATTTATCCAATCAACATGTTTTAATTTTATTTCTTATATTAATTTTATCTAATTTAAGCGTAAATAATAATTTAAAAGACATTTATTTATTTGTCTTAAAACTTTTATTTGTTTTTCAGGATGGATTCATTTGTCTTAGCCGAAACTTTCAAGTATCTCTACCTGCTCTTCACAGATCCAGCAGACTTGATCGTTGATTTAGACAAATTTATTTTCACAACCGAAGCGCACCTCCTCCCTCTTGACTTATCCAAACTGATGACCAATTCCTCAGCATATTTGTTCGAGGTAATTTGAAAACAAAAAAAATACCGTAAAAGGGCAGGACTGATCAGATCAATTTGTAGGATGATGAGGAGATCGAAGAACCGGCCCAGTGTCCGACATCGCTGAGACTGCTCCCGGATCAAGTGCGCAAGCCTCTGCGCAACTTTGTCCATGACACCTGCCCAAGTGACACCAGGACAAAAAACAGGCGCCTCTTGGCATCTCACTTTCAGGTAAAGAAATTGAAAAACCACTTCATTCTAGAATAAGACAATTTTCTTGGTAACAACAGTATTGCACCGTAGAAGTAGCTGGATGAATAAACCTTACTTTTGCATTTTTTTTTTTTTGCATGCGTAGAAAAATTTTCTTTGTTTTCATTTCTTAAATTTTTTTAGTTTAATCATCTTTAAAAAAATTAGCAAAAATCAAATTTGTGTAAGCATTAGAATTTAAAAACTTCCTTAACAAAAGGATATAGATTTCTTCAATTATATAAAAATATGTTTCAAAAAGTAATGTGATTATATTTAATTTTCATTGTTAAAGAACAAAACGTCGAAAGTTAAAAGTAGTAAATTGTTGTTTATCAACAAAAAAATTGTTGAGCATATTCACTGAGGGACCTATTTCATTTTTGTATATAGATTTTTTTCAGCCAAATTAACCCTTTTTTTACATCAAATTAATCCTTTCTTTCAACCAATGAAAAAATTAAAAACTTTATGACAATTAATTTGAGATGTTTTAAATACATATAAATATTAGGCTACTATATTAAATATTGGGCACTCTCAACACAACATGCAAGAATGGCACAATTACACAGAAAACAAACACTTTGAGCCCTGAAGATGATCTCAATAAAGATCGAAACGTTGGCACGATAAAGAAAATGTTTTTCTGAAACCTACATCACACCAGACCGCATCTCACGATTTCCGAATAATCATTAAATTAAATATTAAAATAAAGAATTCTTCTTTTTATAATAGTTAAAAATTTCTTATGAAAAACTGAAATATACATGGTGAGTTTATTATTATTAATTTTTAATAACGGCTAAGGTCATTTCACGTTCTAACTGATATATTTAAAACTTGTAGCTTAAGTCATCTATATCCCTTCTGAGTTCTATAAAGCTCTGACTCCAAACATTCACTCATAATCTAATTTATCCTACATCCTCTGAAGCTTCCATCCCGCACCCTGTCATTCCCGTTCTTACAAAAAAACCCCCTTAATATATTTAAAAACCTTTTAAACTAAACTCCAATTCAAAAACAAAATTGGAAATAGTTAAGCCCCTATTCATATTCTGCTATCTTGGCGAGTTGGGACTATGGTAGCCGAGTGGTTAGCGTGATACTGTTGGCTCATAAACCCTGTCACGGGTTCAATTCTCACTGTTGCCGCTGGCCCTTTTTTCATGATACCCTTCCCCCAACTACAAAAACAACCAACTACTCAAACTACATACTCTGGCTATATGCAAGTTCATAAGGTCATAAAAAAATATATTTAAAAAAAATTTAAAAATCTAGGCAAGTTAGAGATTGAAACCTTTTGACTGAGAGAAATTAGACAAAAAATTGAAAGTTTATTTGACAAGGTTTTCCCCGTAAATGCCCCAATAACACAAATAAATAATAATAATAATAATAAAACACCCTATATATTCCTATATTAGTTAAGAATTTTTTTAACTATTATATAAAAGAAGAATTTTTTGTTTTTATATAATTTATAAAGGGGTTGAGATGGGGAGTTGATGTCCGAGTGGATCGAGGTCACGATAGCTCAGGTGGTAGAGCAGCGGCGTATCTAGCCGAAGGTTGTGGGTTCGAATCCCGCTCGTGCCATTAACTTTTTTTCATCTCAACTAAAAACTTTAATTGGTCAAGCAGACCACGAAAGTAGTGAATTATAATTTTTAATTTTAATTGTAATTAATGTTCATAAGGCATAATGACTATTAATTCATAATTAAATAAATGTTAATGTTTATATTTGGTGTTATTGTATTAATGGGAGAAGGGTATCATTAAAAAAAAGGCCAGGGGTAACAGTGGGAATTGAACCCAAAACCACAAGGTCTCTGAGCGAAGAGTCTTCATGCTAACCTCTCAGCTAAGTCCCTTTAATTCGAATTAACATTAGAAGAATAATTTGTTTTTATGTTAAATTGTACATAACTTTTAATTGTAATTAATTTTCATATGGGTTTTAAGTTTTTTTTTATTGCTTTAAAGAAAGAGTTAATTTGAAATAAAAAAGGAGTATTTTGAAATAAAAAGGGTTAATTTCAAATTAAAAAGAGTACATTTTAAGTTAAAAATTGGTTACATCAACAGAAAAAAACTATATCAGGTTAAATTGGAGAGAATTAGAATTAGAATGGCGTTATCCGTCTGGTGAAATAACTCAATGATGAAACCACCATCCACAGTGAATGCTTTAAAGACAGGATGGGTGAAAGCAGTCTATTAAGAAAATAAAATCTGTACGCTTACAGCTGTCATTGTGCTTGTGTCATGTGTGTATAGTAGGTTTTATATTATGTTGTTTGAAAATGAAGAAATTTATAATTAAAGTATTTTATGCTAGTCGCCTAATTTTTGTCCCTTACTAAAATTGATTTTGATAAGTAGAGCATTTTTTTTTTTCATAATTTTGTCTCACCTATTTACGTAACTTGCCATTCGTCAGCTTTTGTATGTCGTTAACCTTTAAATGCCTTTTTTAATATGCTAATTCAAATAGTGAAGGAGTAAACAGAATTGACCACTTATAATTTGAATAATTTCAGCTGTCTTTTTAAGACTGTTCATACAAAAAGAAATTTGCATATATTATAATGACAGCCTTTAAAGTCTGTCTCCTGACTAACGCTTTGTAAATACACTATTTTTGCTGGTTCAAAAGCCTAGTGTTTATAATTTGCAAGTATTTTACCTGTCTTCTTATATGTTTTGTTTTGTGCCATTTCCAGACTGATACCTTGTTAGCAACACCAACCAGCGTTATCATCCTGTTCAGTATTATATCATTTTTGCAACTAGGTTTCCTGTTTAGCTCATTCTTTTTTTATATTTCCAAAATCAGAAATATGTGATCCCAATAAAACAGCGAAACCGCAGTTTAACTTATGACTGTTTTAATGAATATTCAACAATAAGACTTATATAAAGTCACTGAACGTTTACTGTGATAACAATACATTACATTCCAATTTTTATATTTTTGTCTATTTTTTCTTTTTAATTGTTTATATAGATATATATATTTTCTTTAAGATGAAGTTTTTGGCTGTTTTAATTATTTGTAAAGTTTGATAATTGTATTATTTTGTATTTAAGTAGTTTATTAGAATGTTGTGAAATAAATTAATTTAAACAAAAAATCAGTTTTCTTGATGACCACTATTCTTTCTCTCTCTCTCACCCTTTTTTTATGATTATTTATCTATTTATTATTTATTAGTTTTTATTATTTGAATGCATCCTTTTGTCTTTCCTTTTTTGCATGAACACATGGCATAAATAGCACGGCTTTCATTATTTTTCACCCATACTCGTCAACTTTGTTTCATTTATCTCAGTCTCCGAAAGGGGAACAAATTCATTTATAGTTTTAAGCCAAGCTCCTTGTTTACAGTCTGGGAATCCGGAGCACAAGAAGATAATAGGTGATATGGGAATAAGCATTGCACACCTAGACGACGGTAGAATTCAGCTGCTGCATTCCTTTTCCAAAGTGAGTATGCTGTAGTTTTTTTAAATTTTCAAATTGAACTATAACCACTTAAAATATATACATAATAAAGAGTATAATGGATGTGTCAGTGGTTCAAAAGTTAAGGTGTTGACATGGTGCTTGCAAGGTAAAGGTCCTAGCAGCCCTGATTTCGAACCCAACAGCTACAATTTTTTTTACCCAAAAGCCCTAGCACCATGAGGGGTCATACAATCCCATAAAAAAAAGAAAAAAATTTAGAAAATGTAATAAGTTGTAAAAGCTCGAAAGTTGGTAGGTTACTTCTTTTCCACCATCATACCTCCTGGAAACAAATAAAAAACAAAAAAGTAATTTGCTTCTTTATTGAAAAAAAAACCTTCTAGAGTGAGATAGTCCAAAAATGTAGATCCTGCATCCATTTATCAATTCACCTTAGTAATTAAAAGTATAAAATCATGCATTAATTAGTAAAAAGTTTGGAGTTTCAATAAAGGATGATCCTAGATATAACTAGACATTTGGAACTTAATTAAACTTAAATACATTTTAATTAATTATACTTTTTTCCTAGGTTTTGGTTGAAATTAAAAAGTTAGTGCCACAAGCGGGATTCAAACCTGCCAATATCACTGTATTTAGCTGAAGGTCGTGGGTTCAAATCCCGTGGGTGACTCTTAACTTTTTCATTTCAACCAAAACATAGGAAAAAAGTATAATTATTTAAAATTATGACTACTAAATATTACGGATTACCTTAAATTATTGTAAGACTCTTTGTAAATAAGTAATTTGAGGAAAGACTTAGTTTAAGTGTGAGGAGTGGAAGAATAAGCATTCTGTTTCCTAAATATAATAAATTGATCCAAAGTTGGTACACTTTATAAATTGATAGTCAAATCAAGGAAATCACCTCCAGGGAACTTTCTGGCATGGTAAGTACTACTGCAATTCTATTCACATTTATCCTTTCCCCTACCCACTAGAGGGGTTTGTTGCAAAAGCAAGCATATATAAAATGAAAGGTGGGGCAGTGTTTTAATTGATTTTCTCTGATTTTGTCCTTATAGGCAAAATCTGTCGGTGACGCTAAAGAAGGGCTTCTATTCATGCAAGAAATGCTGGAGCTTGCAAAGTCTCAAAGCCCAGAGACGTTGCCACAGGCGGTACAGTATGTCAGCAAAGGTGTGAAGCACACTTTAAACGCCGGGCCAGCCCACTTTGGTAAACAACTACGAGGGAACCACAAAGTCAGCGGTAACATCGACATAGCTTTTCCGTTCAAGGCGTGCGACCCGCTTGTGAATGCCAAAGCTTTAAAAGGGAAAATAGTCCTCGTCCAAAGGGGTGACTGCATGTTTATTGAAAAGGTACGGTCTCTCGCTTTTTTTTATGGGTTTGTGTTGACTCAGCTTCTGTTCAGGCAAGGAAGATCATGCAGGCGGGTGCCATCGGCGGCATTGTGATGGACAACAGCGGTGACTCGTCTAAAACATCTCCTATGTTCGCAATGTCCGGTGACGGGACTGACGACATAACGATCCCAGTTGTCTTCCTCTTTTACCAGGATGCTTGGAAGCTCCTAATGGCCCTCACTGGAGAGCCGAACATGTTGGTTACTTTAGCCGATAGGCAGTCCTCACAAGGTAAGTTTTTTTTTTGACTAGTCTATATTATTATTTATTTTGTAATGCTATTTTTTTATGTAGAAGACCAACCTGAAGGAAATGATACAATAGATGATGCTTCCGTCCACAATTTCCTCTTTAACAAAGTTCCTACTGGAGAGGTATTTGAAAAATTATTTGTGTATTTGACACGTCTATATAATTAATCCTATGGCATGTTAACATCACCTCAAATACAATTTTGAAATTTTTAATTTTTTTTGTTTAGGGTGAAATAGTAGAGGTTAAAGGTGAAGAACTGATACGTCTCTCGAACGTTAGCCCTCAGGAATCCAACAGTGAAACCAATTCAGCTGAGGATTCGCTTCCAACGCGTATGCACAAGATCCTCTCGTCACTCCACAAGGACAAAAACCTACCGGAACCACCGAGCGACTAGTTCGACAACGGCACCGGTTCCATTGTTTCTAGTTTGATGTTTTCTATTGTATGTTTGTTTTTGTCTAAATCAAGCTTTAAAACCACTCTGGGAATCAAGTTGTTGGGGGGAAATGTGGAGGCTGTTTTTCTGAATGCCTGGATTTTATCGTGTGTTTCGTGGGTTATTAATTGAAATTTATATATTTTATCGAAGAAATGTGAAATTATAAAAAGATACTTTATAAATTAAATTTGTATAAATATTACCAAAAATTACTCAATTGTATTATAGTTTGTTCTTTAACAGAACAAAATATTAGGTAAATTATTAATAGTGTATGAAATTACTTAAAACTGTACATGTGTCATACTGAAGTTTGTAAAAATTGTATTATATCTTTACCATCGTGTAAATTTGAATAAAGTTTTAAGGTAAAATAGGTGTTACGATGATTTAGGCAAATTGATTAGGTAATGTCAATTAGTTAGCTTTGTGTATATAAGTTTTTCTTCATTTAATGTAAACAAAATTAAATATTAAAGTTTTGTTTGTTCTATTTCTTATTCTCTTCTGAACTAAACTCCATTTTAAATAATCCAAAACCAAACAAAATTAAAATAAAATAAATTTTAAATAATATTTACCCGACCCACCAATCGTACAAAGTTGAACAAAATAACACCCCGTGGAATCCTTACAGCTGTGTGAAGCACATCTGGACAGATGGCTATCCAGGAAGTACTACATAACTAAAAAGGTCACTGAAGGAATGATTGTCTGGGAATGATTAACCACACTCGTAGACCCAGTTTGATTCCCACCGCTGCCTCTGGCCCTTTTTTCACAATACCCTTCCCCCCAATTCACATACACATAATATATCATCTCTTTGGCTAATATATATAGTTCATAAGCCCATAAAAAATAAAATAAAATAAAAAGTGGCCAATATTTATATCTCAAATTGTTAAATGTGAAATATTCTATACGTGTACTTATGTAAAACTTTGTAAGTAATTGGGCTAGTGATTTTAATTACAAAAAAACCATTTATGTTGGCCTAAAAAAGTCATCTCAACCCATAGCTAAAGACAAATATGTATAGTTTTACATCATACAACTTGGTCAAATTATGCTACTTAAATTATGCTTCATGGTAGTGGTACACCCCTTTTTGAGAAAGTGTATACAAATTTTTTTAATGCTTGTAATATAAATCCTATAACAAAATGAGAAAATTTTCTTGAAAAATTAATTATATTTAATATATAAAATTTATATACATGAATAAAAATATGTATAAATGTTAACAAACAATAGAATTAGCATAATCACAAAAATGGTATTCAGACAGAATTCGCCCCCTCCTAAAAGACTTTAAGAAATAAATTATAATAATAATGTCAGCACAATTTGTATGATAGAATTGCAGTGAGGGCCTGGTCAGTTTTTAAGAGAGTGGCCGCTGAGCGTCTCCTGAACCCGATCGATTCCTGCGTCTCGACCTGTGCAGAGAGTAAACTCTGGTTGATCTCGTTCATCTGGTCACTGGCATATTTGAGACTCGATGCAACAAAGGATTTCAAGTCTTCTTTCAGCCGGAAATGACTTTCTTCTACAGAATAAAAAAAGCTTTTAATAAAAACAATTAGAAATACGATCTCAAAAGTGTGGTAATATTTTAATTTACTAGCCATGCCCTAATTTTTAAGAATTTATATCTTGAAATTTTCTAGTTATCTTATACCAAGCAGTTTACACACAGTTCTGCATCACTGATTTGTGAACAAACAACTAATACTTTCCATAAGGAATAATTACTTTCAAATATTTTCATTACATTCACCAGTTTCGTGGTCTGCTTCACCAATTAATTACAGATGATCTTGGTGGTATTGGGTTTACAAATCTGTTTAACTAGCACTGGGTCCATCTACACTTGCTGGTTTTGTTGTTACTCAAGCTTTGCATTATCTTCAGCGAGGAAATAAGCTTCAAAACTGTTCCTCATTGAATACAGTACAACACCAAAACACATTTAAATAACATCAAAGCCCACGAATGTAGATGGACTCAGTGATGGTTTAAAAATTTTTGCCAGATATAGCGCACAAATATGAACTAGCTGTAGTAATTAAATGAAGTTTTTAAAAAAAAAATTGATTGAACCAAAATTATAATTGTTTTCTCTGATTCCCAAACAAATTCATAAAAATACAAAACTCACTTCAGCTAAGTATACGACAGACAGTTCATCACTGAGGATGGTGAAAAGCTGAAATGCGACTAACATCAAAATTCTGTCAGTTAGACCCAATAATTATCCCAGTGCTGGTCCAATACACTCTTATCTGTTAACGCTTTAATAATTTGGTGTGAGAACAGTTATAACGATTCTCCTTTTAGGTTTTATGTATTTATTTTTTACTGTGGAGGATACTAGGAACTGGAGGAGTCCCCTGAGCACTGAAGCCTTTATACAGCTTATTGAACTCCTTTGGCTTCATTTTCAAGAGCTCACAACACGTGTGTCAATTAAGCCGCGTGTGCCAGGTTCTTCCGTCGAAGAAATTCATTTTAGAAGGGGTTAGGACCAAATTCCGATCCCGCCCCAGTTCTTCCATTGATGAGTGATGTGTCGATTTTCATTGCGGCCACCAGTCCCGTAAGCATAAAAAAAGTCTAGAGATGGTGGTGGGAATGGAACTCACGTCTGCTCGTTCTACTAGTCAAAGGGGTTCCAAAATTAGTGAGGATTCTGCACTGAACCCAGAATCAGAAAAAAAATACACTAGCCAAAACACATCTGAGCCCCAAACAATTTAAAAAGACAAAATTACATGTTCACCCCACAGACTAAATAGAATATCAGTAAGTAACATGCAGAACTTGCCAAAACATTGGGGGTTACAGTGAATATCAGCTTCTTATGAGGTAGCCCAAAGAAATAATTTAGGATTTGGAAGAACTGAGGCTCTAGTCTCAACTATTGTCTAAAGTGAATAATCCCTGAAACTTATTGCACTGCACCTTTCACACCACCAAACAAATTTAATGTAATCTCAGGGTACCAGTGTTTTTGAAAAAAAAATAAATAAATAAAAATAAAAGCCCATGTGTAAGTATGTCAGGTTTGAATGCAAGGCTGCCAGATTCGAACCTGAGACCTTTACCTTACAGTGATGAGCATCGTGTCAACATTTTAAACACTGCAACCACCGACACACCCTAATGTGATTGTTACTAATTTTCTCTGTTATCTAGGATGCCAACAATTAACATAAAATTACTTACTTAATTTTTTATGTAGCAAGGTGTTGTATTTGGCCTTGTTGGCTTCATTCATCTCCTCAGCTTTGGAGACGAACGCCCTGACAGCTATGCTGAGTTCATCTGTCAATTATAAAGCATGACATTCTAATTGTAAAATCCAACTTAAAAAAAGTTTACCTTCGGACGAGTGGACTTCGTAACGTCTTGCGTTTTCAAGACTTTTACCCTGAAAAATCAAAAATCTCCCTTTTTACCAAAGATGTCACAAGGGTTCAATCAGCATGATAGGTGTGAATCAACTTACAACCGGCCTCATAAAGTCTTCCTCGTCTGATTCCGAAGCCTCACCTTCAACAACCACTGAACTTTTGTCGTTTTCCATTTTGTTAAGAATCAATACTAACAAATAACAATGACTTAAACTAAAATGGCATTAAACAGATCTTACGCAAAAAAAAAGAAAATAAATAAAAACAAAAGAGAACCTTCTGTTGATTGCCATCTTCAGTGACAGCCTAGATCAATGACGTCAACTTAACTAACACACTTCACAAATACGATAATTTGGTTAATAATACAAATATTCAAACAAATCCCTGATAACAATTCTAAAAATAAAAAATCTTTCTTTTTAGCTTAGTTTATTTTAAGTGTAGCAAAATATATCATTACTAAAAACACTGGCTTTAACATAAGTCAAAAAAGAACCACTTAAACTTAAACTGGTTTCTTTATGCTATACACATATTTTATGAAAGGAAAAGATCCAATAATAGAAGAACAAAACCATTTAAGACATAATAATATTTCTTTACTTCTGACGTTTTTGGAGACAAGGTATATCAGTCAGCAATTTGATTATGTAAAATTTTGGAATCAATAAAAATCCATTATTATATATTTAACTAATTCCATAGTAGTTTGCAACCATGGATCATTTGCTCATTTTAGCAGTCTTTGTTGTTTTTTTCTGTATATTCATTGTATTGAATTATGTCTGTTGGCCTGTGAGTGTCAAAGAGAATATCACAAGTTGAACTGATTGGCATTGATCATTTTTCTGAGTCTGCCATCATATTTGTTTCAGCTTCACGCCATCTTCAGAGAGGTTTTTTTAAATCAACCTTTGATCACATCAAGCTTTCCCCTGATAAGTATATTTTTTATTACATTCTTTCTATATTTGTTGTATGTTTCTGTTGGTAAAAGGCTTTATGTTCAACTATATGTGGGGTGTCCTGCATGATGGGTCAAACTACTTTCAATACTTACAACTTTTTTCATATTATTTTCAATTAGATCCAACAAACAGAAAGGGTTCAGAATAAATTTTTAAATGAAGCTTACGAACTTAAAATTTTCCAGGCTTTACATGACTACTATAATACTTTGGATTATTTTGATATCTCAACCTTTGAAAATATAAGAATTTACCTTGATCTTCCTTCATAAACCTATGAATAATCAGATCGAGCCTCCTTATTTACTTTCCAAATTAAACTTTAATGTTCCCCAGCTCTCATCTCGAAAACAAAATATTCATTTCCGCCGCTAAAACTAATTACATAAAATATCCCCATCAATAGGTTAATTCACAAAAAAACTACATTTTTAAGTAGGTCGTAATTAAAATCTGTAATTAATACAGAATAATTTTTATGTTACAAATTTTACTGACAAATGTAATAAAAAAGGCCAATTTATTGTTTTAAACATAGTTGATAATTTATAAATATTATAGGTTTTTTTGCTGCATGTGTTATTGCAATAAAAGGAAAAATATTTTATGTTATAACAGTTAATAATAAAAAATTTTATTTACAAAAGTTCAACTTCTGCTGCAATTTCTTCCCAGATATTATCTACAATCGTCAAAGTGCTGTGGTCTTTCAAGTTGATGTTGTAGATAGTCGGATGCTTTTCAACAAGCAATTTTTCTGCACTTTGATCAAGCTGAAAAAATAAAATAAATGAAATGCAAATATAACAAGGGAACAGAAATAAAGCTATGGTTAAAGCAAGCCATCATGGGACCTTTAACCTATAGTTTATAAAGGTCTTGAGTGCTGGATACACTTACAAATACCCTCGTAAAAACTAAACAAAAAAGTAAAGCATTGTTTTTAATTAAAAAAACTCAAACTGACCTGAAGACGATTTGGTCTTATGTTTGCTATTACATCTTTATCCTTTTGTTCCTGCAAACTATTATTAGTACATTTGTTCATGTCTAGCATTGTTGAGAGAGCGACTATAGTTTTTGATATCAAATCAAGATCGTCTAAGGTTTTTGCTTTATTTAGTATATTAAGGGCCTCCTCTGTTACTTCTTTCTTCCGCTGTGAAAATTCCATGGTTGGGATTTCCTCTTCGTCCTGCTCGATTAGCTGTTCTACGATGTTATTTGTGTCAATGTTTTCACTGGCATTTTCAATCACAAGCACTTCTAAAGAAGGGTTGGGAACAACTGAGGCTTCTATTATGCCATCGTTCAGAAGTCCACCCAATGCATGTATGTGCTTGCACATGTTCCATTTTATTGTGCTGTCAAGGCAGGAGCAGGTATAAGCGTGGACACAAAATTTGCAGTCTTCACATTGCAGACCACAGGTACAGTCTAAATTCTCTTTTTCTATTGTGTAAATTTCTGAACTTGTAGACGATGGGAATTTCCATATGTCGTTTTCTTTCACAAACTTCATTCTGTCTAGAGACAGGGCTTGGTTGTGACGTCGTCTAAGTTCAGCTATTTTTGATTTTGCCTTGTTGGGCGAAGTTAGGCGGTTATAAAGCTTGTCTCTCACAAACCCCATAAGAGCGTTGAGAGCGACATCAGGCCTCTTTACCTTTTTCCCACTTAAAAATAGATGTTTTATCGTTTTGTGCATACGCTCTATATGCACATTTGTATTTAGGTTTGTATTTTGTCTAAAGCAATAAGCCCAACAGTGTGCATTATTGCTATAGTTGTCTATGAAATAATTTCCAAAATTTTCAGTCGCAGGATCAGTGATCAAAGTGTTGATTGTACTTTCTAATAATCCAATAAATGCGGATTCGTCGGTTTCTTCTAATAGACTTTGCAACAACTTGTAAACGGCAAACTGTTTCTCTGAATCTTTGATATCGTTTAAAATTTCTCTCCAGGCATGATCGACATGCCAAGGACTGAACAGCCTAAATTTCGGTTCTGACAATGTAGTCTTCCATGCATTAAAGCATGTATCAGTCATATCACTCATGAAAATATTGGGCGTAATCGGAAAATGGAGATTTTCATTGATAACACTAAAAAACACAGTCATCACATCTTCACTGCTACGATTAGATAAAAGAAAAGCGCAAGGAAAAGCCTGTCTCAAATCATCGAGAACAAACAATGTAGTTAGGTTGAAATTATGTGGATTAAGACCACGGATTTCATCGACACAGATACAATCATTTCCAAACATTGCCAAATACTCCAACTGTGCATCATTCGCAAGAACTAAGATAAAATCATCTTCATTCAATTCAAAACGATCAGGCTGCTTGGCACCCTGTGGCTTGTAAAATCTGACGATGTTAGTCGTCTCTTCCATCCTGGAAACCCACGACTGTACGCTGCCATTGTCTTTATAATTTCTTTTGCACCCTCTGTTCAATTTGTAAAGTTTTTCTATATTAAAGAGATCTTTCTTAGTAAGAAGGTGAATGCGCCGATTGAAACCGACTGGAGAAATAGAATGCCTGACTTCGTCTAAAATATTATCGAAAGGGATGTTCATGGAAATCTTCTGGGCCAACGAGTCGCGATCCTTCTGGGCGAGCCTAAGCCTGTTTATTTCCAGCGAATGTCCGACATGCGTACTGACATATTTCACGACGACCATACTCTCCGTCGTCATGACATCAAGCTGGGCCGGGCAATACCCGTCGATTTTATTTGAACCGAGCATTTTGAGATGTCGTTTCCCCTGTCCCCTGTACACGTACGTGCCATCCCGGTGACACTTGTAAAGCGTACGCGATGACTGGTCGTTCCTCTTGTAATTGGACCTGTTGACTACAAAAGAATGGCCGTGCTGTTCGATCGTCTCTTTCCAGGAGAAAAACTCTTCCTTGTCTTTGAAACAGAGAGTCTCTTTGGACAAGGAGATGCCGTGATCGTTCTTATAGTGTTCGATCAATTGGTGTTTTGGGGCCACATTCCCGCAAATGGGACACTTTTTCAAGTGCTTCGATGGTATTTTCGAGTGGCGTATCAGGTTAGACGTCCTCGTCTGAGATTTGGAGTCGTTTTGCGAGTTGGAATGTGTTTTGAGGTGTCTGGTCAAACTAAATTTCGTCTTAAAAGATTTGAAACACGAGCCGCAGGTGTAAACATCCCAAGAGGCGTCCCCGCAACCGTGTTTCGTGTGTTCATGCCTTTTCAAATTGCTCTTTTTCGTAAAAGTCTTCAAGCATATTGTACATTGGTGTTTCCTCGTCTCCATTTGACGAGGAAATGGTTTTTATCGGATCGGAAAATTGTCAAATCTAGATGGATTGAGGTTGTTACCGATATCGAGACAATAAAAAGCTCCTCTTCATTTGTAAATCCTTAGGATGTCCACAACTGGCGAGTCGGTCGGTCGGTCGAAAGGTTGCAAGTTGAAACTGATTGGAGCTTGCAACGTCACGTCTTCAAAAAACCACCAGCGAAAAACTGCAATAAAAACCTTTGAGCAAAAACCTTATTTTCATGCATAATCAGTATTTTTCTTTTGCTTTTTTTTATAAGCTCCTTACATATTTTCCTTCTCACGTTTTTTAATTATTATTATTATTATTATTAATTATTGGATTCGTGAGGAGTGGTCAAGGATAAGTTGGTTTAGAAAAACAACTTTTTCATTTTTTTTACCGACGTTTCGACCTTTATTCAGGTCATCGTCAGGGCTTGGGTGAATTACATGTAATATTTATCCTTACAAATATATCCTTGTCTGCATTATTGTCCACAAAACCATCAAAAATGAAATATCAGAATAAACAACCAATCTTTATGTTGAGGTGCCCGGCCACTGTGAGATTCAAGGCAACACTGAAGCTGACATTCAAACGAAAAGAGCAACAGCACAAGGAATCCCAGTGACGTACTCACGAAAGAATTTAGAATCACACCTAAAATATGAATAGACTAGGAATAAGCCTGGCACAGCATCATAGACAATAAACTGCGAAGCATCAAAGATTCTGCCAAGTACTGGACTTCGTACTTCGGACAAAGCAGTCAAGAAGTAACTCTGAACGGCTACGGATCGGACACACCAGTACACACATGGCCACCTCATGAACAGAGAAACACCCACAATGCAACGCATGCAAGGTATTACTGATTGCAAAACATTAACTGAATTTCTACTTTTAAAAACTGCCAGAGAAGTATTCAACCTCCCAAAAAGCCTAAAAGAGATCATAAGCGACGAATCAATATGCTTAAATAAAATGTTTGAATTTCTAAAATATACAAACATACTCAAAGAAATATAAACAAAACATAAGCAAAATAAAATAAGTACCTGGTATTTTATTATATTATTATTTATTGATTTTTTTTTTTTTTGATAGTTCGGTTTTGGTGTGATTCCTATGTTAACGTATCATAATCGTTGAGGCAGCAAGTTGTCTATGGCGTTGTTTGCCTATGGTTAGACTAACCTTCCTCTGCTTGCCGCTAGACAAAGGCAAACTCGGTCTTTCTGTGTTGGGATGTTTTTAGTTTGAAAGGTAGAAGACTTAAAAAAAGCTACTTTTGTAAATTAAATCAAGTAAGTAATTGATTTATTAGTTCCTTATACTTTTATTTTTACTGTTTCTTTCAAGCAGTGCATTAAAATTAACTGCACAAGATTTCAGACACATTTTGGTAAACAATGTCTCACTTTGAAATGGTATATGTAAAATAAACTACTGAAAAGTGAATGGTGATATTGCCTATTTTGTAGGATTTACTTTACGTAGCATTTTTATCTTATTTTTATCATAAATTGCATTAACATTTATTAGAAATTAGTATGTTTACTGTGTGGTGTTTGGTGACTGTTAGCCAATGATTATTTAGAGATCGTGAGATGCGGTCTGGTCACCAATCATTATGTTTACTGAAGGAAAATTTAATTAAGATATTTTGAAAAAAGACAAAATAAAAGTATGTAATTCCACGATTTTGTTTATTGGACACAATAATTTTTTTAATTATTGCTGCAAGTCAGAACTCTTTCCATAGTGCCCGCCAGATCCTAAATGAAGTACAAGATGTTTTGGCAAGGCCTTTCTCAACACAAACTATTTGTAATTGTTTGTGGGAAGTTGGCCTTGTAATTAATACCGCGTGTAATGTCCACTGTTAATAAGATTGCCACCAATTTCATAAAGAATTAAACTCTATAGATGTTGCAACGCTGCACTCAGTTGTTGTAGGTCAACTGCTGCGGCTGGTGATCGAAAAGACTTCTCTACGATGCATCCCATGTGCTCAATGGGATTGAGGTCTGGAGAAAATGGGAGAAGGGGCAGATGGGAAATTCCCGGGTTTTCTAAAGAAAAATGAACATTTCTGCCTCTTGAGGTCCGGCATTGTTATCAAGAAATCGAAAATCCCTGCCATTGAGATCCCTGGTTTGAGGGATGCATTCTTCAATAATTTCTTGGACATAACGTACTGCGGTGAGGTTACCTCCAACAATATGGAGTTCAGTTCGTCCTCCAGTGTAAATCCCAGCCCAGACCATTCACCATCTCCTCCTAACTGCACTGAATGGAGCATGAATTAGGGTATTGTCAATAGACTCTTCAGCACCTGCTATCACAATACAGACAGAAACACCACTCATCAGTAAATATAGTAGCATTCCAAGTGGTGTTTTCTTCTAGGAGCTTGCTGCACCATATTCTCATGAGTTGCTGGTGGCTAGCTGTTGCTGCAGGTTGACTCAAAGGGGCATACAATGTGAGGCCAACTTCCCACAAACAATTACAAATAGTTTGTGTTGAGAAAGGCCTTGCTAAAACATCTTGTACTTCATTTAGGATCTGGCGGGCACTATGGAAAGAGTTCTGACTTGCAGCAATGCCAATATTTCCGTCTTCCCTTTGCATCTGAGATCCACTACCAGGCCTCCTATTGGCACTTCCAGTCTCTCAGAATCGTGTTAAAGCCCAGGAGACCACGCTCTGTCTGAGAAATGCCAACTGCCTTTGTGATATCCATTTGCCGGTGACCTCGATGTCTCATTCTCACAATAATTGTGAACTTTTGGTTCAAGATGATATCTTTCCATGGTTAAAAAGAATACAACAGGATTAAAAGGGAGAAAAGATGAGAAAAGGTGTTTGTTTACAAAATGAGTGTCCTCATATTATTATTCTTAAGTAAATTCGTTATTAAAAATGAGGATTAACATTTGTTTCTTTTTGGTTTGTATTTTCTATTTGCTTTATCCAACTAACAAGAATATATTGATTAATTTAATTAATTAATATTAATTAATTAATTAAAATAAGAATAAATTACAAATATTCCTATACATTTTTGAGTTTATATAGGTTCAATTCATACAAAACTATATCCATATGATGAAAATAGTATAGTAATATAGAAAATAATAGTAGTAAATTGACCTATGAACAAAATAATGCTAAATGTTTGATATAAATTATTATCTAATAAATTTTTAAGGTTTTTATTTTATTTATTCTTTTTTTTTGGGGGGGGGGGTTTGATGCTGAATACAATTCTTTCCTCCACTATGACCTAAGATATAATATTAAATCTTATTGATAGTTTTTAAATTTACAGATAAGAAATGGATTACCAAAACCGTGCCGGTGGTAAGACAGGCACTGGTGGCGTGGCGTCATGGTCGGAGACGAATAGAGATCGTAGAGAGCGTCTCCGACAGCTTGCCTTGGAGACCATCGACATCAACAAAGATCCCTATTTCATGAAAAACCACTTGGGTTCTTATGAATGTAAATTGTGCCTAACACTTCATAACAACGAAGGGAGCTACTTGGCGCACACCCAAGGTAAGAAACATCAGGCCAACCTCGCCCGTCGAGCAGCCAAAGAGGCCAAGGATTCTCCACAACAGGTAATTAATTAGTCATACAGACAATAGGAGGCATTTTTAATTGAATCACATTTCTTAGCCTGCACCAGATAAGCCGAGGATAGAACCGAAGAAATTTGTTAAAATTGGTCGACCTGGTTATAGAGTAACAAAGCAACGGGATCCTGAAACGGGACAACAAAGCCTTCTTTATCAAGTTGATTATCCAGGTAAATAACCAATAAATATTTTTATTTTATTATTTTCTTTTGTCACTATAATTTTTTTTGACATTTTTAGAAATTGCTGATGGCATCTTGCCAAGGCATAGATTTATGTCTGCTTATGAACAGAGGGTTGAACCTCCAGACAGGAAATGGCAGTATCTCCTTTTTGCCGCCGAACCTTATGAAACTATTGCATTTAAGGTAACGTTATATTGTAAGAATGAACTAATCAGGAATTTTTAATGTGTTTAGATAGCCAGAAATTTATAGCCACACAAAAATTTCACATTTATATTATAATAAATTAGCTAAAAATGGTCATTTTATAGTATGCTAGCTGTCACCCCATTTTCATCCAGGACTAAAAAACCTTAACCCAAAATATAAAAAAACCTTGTATTTTCATAAATAAAATCATTGGATGTTGTGGTATGATCAATGCATTTTAACTGTCCATCATACTGTTTAGCACAATATTTCTTGGCCCCTTATCTTCATCAAACAAGAGAACCCGTAACTTCATAACAGTAGATAACTTGTTAACTGGCCACCTCAGGACTGGGACCCTGTCCAGTTCCTGTTTTGGCAGGTTAATCCCATCCAAATAAATTGGTTATCTGACTTTCTGGTTTTTGTACGAAAAAACTTTTGTCCCAGGTTGAAGTGAAATGATGCCATTTACGTGAACTTTTTGAATTTGGACGTAATAAATTCTTTGATGGTTGGGAAATTTAATTCTCGATAAAGTTTCTCATATAACAGCAGTTTTGGACTCTTATTTTCGTGATTGCTGCAGCTCCCCATTCCCCACTCCCATATAAAATAGGGGGATGTACTATCTGGAATATCAATGTGCAGAATTTTGGTTTCAGCTTGCTCATTCTATTTAGAAATGGATAGAGTTAAATGGTTTTTTTCTTGACAGTATATTTTTTATTGTACCTTGGGAAGGTTTGATTGTTGATGATCAACTCCTGAAGAAAACGAAGGGAAATTTTTTTTGCTTTACATTTAGATACATTTACGGCAATTTCCCATTTTTCCACGTACGATTCAATTTCTGTAAGTGCATTGTGCACATGCCTTTAGGTGCCTCTATATTATCACCTTTGGAGTACATTATGGCGCAATCTTCAAACGTCTCCGGCTGAGAAGCTGTGTGGTTAGGAAACTCAATTACATATTAAAAAACAGGTGTGAGGACAGAGCCCAGAGTAGTGCTTGCTTTAATTTGCCTTGTCACTGAGGTATGCTCATTAATTTTAACAAAGAACGAACTGTTGACAAGAAACGAAGATAAAGAGCAGTAAAGGTGTAATGGAAGTCCCACATTTTTTTAGTTTGAATTTTAAGCCTAAAACATCGAAAGCTTCCTCCAAATCTAGAAATGCACAGATGGTGTGCTGTTTAAGTTTAAATCCTTTTATGATATTTTCTTATATCTTTAGTGATCAGTTTCAGCCTGATCTTTATACACTTTTCAAAAATATTTACTGTTGAAGGAGGCTGTTTAGGCGATAGTTCTCAACTACATTATTGCTTTTGCCTGGCTTTGGGAAAACTCTTAATTCTACCATTTTCCATGTTGAAGGAAAGCAACCATTTCTCAAGCAAACATTAAAAATTTGAATCTCTGAAAACGTAACTCATAATGTCATAATGAAATGCTAATCTACTACCCCTCTTAACACACAATTTTTTGGCATCATTTTCTGTATCTCTTGTTGCTGAATTACAAGCAATATTACAGTCGAAAAAATTTTGTCGTTCTTTTTCTGTCTCATTTAGCCTACGGATTTTTTGTTTCCTTGCGGTGAAGGCCTGTCATGATAAATTAATTTGATTTTCTTTTGGGCATTTTTAATTTTTAAAATAAATAAATAGCTGAATGAAATAGGTAAGTTAATTAGATGATAATTGACAAATTTGAATTGTTGTAAATATTGAAATTTTTAAACATTTTTATGCATATGTCTGCACTTCATGCCGGTTTGCTTGGCTGTACCAGTGCAACATGACAGACTAAGATCTGTCTCTTTCTCCGCAAACATCCCCCACATTTTTTTGTCAAGCATTGCAGCAGTGGGAATTTGCAGTTACGCTGAACTGCTTTGTGAACTGCTATGCAGAGTAACATACATAATTTCCTACCTTTATTTGATATTGCAATTTCAACATGACAAAAACTACGTCTGTGTCATTCCTATGGTCATAAGGAACGCATATAAATAAAATTGATCAAAATTGTACCAGTAGATTTTGAAATTACCTCTTACAAACTTTCCCTCTTTATTATATCAGTCTATACTGAGATCTGTTAAAATACAGTAGTGAAATCTTTTTGTGGTTTGGTGTAACAAACCTATAATTTGGACATTACCGAACATCCTTGCCTGCCTATCCTTGTTCTGTTGGTCTTTTAGAGACATTTCGGCATTTCAGTTTTCAGTGTTGGGTCAGTGTGATTTCTATGAGGTCAAGTCCCTTTTAATGGTCATGAAGTGGTGTGTGTCAGTCAGAGTTATCTTTGTTTGCCAATGTCTTTGGTGGATCATGTCATGGATCCTTTTTCTTTTTAATTGGCAGATTATTAAATAGAAGAACGTTTCTAGAAGTCTTCTTTTTTATTGTGCAAGTTTATACTTTAAAAAAAAATTATTTATTTGTTTTTGTAAGAAAAATAAAATAATGTTATTAAATAAATACTTGCAGGTACCGAGCAGGGAAGTTGACAAATCGGAGAACAAGTTCTGGACACATTGGAACAAAGACACAAAACAATTTTTCCTCCAGTTCGCGTTCAAGAACGACGCTGTCGGCATCCCTTCACTGGTCACATCCCTTCCATCACATCTGCCTATGCCACGGCCTCCACATCTCATGCCTCCTCCACCTCCGATGAACGTCCCTCCACCGCCACCAATGTTCAATCCCGTTCCACCACCTCCACCTAACCTCATGATGGCACCGCCTCCTCCACCAAGCCACCACCAGCCGATGATATAAACGCTGTGATTCGCCAAATGAACAGTGGTTTTTATATATATAAAAAAAATGTATTTTACTGAGCTATTAGTTTAAAAAAAATATATAATTGGTACGTACAAGTTTTGTTTATTATTATTTTTTTCAAGTGTGTTAGAATTATTCACAAATTACTTGATTATCTCAATTTTTCTTTTTTTATTATTTCAGTAACATTAAAAAAGTATGTGTGATTGTGTTGCCTGTTGGAAAGAGAATGTTATACCCTGATCAAAAATTAAAATGCACTAAATAAAATGTATTGAATATTTTGTGATCATCTTGTGCAAAGCTACCCAGGAAAGGTCATGTCAAGGCCTGTGACATTTCTTCTTTCCTTTACCTTGAACCCCAACTTGAACTTCGGGAGCATCTTTCGTATAAAAATTCAGGACTTTCCTGTCCAAGGATTGCATCATCCTTAAACTTCAGTCAGGTTTCAGCCTCTTATGTAATACAAAAAATAAATAAAAGACAAATGTTTACATGCCCAGATTTTAACACTTTGTAAATTGGCTCTGGCCTTTGCCTAATTTGCTCTTAAATAATATTTTATCTCAAGACTCTCAACTAAAATTCCAATTTGATCTAAGGTTACCAGAAGAAAAAATTGTATGACCTTATTAATAGAACTGACATAAATTTTTTTTTTTAAATTCCAGATTATTGTTTTTATGTGTTAAGCTAATTATATTGAGAAAAGCGAAAGAAACACTAGTTAATCACCCTTGTTAAGATGTTTAGTATGTTTTACAGTTGTTAAAAAGAAATTTAGTCAAATTTACAAAGTCAGAAATTGGCGTTTTATGAGGCATCTAAAACATGGAGAAAATGAGGGGTTTACCATGCCTTCTGCCATCAGTTGACATAACTTAGTGTTTCAAGGATTTGACTGTTGTATTATTTTTAATAACGGACATTTTAAGTTCATTGATCACACTTTGTCACTTGTGAATGGAGAAAAGTTATTAATTTGATGATATCGCAGAAAGGAAAAATTTTTTCCTTTATGTTCTATAAAAAAAAAAATTATACATTGATCATAACCTTGATGGGAAAAAAATCACTGAATGTTACCCATAACGGCTTAATGCAAATTTAATTAATTTGGCTCAATGAGGAGGGCCTGGGGTGTTGAGAATATATAAGGAGGTGGCCATGTGAGACAAACCAGTTTTGTGTTAGTAGCTGAGAAATTGAGTCCTCACTTAGTGGTGACTCTGTCCTTCATGTGACTATCAGAGCAGAATATTTTTTAGAAATCCTCTCATCATTGTTAACTTAGGCCTTCGACGATGAATGTCAAAATTTTTTACATGCTATTTTTAGTCGCTAATTCATATGGGTAAACACTATTCTTTCTAGAGAGAAAATTATGATTTTTTATTATAATTCTATATAATTCCTCTTTAGGAAGGAAGAGCAATTTACTTATAAAACTTATAAAGAAGTAAGTAATATTAATTTATTATTTGTAGCCTTTCATATTCTCTCTCTATATTTTTTTAATTAATTTGATTATAGATTTCTGATTTTTTATTAGAAAAAGCAGCCAAACATGAAGACAGCGTAGAACACTTTTCAATAGGTGAAAGCGTAGAGGGCCGGCCGATCACCGGGATAAAGATCAACAGAGGAAAATCGCCCAAGCCGACAATTTTAGTAGATGGTGGTATACATGCCAGGGAGTGGGTTGCACCGGTTGCAGTCGTTCATTTTATCGAGCAACTGCTAGACAATGATACCAATTTGGAGATGACTGAGAAGCTGAACTGGTATTTATTGCCGTTGCTCAACCCAGATGGATATGTCTTCTCCATGGATTCAAAAACGGTGAATTTTCTTTACAAAAAATTTAATATAATTTGGAAACTTTGAACTTACGTACACTTCAGGTGAAATTAATTTTGATTTGTTATGCATTAATTGGAATGTCATGATTTCAAGATGACACTCATCACACAATCTGAGCAGAGGAATTATTACATACTCAACTCAGTATGTATAAAAAAAAGAAACATGACTTTTCTAAAGAGTGGAAGGGTTTCAATGAAAAATACTTCCTGACAACAAAATTTTCTAGAGCAAAGCAGTGACCCTGGCAATTTATGAAAGGAAATAAAAGAGGGAGGAATATTTCCTGTCAGATGGGGGAATATCCTTTGAAGCAGTTAAATAAATTGTTTAAAATACTTACAAAGGGATGACCAGGTTTGAGGGTAACGGGTTTGAACCAAACTTTTTTCAGTGATTCTACACTCCAAAATATTGGACATGTATCTACTACTTCTTGTGAATAGGCTCTGGTTTCAACAATTTTTTTTTCAAAAGTTGAAATTTTTTATTTTTTAATATTTCTATTTCGCTGTTCTACCTGCTCAAATGAATCATGTGAATATATCATTTCCTATCAAAGTTTAACAATAACAAAAAATGCTAAAAGCCAAAATTTTTCAAGGTCATAATTATTTTAAAAATCTAATATGAAATTTCATTTTAACACCTTTAGAGATCTCTGAATATAAATTTTTGTTTGAATTTAAATTTATAGATTTTTGACCCCTCAATTTTTTTCTATTTTTGAGAAGTCGTTAATGGAATATCTGAATGAAACAGCTAGGAGGATTTAAAACCATTTAAAATAAAAGGAACTTAGCTTTTAACAATGTACTTACCATTAAAATATTTCTACAAGAAAATACACAAAATAGCAAAATTATTTAACAGAAATTAACCTCGATTTTTTAAATGGAAATAATAGTCTGATTTTAATGTCTGATACGGTTATAAAATGCATTTGACAATTTCTTTAAAACGGATTATCAACCATGAAAATCAGTTCACTAGCTTTTGAGAAAAACGATGTTAGGGCATGCACCAGGAATGTTGCAGAATGTCGAAATTATTAGTCAAAAAAATTAATTTAGACTGATTTCTGTGAGTCAGTATCTGAGTGTTTTATAACACTGGAATCATGACATTGTGGTCAAATTCAAGTTTTGACTATTTTCTGACCTACTTTGCTTACAGAATGTTTGTTAAAATATGCCAAAAAAGCAATTTTTCATTTCTAATTGATTGATTTATTGGTTGATTTATCTAAATCATTCCAAATTAGAATATTTTGCATTATATTTGTGGAACATTTCTATTTTTATGTTAACCAAGAATGACATTTATTTATCAAAAATAATATTTTTTTAATCAATCACTAAATGATGATTTATGTGAAAAAAATGAAATTTCCTGTTTCACAAAAAAATTATGGCCTAGTTTACTTGAAAAATATTTGGTTTTTAGATAATTTTTGGTATTGATAAACTTTGATAGCTTTTACTATATTTATATTGCAATCTATATAAAAAATGCTATAAAATGATATATTCACATAAATGATTTGAGAAAGTAGAACAGCAAAATAGAAATATTAAAAAATGGCATATTTCAACTTTAAAAATTTTTGGCGAAACCAGAGTCTATTCACAAGAAATGGTGGGTACATTCCAATTTTTGTTTTGCCCTGATGATGACCTCGAAAGCTTGGCGGTAACAATTGAATTTGCTTCTTCATCACGGATGGAGGAGAGCTGGAAAATTGTGGTGGCTGAAGCTTAGGCCTTTCATGGGCCATGAAAGATGAATAGTAATAATAGTATGAATGGGAATGTGTATGTCAATATATTTTTTATACTGTACATGAATTAAGTACTTGATTCACTTAGCTGTCGAAGTCTCAAGACTTAATTTTGGTGTGCTAGATATTACTAGGTGACTGTGGAGGCCAAATGGTTAGGGCTTTCTTGTAGTTCTGGGCCGAATCTTGGCAGAGCCCACGGCTTTTTAATGATAATAGTATGAAGCATGTATAGTAAAGTGGTTTGACCCCTTGTCCATGACACCCAACTGGTAATTGAATAATTAATAATAATTAAGCCCGCTGTGTGACAGGAATTACTGCAGATAGTTCTAAAGAGGCCAAGAAAAGTTGATTATCAATAAATAAAATCAAGGCTAAGAACAGGACAATTGTAATAAAGTATAGATTGTAAACATTTAATTTTTTACAGGGAAGACTCTGGCGGAAGAACCGTGCGAGGACATTCGACCCGTTCTGTGATGGAGTGGATCTCAACAGGAATTTTGGTTTCATCTGGGGCGGTGATTATTTTATTATAACTGTTTTGAAATAATTCACCTCCAGTTTTCCACTTTTAGGGCCTGGCTCGAGCGACAACCCTTGTGACATGAACTATAGGGGTCCGTTTCCATTTTCGGAACCGGAAGCATCATCTTTTGCCAATTTTTTCCTACCGAGGGCAAGCGAAATCCAAATGTACCTCACGTTCCACAGTGCTGCAACTGTTAGTACATTTTTCTTTTTAAAATCTTTTTATTTTAATTAATAAATTTGTTTTTAAAGGCAATTTTATATCCTTGGGGCTACACAGATCTTGTTCCTACTGACTGGGATGAACTGGTAAATGTTTGTTTTGAAATATTACACATATAATACAAATAATATTAATAAAAAAATTTTCTTTGATTTTCAGGACAGTCTTGGTAAAAAGGTAGCTGCAGAAATGATGAAATTTAATGGAACAAGGTATGCAGTGGGTCCAACGACGCACTTAGTTGGTAAGTAACATTCTTAATCTCAATTTGATTTTTTTCTTTTTTAATTAAGTACTTTGCTTTTGTAATTTGATCTCTACCAATCATTTTGGTCTTCCTACAATCGCTGGATCTGACTGGTCTTTCAGACACATTTTGGCATTTTACCAACCCAGCGAGGTAAGCAGACCAATACGATTGATTGACCAAATTTTAGGTTCATCACCCTGCAAATCTCATGATTACCGTACTTTTGATAAATTATTAATTCTAATTACTTTATACAGAAAATGATGAAAAATAATTTCAAACTTATTCAACTTTATCTGAAAGGTCAACTTTTTTCTGTATTGTTTATCATTGGAGTATTTTTTAAATTAATTCATATATGTATTTAGTAGTCATAATTGGCTGTGTTAATTATTTAATTAATTATACTTTTTATCTAAGGTTTTGGTTGAGATGAAAAAGCTAGTGACACCAGAGAGATTTGAACTCATGACCTTCAGCACATTGAACAGAAGGTCGTGGGTTTGAATCTCACTCGTGAAATTATCTTTTTCGTATCAACTACGACCTTAGTTAAAAAGTATAATTAATTAAAATAATTATTTTTTAACATATATTTAAATGATTTTGTACATTGGATTAATTTTTCCCTACTACACGGGAATAATTAATGTGAAAGTTCCATGGTGATTTGGCACTGTGTTCATGGCCATGTTCTGGTCAGGGAGTTTCCCGTGAAATCCTGTAATTATATTTTTAAACCGCTTTCTAGGAGTTGGCGCGGGAGGAAGTGACGACTGGGCAAAGGGGTCAGTTGGTACCAAATATGTCTACACTTTTGAGATGCCTAGCCAGTCATTCCCGCAGGCAGGATTTGACGCCCCATTGGACGCTCTCCCTACCATTGCTAAAGAGTCATTTGTGGGTTTGAAAGTGTTTGCTCAACACCTTTATTCAAAATATGATAATAATACGATTGATCATTGATTCTATACCAAACATAAATAATAATGAATTATTTAAAAAATCTTTAACTTTATTAAACCTTAGTAACTCTTGAATATGTAAAATTCCTTCTTAATTCGATAATTAATTTAGAGTTCTTCATTATATATTTTCTTATTATATTAACCACATTGTAATAATGTTAACATTTTAAGTAATTTTATTTTATTGGCTTATCAGCCACAATGATTGAACTGGTGTTAAACTTTAGTTTTTGTCTGTGATATAAATGTTGAGATATACAAAATTGGCGCACTTTGAAACTTTGATTTTTTTATACCTTAGGGAAAAAAATCACTTTTGTATGAACATTTTGTGTACGAACAACAACTTTATAAAACAAACTTACAAATCTTTAATAGGGTGTATTACCTCCTCTAGCTTTTAGTATACACTAATTTTCTTGGCATGCTCATAATTAAACCTTTAACCATGTCTTGAGGAATTTCATCCCAACTCTCACTAATGTAAATTTCAACTCAATTGTCGTAGATCAAATGGGCTGGTCATCTTAGACTAAGAACATTGGCATTACAAAGGTACTGCAGATCACTGGTGGTGACAGTTGGCCTTGCATTATCTTGTATAAATAACAATTGCTTGCCAATAACAAATGGCACTACACATTCTTCAAGAATGCTTACCATAAAGATTTCTACATTAAGTGACAACCTATTAAAAATGCATAATTAGTTTTTGCCTCTAAAGCAATTCCACCTAATAACCAAACCACCAACAAACAACTATTTGCATTGGCTGTAGTGCCCTACAGATGTTCGATAAATTTGAAGGTGTTCTTTTGGTGAAGGAGAGAAAACTGAGGCTTGTCTGAAAACAACATTCCTCCATTCAGTTTTTGTCCAATATCTGTGTCCTTTCCAAACTCTAAGTGGATTTCTGATGATGGTCGATTGTAAGTGCTGGACTCGCTTTTCACTTTCTGGGATGTAGACTCATTTGTGCAAGTCTCCTTCTTTCTGTTTCAGCACTAACGGATACATCCCGCATGGATCGAAATTTTGAGATGTTTCAGAAACAGCGGAAAAGCAATTTCTTAGAGAGTGCAGCCTGATAAATCGGTTGTCGACTGGTCTTGGGCATCCCGATCCTGGTATCCAAGTACACTTTACAGTCCTGATGCTGTTGAATACCTTTTGCTGTTTCAGGCCTAAAACTCTTGCTGCGAAACACTGATTTCTTCCATCCTTAACAAGTGCAATGCCACCAGCAACTTGCTCGCTGCTTATGGGCTTTTCTGTAATAGTTTTTAATGGATTAAATGCAATGTTGATGATTTACATTGTGGGGACTTCAAATTAAATTAGGAATTAAGCAGTTTTACCTAAAAATCTATGGCCAAAACAAATACTTTCCATTTAATTATAATTATTAAATCATTTTTAAAATAGTCAAATTAAAAATATGGCTAAAACATTGCCAAATTAAAAAAAAATAAAAGTACCGCTTGTTTTGTGGAGCAGTATACACATGTAACATTTTATTCTTCAAATCCTCGCTGTTTTGGTCTGTCTAGACGAAGAATAGCTTTTCACCATCTTCAGTACTGGGTCTCTACAGACCTAAATAGTAATGATAAGTACATAAAATAAAAAAAAGGTTTTTGAATGATTTAAGGTTGTTTTGTTTAAAAAATATTAATTAAAAAGAAATAAGTGCACAAATGAACTGCTTATTTATTATCAACTAATAAAGTGCCCAATGTTATTAATCTATTTTTCATTGTTTGTTGTCAAATTAGTTTTGTCACTCTTCTTTTTCGCCTCATCCAATCGTTCTTCAAGCAGCTTCAATTTTTTAACGAGCCGTTTTTTCACAGCAGTATTACGCTTCTGAAAGGAGAAAAATGTGCAAGGATTAAAATTATAATAAATCAATCACTTACCCTGAGAATCATGCAGTCTTCGGCCAACTTGGTCGCATTCAGGCCAATAATTTTCTCTTTTGTTGTAGCTATGTGCATTTCCAGTGTCTTTTTCTTTTCCCGCAGTGTTTCGATACAATTTTTCAACTCATCCAGGTCTTCTAATTTCACAGATTTTAGCCCTTAAAAAAATAAAAATGATATATATTTTTTTCAGGTTCTTGTTGTTTAAGATTTAAAAGAACTTACAAAACCGTTCATTCTTTTCATTTTCCTCTTTAATCTTATTGTAGTATATTTCGAATGTTTTTATTTCTTTATCTTTCACCATGTCAGTCTGGCTCTGTTTGGCTAAAATGCTGTCAATTTGGCACTCAATTGTCTGTATCAATTTTTAAAAAATATATGTATATGCCGTGAGAAGACTTATTTTTTTATGAAGAAAAAACTTTTCAGGAAAAATAACTTATTTTAAAAGATTTGTTAATCAAAAAAATTAGATTTTATTGCATTAATTTTTATGGTAATAGTAATTTTGTTTTAAATTCAGAACTAACAGGAAATCCACTCAGGGTTCCATAATTTTTTGTTTATTTAAAAAATAATTTTTCAAAGCTAATTAGTTGTGTAGCTAATTAATAATTAATTATGTAAAGATTATTGTATTAACTGTATTGAACAATTAGAATGAGTGTACATAAAAGTAGAAGCATCTTTCTTGGACGCAGAATACCTTCTAAAAGAAAGCTCAAGAATTGCAAAATGGTGAAGCCAGAGGGCAGTAGCTATTCCAGACAGTATCAGACATTTCTGTAGGATAGTGAACATGTACTATGCCGAGATTGTACAAATCCATTGTACATAACATGCCCAGTATTATCTGACAGGATAAGATGAAATTAATGGTTTTATAATTGACATAACTTTGCATAACCAGAATTTGTAGTACACCTATCTAAAAAAATTCAAAAAGTAACTTCTTTTCTTTTAAAATGGCTGCCCAATGGAGGCAGGTAAGCTGTATGGAGATGGTTCCCTGGCGCTGTCAGCAACAGGTATTATGCCGACCACATTTATAAGAGGTCTGGATAAAGTGGAAATTCACCCTGAAGTAATTCCGCAAGTACAAAGGGCATCAATCCTTGCAGTATGTAGAATTGGACCCAATGTCGGTTTTGCCTGTCAGATCAAAATGATCAAGCAACAGGTTCATAACCTAGCAGCCCTCACTATAATGTCTTGCAATTTGTCAACATATTTGTTTTACTTACATCAGTTGTATACAATTTTAAAACTAGTTACTAACATGCATTGTTTATTTTGATTTACTTCAGTTAAGTGGTCATCAAATAGATATTTTCAAGTCAAAAAAACTTACAATCAATTTTTCTTTGGCTTCATTTATTTTTGAGGTCATCTGAGTAATTTCACCACTCAGAAGAACGCTCTTGTGGTTTAATATGTCTGATTTCTCACGTAGAGCTGTTACTCTTCTTCTTGCTAAAAGCTCAATGCTTTATTTTACTTTATTAAGACAAAAAGAGTGATTTATACCTTCGTTCAACTGATTTATAACTGATGCGTGCTTTTTTGAAATCTTTTCATGCTCGGTTTGTATCAGCTTTGCCGTTTCTTCCCTCTTTGCTAATATCATTTGATTCATTGTCGGACATTTGTCATCCGTCATTTTCAAAATATTTTAAAGTGGATAAATAAGGTTGAGACTTATTCAGAAATTATTAGCTGACTGTAAGAATTAAATTATTAAGCCTTAAAGTCTATAACAGCTAACAAGCCTTGTCACTCATTCTTTCTCTCTCTCACTTTCTCCCTCCCTCAGACATATTAATAACACAAATGTTTTATTCAAAACAGTAAAGTTAACAAAAAAAAAAAGTTTTATCGCAGAAATGTGTTTTAACTTTAACTGTATATTGTTATTATTTGTAATTATAATTTTTCATGGCTAAGGTGATCTCACAGCCTTACTGATAGAAATTTTCTCACCAATACCTGGGGGTCCACACCTTGATGATCTACATTCGCTATTATGGAAAATTTGTATCTATAATGAAGGCTTTAGCAGATACTTTTAACTGTTAGACAAAATAAATGCACCACCCTTAAATTTTATTTATTTAGGGTTTATTCATATTTTGGATGTAAAACTAAAACATTTAAAAATTGTAATCAAGCGACTACCAAGTAAGGCACGGCTCTCCCCACCTGTCCAAGAGGAGGGCCCAGCAAGGCTTAGCTGTGCCCACCTGGAGACTGGACGGTCCAGGCCCATTCCGCTACCGATTGTCACAAGAGTTGTACTGATTTGTTAATTATGACTTAAACTTAGGTGAGTCCTTTTCTCTTTCTCATTTCCATGACATATGCCTGGCGCCCAAGTTTGTGAAAATTAATTTAGTTTTCTTTTTAAATTCATTTCTTATCTGGTACAGGTCATAAAAGAGATTTAGAAGGATGAGCTTCTGTTTACGCGAATGGGACAGGAATTAGCAGATTGTACTACACTGAGTCTTTTTAACTGTCATATATGTTCTTTTAACCTTTTCACTATTTCGCCCTTCATGTGAACAGCTCATCAAATCGGTGTTCCAGCAAACCGCTTCAATATAGCTCAGTTGAGTTATAAATTCTTGAAGCAGAAAGTCCTGGAGATGATTTCAAATAAAGTCGAAAGCTTGGCAGAACTGTTTTTGGATTAAGAAGCACTCCCAAGCTTCACTACAACCTCGATCATCATGACAATTACAACTGCTGGTCGATCCTATCAAGAATTTACATTCAGTAATGACATGAATGGTGATAAAAATTCAATTCGCCAGCCGACAAGTACACAAAGAGATTTTTTTATTTAATATATACAATATTGACAATGGCTAAAGAACAGGTTGATAAAAAAATTAATTTTCACTTGTCCAATTCTTCGGGGGCTACGTACTCGTACTGTTTGACTTTCGTGAAGCCTTTTAAGCTGTAGACGTCGGCTCTTTTGATGCCGAGCAATTCGGCGTAGTAGACGGCAGCAGGTTTCGCGAGTTCCTCATCGCTTTTGAGGCCGTAGTATTCAGGCCAGTCCTTCCTCCCGGTGAAGGTGAAGTAGGCGACGGCACCGAAGGCGTTCCACGCGAGGAACGCGTACAAGAAGGACAGCTTGGCCTTCGTCGACATGGCCTCCTCCGGGTCCATAGGTCTCATCCTCTGACGGATCATCCGATGAAACCAACGAAACATATCGATTTCGATTAAATTAAACTTTAACTTACACAAAACTTCTTCAAAAGCATATTTATATGGGCAACAGCGAATATAACCTCCTAGGATCACATTAACAGGGTGAATTTGATAACATTATCAGATAACACGTTATCACATCAGTACACAAATTAATTATTTATACTGGTAAATTTACCCAGTTACAAGTTCTACAAGAGCTTAATAAATACATAGGTTTAGGCTCTTTCAGGAACGAATAGAAAAAAAAATTTTCTTTTACGTTTCCTTTATTTTTTAAAAATTACATTACATTCATTACACTTTATATAACCATCTCTAAAGTGGCCAACGGATTCAAAACGTCACGATCTGACGTCACCTTGGCGCAACTTTCACATTTCGTTGACACCATGTTAAAGTGACGAATGTGAAAAGTGGAGACAATCCATATTCGTCACTTTAACATGGTGTCAACGATTTATTCCCCTACATAAACAATTTTTTGTGGTATTTAGTGACCGTTAATTAATGATTATTTGGTGATCATGAGATGCTGTCTAGTGTGACGTAGGTAATAAAAACATGTAAACACGAACAAATATTTGTAAGATGTGAAAAAATGAATTTATACAATAATAGAAATTTTAGACTCAAAATATTTGTTCTCATACACTTGTAAAGTGTATGTTTTCTGTGTATTTGTGTCATCACTGTGCGTCGTGTTGATAGTAGCAGTGAGATATTAATGTATGGTAATTAGTGACCGTTAATTAACGATTATTTGGAGAACGTGAGATGCGGTCTGGTGTGAGGTTGAGAAAAACACTTTCTCTATCGTGCCAATGTTTCGATGTTCATTGAGATCATCATCAGGGCCTGGGATTTATAAACATTGTTTAAATTATACAAATGCATGTAAGATGTGAAAAAACAAATGTATACAATGATTGAAATTTTAGACTCAAAGTATTTGTACTCACTCAAAGTGTTTGTTTTCTGTGTAGTACAAATATGTTGATTGAATCTAAAATTTCTATCATTGTATAAATTCATTTTTTCACATCTTACATGTATTTGTATAATTTAAACAATGTTTATAAATCCCAGGCCCTGAAGATCTCACTAAAGATCGAAACGGCACGATAAAGAAAATGTTTTTCTAAACATACGTCACACCAGACCGCATCTAATTATAAATTATTTGTTGAAGTGATTTGGGCATTCATCAGGGCTTGGTAAATTACAAAACATATGTTGATTGGAAAAAAACACAATTTAAGATGTAAATATAAATTATGAACCAAGTCTTTCATACTCATATAAATTGTGGTGCTATTTTTGTTGCTTTTCTGATATTTAACAGGACACTGCAAACTAAATGGACATTTAAAGAAGATTGGAATAATCCAAGAAGGCATATGCAGGTTCTGCAAAGAGGCAGAGGAGACTCCAACAAACCTATTAACAATCTGTGGTCCTACACTTGCCTGCAAGAGGAAGTGCTTTGGGACGTACAATGTCACTTTCGAAGAAATTCATCCACTGAAAACGGGCCTACTGATCAAGTTCCTTGATGAAATAGGACTAACCGGCGTGTTATAGACACAGAATGGGGGATACAATAGCTCTTAAAGGACCCAGTATATCACACCGACTAATACATCTACATCTGTTCTTGTGGTGTCAAATCGGTTTTGTGTGAAAGTGTTATGAAACGTGAATTTGTATTCTGCCTTGGATTGGATTTGTGATTCGGCGTTCAATATTGGAAAGGAAGTTAGTTATTAAGGAAGATAAACGAAGGAAAGGAAAATAAAATTAAGGTCTAATAATTTAATTGCTTCATGATGTTGGCATAGCTACGGCTGAGTTTGCATGTATCTGTTCTATAATTAACGTGTGTGTCTCTCTATTGTAAACCATTTCTGGAAAGTTGCATTTGTATTTGTGTTTTTTCCCATGTTTAGTATTTGTATTTTTTTGGAATCAAAGTTGTGTTGTTTTTCAAAGTGTAGTAAAGTAATAATGAATAATTACATATAACATAAGTTTCTGTTTTCAATATTAGAAGTATCCATTCACAAACAATCTGGATCAAGGCATGGTTTCGAAGAACAATGTAAATTCAGTTGTTACTGCCAAGCTTTCGACCTATTTTAAGGTCACCATCAGGGCAAAATAATCTTAAGTATATCTACAAATTGACATATTTAAATTTTTTACAGGCGATCTCAAATTTCCTTTAAGATCACTCAGTCCCAGCATTGCCAAGGGCTGTGATGACTGACAGTCCACTTTAAATATGAATTGATAATTATATTTAGACGGAAAGCATTTGTTTTTGTCACTGACAGTGAGGCAAAACCGATTAATTCATAATTTGATTTAAAATTCCACCATGTAAATTATTAACAAAGGCATTTAATCCTTTAACAATGAATGCCTTTATTCACTTTTGTGTTGGTGGCACAAAAAACGATTACAAAATTGCCCGTAATAAGCGAGCAAGTTGTCCATGCCATTCCACTCATTGAGGATGGAAGAAATCAGCTTAAGGCTGCAAGAGTTTTAGATTTTCCTAAAACGACGGCTGTCGGGCATTCAGCGGTACCAGGAGATTGCTAAGTGTACTCGGAGACCAGGATTGGGACTCCCAAGAGCCAGCTGACGACCGATCAGATCAGATTTCACACTCTGAGACATCGTTTTCTATTGCTTCTGAAACGTCTCAAAGACTTCAAACTGTGCAAAATGTGTCTGTTAGAGCTGAAACACGAAGAAGAAGACTTGCAGAAGTGAGTCTACCTACATCCCGTAAGGCCAGCAATGGGTCCAGCCTTTCCAGAGACCATCGTCGGGACCGCTTAGGGTTTGGAAGGGACACCAATATTAGGAAGAAACAGTAATGAAGGAATGTTTTCAGACAAGTCTCAGTTTTCTCTCCATCCATCAGATAGACATTTTCGACTTAGCTGTAGAGCTAATATATTAGAAAGGGGCGGTTAGATAAATATAGCCATAAATATAGTATAAATAGAGGCATGGATGGATGGATGAAAGGCTTCAAGAGGGAGCTAACACCAAGGAAGGTGCCAGGCAGCAGTTGGTAGAGGAAAACCGAAAAAAATTCTGAATATTTTTTTAAGATTTCCAATGTAAACGACCCTGCTGAGTCGACTGGTACAAGAATTAAGCTCGTAAACTTCATAGTTTAATTTGAATTTCCTGTTGTGCTGAAATAAAGAATAATTAAAGTTTTTAAGAAAAATCAATCAAAATCAATTCATGTATACTGTTGCGTTTTTAATTAATTTATTATTTGCTTAAAGCGATGATAATTGACAAGTGGATTCGTGCGGTCTCTCGGTCGACGTCAAATTATTTACCAATAGCAAATTTCTTGACATTTCGGCTATATACCTCGTTTATCGTGATTTCTCTATTCTTACTGCATTTATTTTTTTTCTTTTCTCTTTTCATTAAAACATATGCTTGTCCAACCAGCTGTTTGAATTTTTGGCTTTCCGGTTCCGTGCAGTTTTTGTTATAAAATTCCAAAATTCAAGCCTGGGATGTTCAAGTTCAAGTACCCAAGGAAGGACTATGAGTCCTCCAAGAATGTCCCATAAACATTTATAAGAAAAAGGAATCAAGTTTTTTTCACTATCTTCGCCGATGCCAGGGATGTTTCACAAATAATAAAAGGTAATCCGTTAGATCCTAATTTCACAATCAGGAAACGCTCGTCGGAACGGCTCGGATCTTTATCGTCGGATAAGCCTTTTTTCCATTATCCTCAATCATTCATGTTAATTCGCCGAGAATTTTGTGCGTTAATAAATATTTAATTAAATACCTAATAAGTTATCCGTCGCAGGTCTAATTTGCCGACCGAATTCGTCTTCGTTAGGATAAGCTGACGCCATTTTCTTTCTTGAGCTCTTTCCTGTGTCCCTCTTTTCAGTTTTCAACCATGTTTCCCTTCTTTGTTAATCTTGAACGATATCCGTCCTACTGACTGTAGTTCATCTGGAAAAAATAATTAGCGAACGATTTTACATTAATTTAACAAATTGATTTTGCCCAGATGTTGGCAGATGTTTTTTTAAGCAGTCATATTATCAACAAATTAATTACAAAATATATTAAACATTGTACTTTTTTCTTTTTTAAAGCCTTTAAAACTGCCTTGATTCTATATAAGAGAATGAGATGAGTGAGGAGAGGCAAGGACACTTCCCCTAACTCAAAGCCATCTCACTTTCCTTTCACTCTTTGTTTGTCAAAATTTATTTATCAATTCAGATTCAGTAATGAACTCAAACAGCTTTGTGATGTAAGATGGGGAATCTTTCATAATTTTGGGCACATTATTTGCAAGCCTATATTTGACTGTAAAGTCTTTGTAGTTTCTACATGATGTCAGAATATGCTTGATTACTTCACCGAAAATTGTGCATTCTGGAGGAAGCACTCTGGTCATGAGACGACCGATCAATCTTATGTGACCTATGCCAAGCCAATTTTTTCCTCTTTCAGTGATTTTTGCATTGCCGTACCCCATTTTTTGACATCTCCATTGTTGTTTTGACAATGAGTTTGTTTTCCTCGATGTTTCACCATTCCAAATTCCTTCAGAAAAACTGCAGAGTCTGTGCTAGGCACCTCCAAGATGGAAGTACCCTTTGATGCAGCACATTTCGCTACCACAGTGACCTGGGATCCATAAAAATTAACTACTGATTTTGTGTGATCTTTTAGAGCAAGTAATATCTCTTGTATTCTGGGATTAACAGAAAATTTATTTTTGATAGCTAGATGTAGAAAGGGCATCTATACAAATCACCAAGGCAGTGTTGTTAGAGCTTACAATATTTAGGCATTTATTGATCGCAATTATTTCAGCAGTGTACTTGCTACATATCTGGGAAAGAGAACATATTTTTTTCACATCATTTCTGTAAATGTGAAAGTTGAATTTTATATGGGTTTTTTATCCTTAAAAACTTTTTTTACAATATTTTTTTATATTATAAATGTATGAGGGTGTGTTTTCTTTTGGAAATCTTAGACCAAGGTTTTTGGTCGGCGGTGGGACGAGGAGAATGTACGGCTCCAGTGATCTAAGCGATGTGGACTTTTCCATGGATAGTTCAATGTAAATGATTTTTATCCACATCTCCATAGTGACTATCATAGTAATTGCATAAATTGATTTTACACAAAAGAGGATCAGCCCACCTTTTATCCCGGCTCATCCGTTGCTGCTGGGTCGACTCCATCTAGTCCTTTCTTGACAATCCTACCTAATGTTACATTTAAGTACGCGGCCAAAACTTAAAGAGTAAGGTCCAAAAAAAAGTTATTATCTATATTAAAAATGGATGACCATTCTGTGTTTTTAAAATAAAGTTCAGAGTATTAACACACTGCATTGATTGAGAACACCTCAAAGTGAAAGCTAATTATTTGAAATACAATTTTTTTAAAGTAACTATTGAGAACTACATATTTATAACATAAAATATTTTAATTTAGATTCTTGGTATATAAATGATTTGACTAGAAAATAGAGTAGACAGACATATTTTTAGCCAAATAAGTGTGAAATTCATGAGGGTGATACCCAGTACCGCGTTTTGACTAGGCCGATAGACCCAAGGTTTAATAAGCATTTTTCCTTATGTGCATGTAAAATGAACTAATTGAACAATAAAATGATCCAGGTTTTAATTTTGGAGAATGATGGATAGTGAAAGCATGGCAGCTCCTTCAAGGGGTGCTAACAAGTAATTGCCTCAAATTAAAAATCATTTAATTTTGTGCCTTATCAATTTATATTAGTTAACATTTCAGTGAAGAAAGAATTGAGGACCATAGTGGATCACAAATTCAGCCGACTGCCCTCGATGAGTAATAAAAAGTTAACACTTTTTTTTAAAAAATTGCTTCAGTTTAATAAATAAAAACATTTTTAGTATGAAAGCCATGGAAGCGAAACAATCAGATACCTTTTCAGGTAATGTCGACCAACATTCAGATGACATACTTCATCCAAATCAGCAGACATTAAAAAGGTATGTTTTACCCCAATTAAATTTTCAACATACAAAGTATTATTCTATAACATTATAAGGAAAACTGAAGCAAAAATTATGTAGGCTGCAATAAAATAAATTATTATTGAGATTTAAAAATAATAAAAAAACAAAAAACAAAAGGCTTGTAAAAATAATCTGTGATAAGTTCTTTGCAAACCAATAATTGACAAAAATAAACATGACACAAATATAATTAATTACTACCTGTTCTCAGGGAACGTATATATTATATATTTTTATTTTTAGTCATAGTTCTACTCATGACATATCTAGCCTTAATAAAGAACCAGCTAGTAATATCGTGTCACAAGGTGCTATACCTGAAAATGAAAATCAATTTGCGGAAAGGTAGTTATCATGTTTAGAACATTTTACAGTTTAAATAGGATATCACATGATATTTAATCATTTAATTAAAAAATAAATAATTTTAGGAAATGTAAAATGCAAGTAAATGCAATAATACCTGAAACTGCTGGTACATCTAACAAGCTTATTTCATTTCCGGAGAATGAACAATTAAAAAGGTATGGTTTTTAAATTTCATAGCATTGTCTTCCAAGGCTAATAATAAATGCAGAACCTCGTATTGACCGTTTTGAATATTATTACTAGGCAAGCTTCTAACCATGATTGCAAACAGTCTGATAATGCGCCAAATGCTCCACTTAAATTTGAAAATGAACTTAAGCCTGCTCAATGGTGGTTATTGGCTTTACAACATTTTACAATTTAAAACTATTATCACACAATATTTAATCATATAATTAAAAATTAATAATTTTAGGAAATGTAAAATTCAAGAAAATGCTATAATACCAAAACCTATTGGTACATCTAAAAAGCTTATTTCATTTCCGGAGAACGAACAATCAAAAAGGTGTTTTATTTTAAATATGATAGCTTTGTTTTTTAAGGTTAACAATAAATGTAGAACCTCGTATTGACTGTTTTAAATATTATTACTAGGCAAGCTAACTATAAATGTACACTGTCTGATAATGTGTCAAAAGCTCCCCTGACATTTGAAAATGAAAATAAGCTTGCTCAAAGGTACTTCTATACTGATTGAAACTTTGTTTATGTACTTGTTTCTTTCATTCATACCTACAAGCAGAAAATAAAATTTAAAAAAAATTATTATATAGGGAAAATACATTGCCCAAATGTGGAAATTGTCAGTTGCAAAAAGAACCTGTTCAACCTATCAAGGGATTTAGTCATCTTCCTGGGATTAAACAAGACCAACGGTATTTTATTTCTTGTAATTGTATTCCACTTCATATTTTAACAGTAATTGGTATTGCAGAAACCCTCAAGAATCCACATTTTTAATCGATTTTTTTAAACAGTGCTATTACAATAACATTGCTTTGAGTAATTGGGAACAATCCAAATCTCCTACACCAGAAAATAACTTTGCCCGAAGGAAGTCCCAGTAAACATTTACTTCATTCATTACTAGTTTTTTTTTAAATCATATTCATATGAAATTTAATTTTAAACATTTATATGAAAAAGTTATTGCTTTTAGGAATCATGAAATGTCAGAATATGAAATTTTATTTGGAACCATTAGTACTAGCGAGAAACAAATTTTACAACCTGGGTTCAAGCAAGTTCAACTGTACTTTTTTCTGCTTGATTTTAACGTATTATTAACATAAACATTTAATTTCATAGGCAAACTTTTACCACAAAGTTTTTAAAAGATGGTTCTGAAAAACCAAAAACCAATTTAACTGATTGTAATAATTATTGTGTACCAAGGTTGAAAAATGTTTCACTTTATTGTAGTTTCTATCTTTTTTTTTGTATTATTCATATAGGATTTGTATTAATACTAACTTTTTAATAAATTTTCACATGCCTTTTTAAAATTTCCATAGGCAAAATGTTTCTGATGAAGGTTCTATACAGGATTCTCTACAGAGTAATATTCAACCACCACAAATTGCTACAGTTGAAAAAGAAAAATCTGCTCGAAGGTAATTTAATCAGAGAAAGCTTACTAAGTTTTATACAGTCAGTAAAAAAAAGTTTATACAGACTTTTTTTACTAACTTTATAAAACTTAGTATTAATAACAAAAAAGTGGTTAAAAACAAATGGCAAAATTACGTTTTGAAAATATAAATTTATTTATTTAAATATAGGTCTATAAATATAGGTGTATTTTGAAGTTTATTTTAACCACTTTATCCGTACAAAAGAAAATAATGTTTAAAAAAAAGTAGCATAATGTTTGCAAGAAAAAAAACACAATTTTTTTCACATTCTGTGAGAGGTGTACTATTGGGTTCAAACTGAATGATTGCGGTGAAGTTTTTAATGGAAGTGTAGTGTTGTATAGGAACCATTCTTCAACATTTATGGCACAATGATTAGGATCATTAACATGCTGACAAATAAAATTCAATCCTAAGCCTAACTTGATAACACTAGGTCGCAGATTCTCTTTGGAATATCAATATACATACATTGATCCATTTATTCCTTCAATTGTCTTTAAGTTGCCTACTTGAGTTGCAGACATAGAACTCCAAATCATGATCCCTCCTCTATGTTTAAATGTGGGGTATAAGTTCTTTAATTTCATAACTTCGTTTTTCATCTCCACATACTAACATTGCCTTCACTACTAAAATATTGATTGAAAATAAATTGTTCCTAAAGCTAGTAGGCTTAAAGGTATTTCTGTAAATGCCAGCTCGCTTACTTTGCTTGAAATTTTTTGTGGGCAGATTGTGATTTGAGTTTATTTTTATTTTTTATTTTTTACATCAGTTTGATATGCTACATCAATGTTTTAATCCTGTAGTAAAGTAGCAACTATTGTAGGAGCACTTGATATTGGATTTTTATGTGCAATTCATAGGATGGCATAGTCATGATGGTACTGGAGTTTTTTTGGCTGTCCTAATCTAATTCTGCTTGCAATGCAACCTGTTGCACTATAATTTCTAATCACATTCTGTACTTCAAACACACTTTTAGTATGAAGATTTCCCTAAAGCTTTGTGGCCAACAATTAACTGTCTTATCTCCCGGCAAATTTCCATTGTGGTGAATTGAACTTTCACGTTAAATAAAGCAGTATTGATCAAATTTGAAAATATAAAATAACATAAAACCATTTTTGTCTACATTCAGAAGATTAAAACAAAGTGCGTGTAAATCCTGAAATGATATTTTAAGTGTGTTTTTATCCTCAAAAGAACATATAACAAAAATATTAAGTGAAATTAGATTGTGGAATTTATTTTACTGACCGTATGTCAATAATTTATTGTATATCTTTTTAAAATGAATTGTTTTTAGATTAAATAAATTAGTGGAAGGTGTAAGCTTGCATAAACCTATTGTTTTTTCCAAGGAGTCCAACTTACATTTTTTAAATGATCCAGTTGATAGGTATTTTACTTTTTTTTTATTAGTTAAACATAGTTTTCATTGAAAATTTTCTAATTTTTGTAGGGAAAAGGATGTAAAAAAAACTTCTATACTGCCGAATATTCAGACATCAGTAGCCAATTCAGTAGAAAAAGAAAAATCTGCTGATAGGTAAGGCATATTGTGAAAATTTTTTAAATGTTTGTTATAACATATATAATCTAATTTATTGTAATTTAATTAGTATACATGCTTCTTACATTAAAGCCATACAAATTAACTGCTTACAGGAAAAATAAATTAGCAGAAAATGAGAGCTTAGGTGAACCCAACGCTTCTTCTGAGAAACCTGGCGACTGTAATCTCATGGAATGGTGTTTGTTTAAGTTTAACGCTTTGTTATTGTTTTTATTGATTATTGACATTGCAGAACATTTTTTCATCAGTATTTTTAAATTGTTGTAGGGAAAATGTAGCTAAAAATATTTCTATACAACAGGATTCTGTTCAGCCTAATATTCAAACAGCACAAGCCACTATAATTGAAAAGGAAAATAAGTCGGCTCAAAGGTACAGCATATTTTTATATTTTTAATAGGGATTCGCCACCTCTATTTCTACTCAGGATCTTCCATGATATTAAGTATCATAACACCTTAACCATTATTCCATAGAGTTAGTTAGAAAGTGTGTGTGTGTGTGTGTGTTTTAATATGTAGTCTCTCTTTTTGACATATTCAGACAGTTTAATTCTTGTTTAAATTATTTACAGAAAAAATATATTAGTGGAAAATGAAAGCCGCCTACTTGAGCCCATTGCTTCTGCTAAAGAATCTGGCAGCTTATATTCCCTGAAAAACCCAACTGAAAGGTGTTTAATTTAACATATATATTTTGTTTCAATTGATTATTGGTACGGTTGACAAAATAAAGAATGAAAATAAACTGATGAAAAGTGTATAGTTAAATTTTACCTTGTATGACAGTAATGCCTCCAGTGAATATCTATGGAACACCGTTGCCTACCACTGACACTGTCCATTATTTTGGACTTTTCATGGATAAATGATTGACTTATAATCCCCAAACAAGACTAAAAAGACAAGAAACAAACCCACCTTTTAAATGATTGAAACAATAATTTACGATCAAAATTAGATATAGAAAATAAACGTTTAATTTACAAACACAATAATAAGACCTCTCTGGTCATAAGGTTTCCATTGTCCCCAATCAAATCAGTCAAAAATTCTCCATCAAGTTATAAATTCTCAAATCATACAATTCATAATGATCTTCACATCCCTGTACATGACCTCATCAAAACCCTGTGCAAAAAATTTCATCAACCACTGAGCATCCACAATAATCTACGAGTACGATTATCACTTCCAATTCTACCAGAAAATCCTCCAAAAAATTGAAGTGGAAGTGGCCCTGAGACCTTCTCAGCGAGTGACAAGTGACAAGGTGTCAGTGTGAGTGTTGTCACTGGGCAACATCTACAATGTTGTATGACAAATTCAGCCTATTCGGAAATAATATTAGCTTTAATAAGCTAACACTGTTCTTTTTATATATAACCATAATTTTTATATATATAACCATTTATTTTGCGTTTTAAATTTTTGCAGGGAAAATATCAACAAAATTTCTATACGGGATGCTGTGCAGCCTACTACTCAAGTAACACAGTCCATTACAACTGACAAAGTATACTTGACTGCTCTAAGGTAATGTTTATTTTTTTTATATTGTGTGTCCTTGTGTGCAATAAAGTACTCTCTATTTTTTGACACGATTTGCAATTTTTATAATAAACCAACATTAATTATTTGTAGAAAAAATAAATCAGCGGAAAGATTAATTGACCCGACTGTTACTGTTAAGGAATCTGACTCACAGTGTTTGAATAATCCAGTAGAAAGGTTTATTTTAACACTTACTTTTTTAAATAGATTATTAACATTATATACATGTCACCTGCCTTTTTAAATTTTTGTAGGCAAAATTTTATCAACAAAATTTCTATGCAAGATGCTGAACAACCTCATGTTCAAATATCTCAACTTACTACAACTGACGAAGTGCACATAGCTGCTCAAAGGTAATACAAATTATGTTTTATATTGTGTATTTAATCATATGTTGGATGAAATATGTATATTCTCTATTTCTCTAACAGGATTTAATGCAATTCACAATTCTTATATACAAATTAACATCAAATGTTGTTAAGGAAAAATAAAATAGAATGTGAATCCTTATACAAACCTATTTCTTCTTTTAAGGAAAACTCATATTCTCTAAATAATTTAATTTTTTTTTTAAATGCTGTCCTTTTTTTTTCTTTTTATAATTGTTGCAGCGAAAATGTTACCAAAAAACCATCTGTACAGGAATTTGTGCAGCCAAATATTCCAACATTACAAGACCTTCCAATTGCAAAAGAAAATAAATCTGTTCAAAGGTATTGCATATTCATTCTGTTTTGTGTATACACAAAGAAAAAGCATGTTTCTTAAAAAAAAAAAAAAAATTAATTAATTAATTTAAAAAAATAATATTTTTCACATCATATTAGTGTACTATGCAATTCTTACATGTTGCACCTTTACTTATGTTTGCAGGGAAAACAAATTAGCAGAAACCGATAACCCACCTGAACCTACTGATTATTTTAAAGAATCTAGCACACATTGTCTGAATAACTCAGTCGAAAGGTATTAATTAATTAATATAGCTTTCTTTTCACCTGCTTTTTTAAATTTTTTTATAGGGAAAATGTAACCGAAGAACGGTTCGCACTGGAATTTGTGCAAGCAAATATTCAAACATCACAAGACCCTCCAATCGAAAAAGAAAATAAACCTGTTCAAAGGTTGCATATCTTTTCATGTTTTGTGTGATTGCTTAAAATATCTTCTCACTTTTTGTCATATAATGAATGATAAGATACAGTGTACTAAACAATTCTTATATGCAAATTAATTATTTACAGAAAAATTAAATTAGCAGAAACTGATAGCCCACCTGAACCTACTGATTATTTTAAGGAATCTAGCACACATTGTCTGAATAACTCAGTAGAAAGGTATTAATTAATTAATATAGCTTTCTTTTCACCTGTTTTTTTTTTAAATTTTTTTTTATAGGGAAAATGTTACCGAACAACGGTTCGTACAGGAATTTGTGCAGCCAAATATTCAAACATCACAAGACCCTCCAGTCAAAAAAGAAAATAAACCTGTTCAAAGGTTGCATGTCTTTGCATGTTTTGTGTGATTGCTTAAAATATCTTCTCACTTTTGTCATATAATAAATGATAGTATACAATGTACTAAACAATTCTTATATGCAAATTAATTATTTACAGAAAAAGTAAATTAGCAGAATGTGAAAGCTCACCTGAACCTATTGATTTTTATAAAGAATCAGGCTCACATTCTCTGAATAACTTAGTAGAAAGGTATTTTTTGTATACTGTATATATGCTCATGATATATGAGAGAATGAGGTATTGCCAGTTGAAGGATGGTGTCAATCAAACCACTTGTTTTAAATTTTATAAATATGTATTAAAAAAGACTGACTGTAGCAACTGAAACTAGAATAATTTTCCTACTGAATTACAGTAATGACAACTTTCTATCTCAACCATTGAACATAGGGCAATTTCTGAAAGTTAAGTGACCGGCAATACCCCATTCTCTCCTATATTTATGTTATTAATGTCACAGAACTTTCTTTTAACCTGCTTTTTTAAATTTTTGCAGGGAAAATGTTAACGAAAAACAGGAATCTGTACAGCCAAATATTCATACATCAAAAGGCACTCTGATTGAAAAAGAAAACAAATCTGCTCAAAGGTATTGAATATTTTTGCTATATTTTCTGTTAACCCTTGAATCCATGCGGCTTGTTGATTACACAATATGTCCACACTAATGCACTTCATGCACCAACTGATTTTCCTCTTTTTTTTCATAAAAACCTGATTTGGTTGATATTTATTCCTTTTGAAATTTTGAATTCTTTGTCAAAATATAAGAATTCCTATGATATGTGATCATCATATGTGACGTGAATCATTAATATTATTATTTTAAATTATTAAGATCACTTGGAAATACTGCTTCTGCACTCTCTTTATTGGTCTTTAGTCCTATTATAATGGAGCAATGTTTTTAGACATTCATGTGAAAAATATCTTCTTTCTATTAACAAAATGAGTACAGTAATTAGTATAAACCCAGCTCAATTTGTAATGAATAAAAAATAGGTAATAATCTCAAGTAATAAAAACAAAAATACTCACTTTGACATAATAATGCACGATGGTGTACAAAGTGCACCAGGTGGAAAACCATAAAAAAAACTTATTCGTAGCAAAAGCTGATAAAAACTATGAAATTTGTGACTTGTCCACAATAGCCCAAACAATATACTGAAAGGGTACCTGGAAGATGGACCTTCCAGCACTCCCCAACAAGTTTTGCCCAATGGTGCACTGAGTGCACCTAATGCACAGACTTTAACTGTTAGAGAAAAATAGAACAAAATAAGTTAGAACCCGGGGGATAGCTGTGGCCAAGTGGTTTGGATGTCCGACTTCATATTTGACGCTAGCGGTTCTGGGTTCGAATACTTGAAGAGATCATGGCTTTATATTGATTGTAATATGAAAAATGTATTGTAATGTGGTTTGACCCTTCGTCCGCAACACCCAACATTGCGTTGAACATTAAGCCCTTCAGTAGTTTACTTACTTTTAGAAAAAATAAATCAGCAGAAAGTGAGAGTACTTGAACCCACTGCTATTTTAACAATTTAAAGAAATAGATAATTAAAATTTAAGAACTTTATTTTCACCTGCCTTTTTTAACTTTTAGGAAAGATGTCACCATCAAAAATTCGGTAAAGGAAGCTGTGAAGCCTACGACAACACAATCCATTACAACTGACAAAGTTCATAAATCTGCTACAAGGTAATTCAGTAAAATAAAAGTTCAACAATTCTAAATTTTATTATACTTTATATGTTTTGCTAATTATTTAATAATTTAACATGGGAATATTACTTAATCATATAGTCCAATTTTTTTCACTTAAAGAAAGCTTAAATTACATGACTAAAATTGATATTTTACTGATAGTTAATCTTACAATGATATTTAATAAACATATAAAGTTTGTTATTTATAAGAAAATGAATGTACTAAAATTTAAAAACAAAACCTACTCACATAAGAACGATGTACATAAAGAAAGGTGTTTTATTTGATCATAATGTTCTAAGAATGATCATTAATATTATATAACATCTTTTTAGCAAATTTAATTCTTTGTTTCAGCCAAAAAGTTGTAAAGCATGGTTCTGAACAACCTAATAGTGAAGCGTCAGCACCTAACAATGAAAATCAATTAAATAAAAGGTATAATAATATTTTTGATTTACGCTTTTATTAGAAGTATGGTAATATACCATTTTATGGTTTATGAAGTGCTTAAATTATATAATTTAGTAGTAAACATACAAAATTCTTTATTACCTTGGGGTTTATTATTTTGTGGAGTGTTTTCTGAAGATTCAGATAAATAATGAGGTGTAAACAGATTAAAAAATTGTGTTTGTATTATGTTGGTATAATTCTTTAACTTACTTGTAATTTGTATTTACAAAATCATGCAGTTTGATTTTTAAAAATTGCTAATTGTGTTAAAAAAACAGTTAATTTTTACTCATGCAGTTTCGCTACTTAAACACTTTTTCTTTCTAAATCTTAAAAGTCTAACATATTATGTTAAATTTGAATTTAAAGTCTGATAGATAAAAGTGATGAAAATAGATGTATTTATTGCTTTGAAACATTAAAATTAGTATTTTTTAAAAAATTTTAATTGAATTAAATTTACTATAGTTTAATTATGAAATGTCAAACATGTAATCTTTAAAAATTATAAAGTATCATTTTGTGAAATAATGGTTGAATAAAAATAATATAAAATGTTATAAAATCAATTAAAAAATGAACTTTTTGCACCAGCAGTCTTGTGAAAAGCGCAGAGGATGACACATTTTGGGAGAATAACTTATTAGCAGGTCTCACTGAGAAATATTTATTTCAAACAATTAGAGGCGCAATACCTCATTTAACTGGTTGGAGTCAAAATCTTACTCAGCACATAAGAAAGAAGTTTGAGTACGGGGAAGAAAAAACACAGCCAAATCTACAAATTGAAAACTCTACTGCAATTAAGGATGTGGTCGACGATTCTGGGCAACCTGAAGTCAGACCAAATGACTCGAAGACTGAAATGTAATATTATATTATAATTACTATTTATTTAATTATATCCAACAGATATATTAGTCGGGATGTGTATTATACTGTGTGTAACAGATTCAATACAGTGTTTACTGACCACTTACCATTTAAAACCAAAAGAAGGCAATCTAATGAAATAATTTATAGTGGCGCTGGTGGCTGTAACAGGTAGAGCATTGACACAGTAACAAATCACCTTTAATGGTCTGGGTTGAATCTGAAAATTGCCCTGAATTCCAATCCAGGGTACTTACAATTTTTTTTAAATATTGGAACCTCGAGGGCTAATATGATATCTTTATGAAACAGCTGCCATCCCTATTCAATGTAGTGTTTGGTTAATCTTAACTATCACACATTTAATGGATCTAAAATGTGGTGGTCTAATTCTAGTCTAGCTTCTGAATTTTAGTGTTCGATTTATACGTTTTTGTTTCCCCAGGGTAATTTTTAAGAAAATAAAGTAAACAAACCCACCACTGATGATGGCAGAATGCCAAATCACATCTGATACACCAAACAACTGGTAAAGGCATTAGATTTAAAGGCATCATCATCCGCAGTCCCCTTCCCAAGATGAGTTTTATCATTTTTAGGCCCTTAATATTTTTTGTTGTACATACCTGTTGATGTATGTACATATTTACACATTGTTTTCATGTGTAGAATAAATTTTTATGTAACTTACTGTACATTGTAACATTTTACAAAAATGTGTGGTGATTAGTGACCGTTAATCGATAATTATTCAGAAATCGTGAGATGCGGTCTGGTATGATGTAGGTTTCAGAAAAACATTTTCTTTATCGTGCCAACGTTCCGATCTTTATTGAGCCCATCTTCAGGGCCTGGGATTTACAAACATTGTTTACATTTAACAAATACATTTAGGATGTGGAAAAGTGAATTTATACAATACTATGATTGAATAAAAAATATATTTTGCATGTATAAATTCACTTTTCCACATCCTAAATATATTTGTTAAATGTAAACAATGTTTGTAAATCCCAGGCCCTGAAGATGATCTCAATAAAGATCAAAACGTTGGCACGATAAGGAAAATGTTTTTCTGAAACCTACATCACACCAGACCGCATCTCACGATTTCTGAATAATTTTATAAAAAGTATGTAAGTTCATACATTGACTGTAGGCACAATACAGAAACTCTTTGATTGGTATGCAAATGAAATAAAATGTTTTGAAACCTGAAATTGGAAGTTTTTCCTATTCTCTGAAGTTCTCACGGTGATGCTTGATAACCCCATGGATAATGAGTCTATTGAGTATACTGTTTTTCAATAATGCCCAAGGAAAATTTCAATTGCTGACCTTTGGTTCACCCACGTGAATCTGGTGAAATATGGTGTATTCATGGAAGAATCCCAGCTTGACACCGTTTCTATGTACCATTGATTTATTGTACTTACAAACTCCCTGAAAATTGTTTTACCTAATATACTATTTTCTTTTCAATGTACTGTATGTAAATCTTTGATATGCTATTCCTTTAAAGTTTAGCATCTCTATGAGATCATTGGCCAATAGACACAATTTAAGAGGGTGAATAGTGCACTATCTTGTGGGCATCTTTTAGTTGAGCTCACTTGTATTGCATAGATTTCTCTATTTTCCTTAGATTTAATTTACTTTACATACAAATACCCTACTTGTTACTCACATACATTTTACTGGAGAGATTAAATTAGGAATTTTAAAACAGATAAAAATCTGGTAAATGATCTGATGATTTTTATAGCAATAAAGAAGATGGTTTTATAAAACATGACCAAACATCAGATAAACAGGGGTAATTCAGTTTTGACTGTTTATCAACTCATTAACTTAAACATTTTCCTATTTCCTTTTTTTTTTTGTTTTTCAGGAAAACAGCAGAAAAAAGTGACAGAACAACACCTTTCCCCAAGTATGTATTTTAATTGAAGTGTTAGTCAAATGGTTATCATTTTTACTTTTTTTTAGACATAGATTTCAAGTTATTCCCACTCCAGAAAGTGCAGTCCTGAAAGGTTCAAAGCCATCAAACAAGTAAGTATGTAGGAAATAAATAAATAAATATATTTATATATTTATTTTACACCTCACCTATTATTTTACCTGTGGCTGATTTTCGAGATCTGCTGGTAGTTTATTATCAATTACAAAAGCTGGAAACACTGGTGACTGTGAAAAGTGATTGGTTCAATTCTGTACATGTGTGGATGTTTGTATGTGCATGTACAGATTTGAGCTTATAAAAATCATTATTCAGTAGTGAATTAATTATATTCTATAATTTATTTTAAATCACTTGTTAATAGTTAGTTAATAATAAATTGTCCTCGTTTGTAGAGAAAGTACCACTGCCCAATATGGTGTGCAAAATAATACATGTAGCCAGTCATTGCAAGGAGATAAAAAATCTAAAATATCTACGAAGTAAGTATCAACATTTTTCACACACACCTTTGTTTTTTGTACATATGTTTCGTACAATTGGATCTTAACCCACAATATTAATGATTTTATCTGTTCTGGTTTGAAAATGTGTAATTGATTGTATTTGTAGAAAAGTGGATAAAACTGAAAAATCTGATTTTAAGAGAACTGTGCTGAATTCAAGTTGTGAAAAGAAACAAATAGTTACCAAAGACAATAGGTAACAAAGAAAAGTATTTAGTTTTGTAGCTGATTGTTTTTATAATCCAAAAAAATATTTATAAATAAAAAAATTGTTTTTATGCTAGTACATTGGTCATTTAGTAAATTAAGTCGGAATTTTTTTTCTAGTAATAAAATGTCAAATGTTAATGACAAGAAGTTTTAACTAGAAATTTTGTTATAGGAGTACATCTAAGAGTCCGAGATCATACAGAGAACCTGGAACATCGAAAAGTTTCAAACCCACTTGTTCATCACATAACGAACAAAAGCAGCCTAATATCATGGGGACTGTTTCATCAAAATCGCCCATACGTGCAATGTACGTACTTGATGCATTTTGTAACAACTTAATTAAAGTTGAAATAATTCTAATAATTTGTAACGATGTTAAGGTATGCTGAACGACCAAAGCATGTAGAAGCAACCATGCTGAAAACTGTTTCAAAACCAAGAACTCCAAGTATTAAGTAAGTAATCATTTTGTGTTTTTATATCCTGGTTTATTTACATTATAGTTTAAACAAAATATTTGATCAGTAAAACTAAAATACCTTGCTTTCACATAATCAATAATAATATATTTTACTGAATTAATCCAATGTACAAAAATGTTTAAATATGGAATTATACAATATATAAAATATAATAATATAAAAGTAAAACTAAGAAAATGAAGGGAAAAAATTAAATAATTGTAAAGTAAGCATAGAGCTAATATAATAATAAATATAAAGAATGTTTCATATAAATATTCCTAAAAATATTTTGTGCATATTTAGTTGAATTACATTCAGCGAAAATTTTAATTAGAATTAATATAAAGCTAAATATAGAAATATGCTGTTTAGATGTATTTTTTAATTTCACAGACCAGAAACATCTAGGATTCACCATTTTTCCGTGAAATGGAGAAAACATGGTTGTTGACCTTCAAGATTTGGTTGGTTGAAGGAAGAAATTCCTGAAGCACTAATTTCTTCTTTGCAATACTACTTTACTTTATTTATTTTTTCTTAAAAAAATATGAAATCCAAAAATCTTGTTAGCAAGGCAAGGTGCTTGAACAGATTAAAATCTTCATGACTGATCAGTCTTGCAGGTTCAACATAGCGAAGAACTCTCTCTCTTCTCTTTTTGTTGTATATGAATGAGACTCTGGATTATAAAATAATCCAGTTTGTATCTATCTCTTTCTCTCTTTTACTCTATCTATCTATTTATCTATCTATTTATCTATCTATCTTTATATTTAACTATCTATCGATCTATACATCTTTGAATCTATCTCTCTAACTCTATATCTCTATATATCTCAAGAATGTTATTCTGTGAAACAGTGAAAATATGTGACTGTTGGTCGAAGAGAAAAAATCCCCAACTATGTTTTCCTTTGCAATACTGCTTTTATTTTATTTTTTTCTTTAATGAATATGAAACCCCAAATAAAAGTGACCAAAAATCTTGTTAGCAAGACACGGCGCTTGAACGGGCTAAACCTTCATGACTGATCAGTCTTCCTGGTTAAACATAGCGAAGAAAACTCTTTTACTCCCCCCTCTCTCTTTCTCTCTATCTTTTTTATCATCTATTTATCTATACATCTTTAAATCTTTCCATCTTTCTAACTCTACATCTCAAGAATGTTATTCTGTGAAACAGTGAAAATATGCAACTTAATCAATTTGGTTGGTCAAAGAAAGAAATCCCCAAGTACAATTTTCTTTTTTGCAATGCTGCTCTAATTAATTTATTTTTTCCTATTTAGAATATAGAATTAATATATGTATATATAAAAATTAACAAAACTGTTGTTAGCAGGGTGTTTGAATAGGTTACAATTTACATAACAAAGCGTCATATTGGCAATTACTCCATATTTTTTTACTTTCTTTGTCACATATTTTATTGGGTTGTCCAGAAAATAATGCAGGTTTTCATGTACTCTATATGATAAACTGTTTACGTTGGATGTATTATTCTTTTGTATGAATGTCCACACTTTTTATTCTTTTAGCATTTCATTACTTGGGAAAAATTCAGTCTTTAGTTACATGTGATTTTTGTGTAATTTTGCAATGGCAGTATGAGCAAGAGTACAGTTCGGAAATGGTTTAAAATATTTCGAGAGGGAGACTTTAGTCTATAAGATTCCTTTGGAAGGTCGGCAGGTTGCTTCCATTGATGATGATGTTCTGTAAGCTTTGTTGGAAGAAATTCCCAGAACAACTGTTTGCGAACTTGAAGAGAATCTTTCAATTAGCAAATAGACCTGTTATGACCATCCCAAGGCAATTGGAAAGGTGAAAAAGCTCTAAAGCTCCACGTGCATTGAATGACCGTCAAAAAAATCATCATGAAGTTTGTGAAACACTTCTTTACCCAAAAAGAAATGAAACTTTTTCTGGATAGAATTGTTATTTTTGATGAAAAGTGGTTTCTCTAAGATAACATCACACATTTTGGACAATGGCTCAACAAAGGAGAAGCAGCATCACATTTTCCAAAGCCACCAAGTCATCAATGGTGACAAAAGAGGCTTCATTTGTGGTGAGTTATTTCAGCTACTCAAAGGTAAAACAATCAATGCTGAAATGTATTCCTCTCAAATTGAAGCAATGCACCAGAAATTTGGATTATTGAAGCCATCTTAGGTCAGTTGGAAAAGGCCGATTCTATTACATGATAACGCTTGGCCCCATGTCTCACATGTGACAACATGACAACTGTTTGATCTTGGTTTTAAAAAAAGGTTGCCTTGCTCTCCCAATTCTCCAGACTTTCACCTACTGACCAACACTTCTTTCAGAGACCTGGACAACATTTTACAATATAAAAAATTAATAAATTGATCAAAAGTCGTTAGAAAATGTGTTTACATAATTTGTTAATAATAGACTGAAAATTCTATTCATAGCGTATAGAAAAGTTGCCATCACGTGGTGAGAAGTGTATTGAGGGGTGATGGACAGTATTTTAATTAGCAAAAAATGTTTAAAATCATTTATTTAATTGTTTTTATTTATAACTATAAGTCTGCATTATTTTCTGGGCAACTCAATACATGAATGCTTTGATGCATTAATACTGTTTCATTTAAAACAAACTACACAATTATGACTTATTTTATCTATTTATTTATTATTTTTTTGTACAATTACAGGAAAGAAAATTCAACTCAGTTTACAGCATTTTCTTATATGGAGCACGAAATAGAGTAAGTTTTTATATCATACATTCAAATAGTAGTCGGTTTTAAGTATAGAAAGAGCAAATTAAATTTAGTTTAATAGAAGACAACTTGATATTTAATTTAAGAATTCTTGTTGTTCTTTGGCAAAGTAAAGACACCCTATTGTTCAAATAAATAACATGTTTTTTTTAAATTGTATAATTGAGCAACAATGTGCATGACGTGCAAAGGGTTACATAGATAACGAGATAATACTAAAGAAAACTGGGAAAATATAATAAGCAGAGAAGCTATCCTAATCTAAATCAGAAATCATCACTTACTCTCTTACATTCTTACTCTCTGAAAGCAGGTCTTTTTAGACATCAAGGAGTATTGGGGAGAGATCAGGAGGAAAGTTGTACATAGGGATTAGAGTGGAATTGAAGGTTGGATGGAAGTTTTTGAGGATGGATTTTACAACTTGATTTAAAAAGGGAATTAGGTTGTTATTGAAGATGTGGTTGCAGACATAAAATGAGGCGATGTTGATGGAACTAAGGATTTGTGATTGTAGGGTCTGGATTCTGTGGAGATAGAAAGGTTTAGTTGAACCCCATAGTTTTATGTTGTATGTCCCTAATGGTTGCATATTAGCAGAGACTGGATTTTTATGCAGTAAAAATTGCCAAAATATGCCATAAAATAGCAGTTGAAATATACAATATACAATAATATGCAGTATTATTATGTTAAAATATTCAATGATATGCAGTAAACCATTTTTTTACTATCATAATACCTTTAAACAGAAATAAAGATAATTAAAGAAAATATATATTAAAACTCTTTAAAACTAAAAATAATTAAAATTCACAAGTATTTAGAGTTTATTTACATTTAACAAAAATATTTTCTCACTTACATAATTAAATTATATATTTTATACTAATTGAGTATAATTAATGTTCATAAACAAGTACTTCTCTAAATTGTCTTCCGTGAAGTTGTGCCTATGGTTACTTAAAATTTGAGAGTATTGAATATTGAAATAAGACCTAAGGGGTTTTATATTCTTTTGTCGGTATTCCTAAAATATTCTCTTTCCATCATTGCGGTCTGTTTGTTTTCTTCGGATTAAACACACTTTTTGTCAACTTATTTTTTTACAGATTTTTTTTTATACTTCTTCAAAAAGCCAATATAATATTTTAAATATTTTGCGCAATAAATGCGATTTTATGAAAAAAATCCTTCATATGCGATATTGTTCAAATATGCAATTTTATGCAATATTAATCAAATATGCAAAAATATGCTCTGTAAAATTTAATCTACGGCTTCCTAGATACATGATTCAGATAGGATTTCCTCGATCATATGTGGTGGCAAACAAAATATGCAACTACAAATTCTATATATGAGTATTTTGTTGTCAAGGGAGAGTTTAGATCTGTTGTCTAGTAGTCTTTTATGTAATCAGTATTGTCGGTTCATTTCTATTCTTTAAGTCGTTTACGGAGATTCCAGGTGAGTCGTTTATCCATATACAGCCACAAATAGCAGATGACAACATGATGACGGGAAGGGGTGAGATTATGTTTTAGGACTTTGCAGTGTTTAGTTTGATTCGCTATTTTTTTATCCATTGTTCAATGGAATATGGCGCGTATGGAGGTTTTGGTAAGCTATAACGAGATTGGATTCAAAGAATAGAAATGTTATCACATTAGGTACTGGTGTTGGGCTGGGAAGGAATATCAGTATATACAGGAGTGGGCTGAGGATGCTACCTTGAGGGACTATCATACTCTATAATATCTATCAGCCAGATAGGATTTAATATTGGGGAAGGTGTAGAGGGTAGAATGCCCTTGGGTTTCCAGAGAAAACCCAGGTGTCAGACTCAAAGCCTGTTCAATATAAATAATTTAACTTTATTTCTGAAATGGTACAAGGTACAATTTAACTTAGACAACCTTCCTACAGCAGATTTGCTGTTATGATACTGCTCTAGTTTTTTCCCATGAGCAACTGAAGAGGGTCTCTGCAGCCTAACATATTCTAGTGTTGCTGTGACCTGTAGTATGGGGGTCTGGGATAAGGGTGGAGAGAACCGGAGAAGAGGAGGGGTTGAAGGAACTCCTGGCCAAAGAGTTACAGGGCTTTTAATAGGAAGCAGGAAGAAGAGGGCATTACTCAAGGTATTGGAAATGGAAAGATGGACGAATACACTTCCCCCTCACATCCTATCAAATCTCAAAATCCCAAGAATGTTAGCTTTAATCATTACATACAAAAAGACAAAAACATTTAATTGCAATTTTGGGGAAAAATATGAAGAAATATGTAAACAGAATTAAGTATTGGATAGAATTCCAAGCCAAACTCAAGGATATTATTTGAGATTGAGTTCGAAAAAGGGTGCAGAAAGGAGCAGGTCAGCAATAATAAATTCCGTCACCCCGCTCAGAAGAAAAACTTCCTGTTTCTTCTTTTATCGAATGGATTAACCGAAAGAAAGTCAATGAATTATCCAGGAAAAAATAAAGAAAAAGCCTATTTGGTTCTGTCCTACAAAATCTCATTGGAACAGCTGAAAAAATAGACTGGTGATTATGCAGCAACCACTGTACTTGCATTGTATTACTCATTTGATTGATTTGGTCAGAAGAAAAAATTTAGATTAGTAAAGCTTGTTAAAAAAAAAAAAAAAATTATTTTGTTATTGTTTCAATTAATAAATTTTGATGTAATAGTTTAGATTCATAATTGCTAATTGTATTATTGTTTGATACAGGAAGGAAAAGCCCCATGAAATTGTTACATTTTCTCTTCCAAAATCTGAAATCGTGTAAGTTGTTCAATCACTGTAAGAAAATTTCAACTAATATTTCTGGTTAATGTTAGAAAAGGTTTCCAGGCAGTTTAAAATAAAATCCATTATTAACTAATTTTATAATTACATTAATTATAAAACAACATATATGTTTAAAAATATTATGTTGTTTTAGATTGGACGATTCTAATAGCATTAATTCTTCAATTTGTAAATTCAATGCTGAAAAGGAAAAATCGAAATTTTCAAAAAGACTACTCACAGTATATTATGAGTATGAAATTTATTTTTCCATGAAGTAAAAAATATGAGATTTAATCAATGTTTATTGCATTTTAGTGACGATAAAAAATTGCAGTTTGAAAGGAGTGAGAAACTACTGCCTCCAGATAATTTAAACAAGTTAGTCTCACTATATTATGACAGGTATGTTTATTGGAAGGGGAGCTCGATTAATTACTCATTGACTTTTTTTATGTTATGTAAATCTATGCTACTAGTGAAACTGAACTTGAAAAGACGCATGATTATGGAAAGGAAAGCTCACCCGACTCAAGGAACACGTCTCACAATTCAAAAAAAAGTTTGATTATTATTCACCACAACGGGTAAGTTGTAAGACAGGGGAATATTATTTTAAAATTTTCTTGTTAAAAAAAGAAAAGATTTTAGCTAACAAATAGCATTATGTACACCTCGGGTTCCGTGACTACATACACAAGATAATTATAGGTGCCTAAAGCTTGGTGGGTGAAGAGGTTTGTCTTAGTTTAGATAACACACACACACAAAAAAATTGTTAATAGTCAACCTTTGATAATATACTCTCTGTTCGCAATGAAGTAAATGAAAAGGCCTGAATATAAATAATCCTTTTGATCTCCTCCAACGTGTTCCCTCTCTGAGCCCCTGTAGTCCCTGTGTTCTCCATAATCATGTATAACCAGAAGAAAATCACCAAACTTTTGGAAACTGACTTTTTAATTTTTTTCCGCTCACTTACAACATCTGCCCTGTCGTGACAGTAACCTGCCAGTCCTTGCTGACCAGCCATTTACATCACTGTCCTCTCCTCTGCTTTTTGTACTGTCCACCTTTTTTCATCTTGGACCCTCCACTATCACTGCCCTGCTTTCTGTTGGGTTCCTTCATTTCAACCGCACTTAACCCCTGGTGTGGAAAAAATTTTTACTTCTTTTTGAATTTTCTCATTTACAATTGTTTATATTTAAAATATATTTTTTAACAATTCATTGGATTTTTTTTTAGAGAAGAACATCATAGGCTAAGACAATACAGCTTACCTGGGGAATTGGACATTAATAGTTCTGAAAGGTAAAATTACAACTAATTTACTAACGTTAAAAATAAAGACTTTAATTTTTTTAATTACTCAAGACTTTTTAAATTATTTTATACTCTACTATTTGAAAGTCTAATTTTTTGAAAAATTATATTGTAGGTGCTCAACATCATTTCGGCAATCAAAAGGACGTGACAGTTCATTGGAGTAAGATTTAAAAATATATTTATTTAAATAAAGAAGTATGCACTTATACAATTTTTGTACATAGGAAATCTCCAGTTCCTGAAACAATTTTATCCAAAAATGATAAAATGTAAATACAAATTTATTTATTTTGTTTGCTGTTTTATTATAAATAAAAATTTGCTTTCAATATATATATGTATATTGATTTTAAGGAATACTAAAGAATCAGTTAATAGCGAACCTTGGGAATATGGAACTAGAATTGTTACAGTTTACTACGACCCGTAAGATGATAGTTAAATTGCAATCAAATCAGAATACTAATTTCTATTATTGCAGTGAACAAGAAGAAGATGGAAAGAAAAATGATTTATGTGTTGCTAAGACCAAGAAGAAGCTACTGTCTGTATTCTATGCTAGGTTTGTTTTTTTGCCCTAAAATAATTATGTTAATAGTAAACGTGTTATGATTATTAAAACTTGTCTACTGACTAAAATAATTAAAATTTTAATTTTAGAATTCCTGAATCTTCTGAATCATCAAGCAAATCAGTGGATTCTACAAAAGATTCTCTAACCCAGTTGTTTATTGTATATCATGCTCAGTATGTATTCATTTTGAAATGATAAATTGCACCTGACATTGCTACTTAATATTTTAACTGTTGTGTAGAATTGGTCCTGGTGACGATCCTCCAAAAGACGATTCATATCGTAAAAAGCATTCAAGTTCCCGCACACGTGACTCTGTGGGTACTCTGTAAGTGTTTTTTAAGAAATGTAATTCATAAAGTATAAACTACCTGGCTAAAATTAATCACACCAGAACACGTGTGCCAAAAGTGGTCTAGAGATTTCAATATCAGTCATCTAATTGGCTTTACAAAAAAGACATAATTGAAAGAAAAAAAAACATCACAAACATTGTGCTAAATTATATAAAATAAAATAATAAAAAATATTATTAATGTTTTTGAGACAGATTTTATGATACTAAAATGCATTCCCCTGCTTATATTCTTAACCACTATGTGCCCCCCCCAACCTGATTGATTTTGCACCGGCTACTTAAAATATTATACTCAAATATAATATAAATACTTCAATTATTATAAATTTATAATTAATTTAAATGTTCTTACTCATTACATAGTTGTATATTATACTAGTTACTATATACTTAGTTATTTTGTAGTGCTTTGTATTTGTTATGATGTAATGAAACAGGGATAACGTATTTACTTACTACATTCAATTAATTATTTTATTGTAATATGAATTAAAATAATAAATAACATTTTTTTAATTAGTCCAAAGACATCTTTAGATGAATCAAAATATTCAGGTTCATATTCATCTGAGATAAATGAAGCAATTGACCAATATAACCAAAAACAGCAAGAGTCTGCAATGTAAATATAATTGCATTTTTCTTGTACACTCATTTGTAACTAATATCCCCAATATTTGTAGGAAGCAAGCAAAAATTGAGGCGTCAAAAGCTCCAGGTGTACCAGTAGCAAGAGCGGAAGCTCATGCTTTGGGTGAATTATTTGAAAAAGAACTGAAAAACACTGAAGGGCGTGGAATGTAAGTCACTTTAGTTGTAATTTAATGATAGTTATATCATATACAATTACCCTACTCTATCTATTCTCACCAACTCATGGCAATCCCTAAGATTAAGAATAGAGTAGGATTCAGCCTCTTTATGACCTACACACTTTGACCAGTATTGGTCAGTTGGGCATCTCCACTGTTGCCTAGAGCTCCTCATTAATCTTAAGGTTTTTTTTTCTCTTCCTTTCCCAGAAGTAGGAATATCAGCTTACATAAGCCTTCTCCCCAACGGAAGACATGTTCTGCTGAGTTTTTCTTTCTGGCAATATTTGCCCAGTCTTTTTTTCTGGCACTCCAAGTTATACATATGCCTTCGGAGTTTGCAGTGCCCAGTTAGCAGTGCAATTATTCTAGTCCTAACATGTCCTAGATTTAGTAGTTTTGCTGGTAGTTTCTGCAATGATACTTTGATGAACAAATCAGGTTGATTATAGAGGATCAAACGACAAGTCCGTTAACACAGTAATTGGAAATCATTGTTTAAATTAAACTGCATAACATGCTAAATATAGAACAGCTTACCACATATTTACCATGGGTCAGTGGTATGGTAGGCTGTGCAATGTATGACTCTCAACTAATATTTGGAAAAAAATTCAAGCTCCTCTCAAAAATGACCATAAGCAGAACTAGTGGCTATTCTAAAAGCATTACAATACTTTCAAGAAATAAACTCAACATTGGAAAAGTTGTGTATTTTGTCAGACTCCCGAAGCACACTGGAACGTATTAGAAACTTCAGAATAAAGTCAGGCATCAACTGTATTGTAAAACAAACTGTTAACATTTTAGAGGCTCTATCAAAAGAGAAAGTTGTGATGTCTTATTTCTGCTAGGTTAGAGGACATTCAGATGTATAAAAAATAATGAGACAGTTGATAGTCTTGCAAAGAGTGGCACACACTTAGACATACCTATCTCCTTTGGAGTTGCACGGACTTTTTTTACACTAGAAATGAAGGGATTAGCAGAAAGATTGAGAAGAGTTCCAATCAGGAGTTTTCTTTCAGACAGTGAAACCTCATATTTCCAAAATTCCTTGGTTCCGCCACTCAGACATGACAAAAAAAAAGTGCACTATAATCAACAGGCTGATGCAATCACAGAATTTACGGGGTTTTCTGCATCGTGTTGGAGTTAGGGAATCCTTATTATGCTCGACATGTCACATCCTTGAGGATTTGGAACTTATGATAACGCACTGCAACAAGTATTATTCTCACAGAATTTTCTATGAACTATACAGAATGCAATATTTAGAAAAACCATTGAATTACAAATAATTGTTGGCTGTGGAGGATAATAACATTTATAAAGCCCTCCAGAAATATATGCACGATGCTGAGATGTCAATTTAAATTGAAGAGCATAATTGTAAAAAATAAAAAAAAATAAATAAGGGAGAAATTAAAGAAAACAAAATAATGAAGAAAAGAAAAAGAAAGAAAGACAAAAGAAAGAAGAAACTTACAAGTAAAATTAAAAGCAAAAATAAACAAATATTAGTGAAATAATTATTGAATATATTAATTGTAGGGAGCCCCGGCTAATCCCTATTGCACAGTTAAGGCTAATCGATAATAACAAAGGCAAAAAAAAAAAAATTGTTAAATAAATTTAAAACATCAGTTTCCAACTTTTTTTTTGTGAATCGTTCACAACATCTACGTGAAATAAGATTCTAATTTCTTAACCAACTCAGCACTGGTTAGATTATGAGACCAAGCAGATTTTGCTGCTGATAGGTGACTTCATATGAATGTCACTCATGTGGAAGCTGTCAACTTTTATAAAGTGGTAATAGGGAAAAACCCTATTATTATCCATGGTCTGGCGTTCTGTCTCTTCAGTATAGTGACCAGCACTATAGCAAAAAAAAAAAGAAAAGTTGAATGTAAAGGTCAATTAGTCTTCAGAAGGAGAAAAAAAGCCACAAATAAAAAATTTTTTAGCACCAAAATCCACAGTTTTTTGAGGAAGTCAAAAGAAGTGTGTTAGGTTGGATTGTTCAAAATTAATATTGTTTTACTTTCATTGTGTAAAGAGTAATGCTTCTATTCACCTGTAGTCTACGACACGGTAAATCAGAGGACTTGTCAGACGTTCTATCTACAACTTCAAGAGAAGGTATTGGTCAAAGTAAAGCAGTACCTGCCCGAAAACTAAGCACGGAGGAGCCTAATCTGTAAGTAACAAATGATATGAATATTTCTTTAGTGGGATTATATAAAAAAAATCTTTATCATCTTAAAAATTAATATGATATTGCAGTATACTAGCAACCTCAGAAGAATGGTTATCAGTTCCAATTTCACCTACTCCTACAAGAGCAGATTTGATCAACAAAATTGCTGAACAACCTGTTCAAAAACAAACCATAGATGCGACTGATATGTTAGTGAAATAAAGTTGTTGTATTAATTCTGTACTTGGGTCATAAAAAGTGAGTTTTTGTCCATCGTATTTACAATGAATATTTCAAACAATTGCAGCATACCAGCTAAGTTAGAGGAAGGGTTAAATGAGCCAATACCTGAGCCAATGAGTGATTCCAGTCAAATTTCTGCAACACAATCCAGATGGTAAATACAATTTAATAATTATAAATATTCTATAAATTAGGAAATTTTGTCTATTATTTCCTTGCAATGAATTGAATTTATGGATATTATGTTTTGTTTGAGTTTTGTTCTGTCAATTAAAGTTTGAATGATTATTTCAAGATTGTAATGAAAATAATTTTGGTTATAGGTCCATTAATGAAACTGAAAATCTGCCACAGCCTGCTGTTAATGAAAAACCTGAGGTTGCACCTAATAATACGGATAATCGTGTACCGTTGGTCACTCTTTATTTAAATAGGTTGGCTGTTGTATATTTTCGTTTAAACCAATAATTAGTTTAATACATCCTGTAATTTTAGGAAATCCAAAGAAACTGGAGTGCCTGATCCGAAATTTGTATCTTTATATTTTGATGGAAGGTATATAATGTCAAATTGTATACAAATGGATGGATTTGTTTTATGATAAACTTCTATTCTTGTATTATCTTTTCAGAAATGAAACTGAAAAAAAATTGGTAGTGATTCAACACGCTTTGTAAGTAAAACCTTAATGTTTACACGTGCTATGTAATTAAGTTAAAAATGTATAATCTACCCATTGCTTCATTATTTAATCATTCATTTAAATTTTTTTTAGAATGGGTGTGGGAGAAGACAGATCACATGTTTTTGCTTTGCCGTCTGAACTCGCCCAATTTTCTAAGTAAGTTTTAAATTGGATTTAATTTAAACGTTTTTTTACATACTAGACATACTATCATTTTAATAAAATATAGGGTGTTTCACCACTCATATGGCAAAGTCTTCTACACCTCACTTGCAACAAAAAAGTTCATATGAGCCATGGTCTGATTCTCAACCTTTCAGATATACTTTTTTTTTTCAATGATCTACGGTTTTCGTCATATATTTAATCATCTTGAACCATTTATAGTTGTGGAAATTTAAAAAAAAAATCTGTAGACATATTTAAGATTGTTTTGCCCTGATGATGGCCTTAAAATAAGTAGAAAGCTTGGCAGTAACAACTAAATTTGCTTTCTTCTTCAAGACCATACCTTGACCTAGTGTTCATGAATGAAAAAGTGGTCGATATTTCTAATGCTGAAAGTTAAATTTCCTGTATGTAGGCACTCTCCTAGAACTTTCAATTTAATTTTTGGTAAAAAAAAACACTAAATCTTTCAAAAACTGCTAAATTTAAAATTTGTAAAACAGCTAAATTTGCAGCCTTGTTAGAAAAACAGGTAGAGTTTGGCAAATTTTATAACAACTTTCATTTAATAAGCTTTCTAGCGGTATACCATTTTTTTTAATTACACCAAACCAAAATGCAGAAATTTAAGTTAAAATGGGAAAAATGTGGTGACGTGAAAAAGTGGGATTGGAGTTTATCTAGTAATTCATCTTTTTGTCCTGGGCAAAATTTACTTCCTAACTTTAACTTAATAAAAAACTCTCGACACGACACACAAGAATGACACAATTAAGCAGAAAACAAAAGCTTTGAGCCCTGAAGATGATCTCAATAAAGATAGAAAAGTTGGCACGATAAAGAAAATGTTTTTCTGCACCAGACCGTATCTCACGATCTCCGAATAATCATTAACTAATGGTCACTAAATACCACACACTTAACAAAAATGCACAAAACGAAATAAAATTTAAACAAAAATCATAAAAAAGAAACAAAAACATAGTGAACAACCAAAGTAGAAAAATTGTACAAAATATTTACCCTAAACAAAGACAAAAAACAAAACAAAAAAAGTAAATAAATACAGAATGTAAAAGCCAACTTTAACCTAACAAAAAAGCACACAGAAAAGAACAATCCAATGTAAAACATCAAGCAAAGCACATAAAAAAGAGACAATAAACATAGAGAACAACAAAATAAAACTATTACATTGAATTTTTCTATAAGGGTATCTTGTTAAAAGAAATTTAATGCTCTTTTCACATCTTTTTTTGATTTCCCAAAAATGAATAGTTCAAGAGCTTCAAGTATATTTGATGGAAATATTTGAGCAAGGATTGGAAAATCAGACTGGTTCATATCAACTTTTGTGCTGCATTTGAGGTGTAAAAGCACCTAACAAATTCTGTTTGAGTAGTGAATAATTAAATATAAATCATAGTATAATATATATATATACATATTATGTATTATGATTGATACATATTATTCAGATATATATATATATATATATATAATAATTAAAAAGTAAAAAAGTAATATTAAAATGAACAATAAATAATTGGGTAGTACAGTACATTTTAATTATGTTGTTTAATTTTTTTATTACAGGGGTCCAAGCGCTAAAGAAAATATTGTAGTCATAATGGAAAAGTAGGTCCATAATAAATATTTGTTTTATTTATTGCTTACAATCTTTCCATTTATTTCAGCAATAATCAAAGTAAACCTTGGTTAAGTGGGAAAAAAATTGTAACTCTGTATTATGATCAGTAAGAAATTTTATATATATTAACCAATGCTTAGGTTTCTGTAAGTTAATGTTAATTATTGAAAACTGGAAATATTACAGATTAGGCGTTTGTTCTTTTAAACTTACAATAATTTAAGTGTTGGTACAATTTATTTTCAGAATTATTACATTAATCTGGTACTTCTTTCAGTAATTTAAGTGGAAAAGAAAACTCAAAAGAGCCCAAGAAAAAATTACTTTCTGTCTATTGTGCAAGGCAAGTTTTTCCTTTGTAGTAAAATGTAATACAGTGAAACTTTCTTAAAGGACACCTTCCTTGAACAGGCAAATTCAGATTCCCCAGCACCTGCTCATTAATTTCTTCACATTAAATCTTCCATAACGCAGACAAATAACAGAAGTGGACAGCAAAACTTTTCCAAAAGCGAGCCTAAAGAAAACAATTTTTTTTATTGAATTGCCGTTTCCCCTATGTGGTTTTTGCCTTCCAATATTTTACGAATAATCCTAGGTTTTGATTAAGCTATTTTGCAAACATGGTTAAGTATTTTTTCAGTGCATTTGTCATTAAAAAAAAAAATAAAGTGAGCGAAAGGAAAAACTTAGTGTGCGAGTTGGCTGTGAAATTTTGGAGACAAGTGGAATTGTAAAAAATTAAAAAAAGGGGAATTTAGGGCTAGATTTCTTTTAAGTGGAACAAAGGACAGTAGTTATACAAAATAAACTGCTCAAAAATGTATAGGATATTGCCAATTTTGTTGTATTTACTTTCCCTAGCATTTTTATATTATTTTTATTATAAATTGCATTAAAATTTATTAGAAATTATTGTTTTTTTTACTGAAGAAAAATTTAATTAGGGGATTTTGAAAAATAGCAAGAAATGGTTTTAATTCCATAATTTTGTTTATTGGACACAATAATTTTTTTAAACAATTAATACTGTGTAAAATATCCTCTGTTAGCGAAAAACCTCTGTGATCTTTAGGCATTGGCACTAATTTCATAAGGAACTTCACACCATAGACGTTGCAACGCTACACGCAGTTGTTGCAGGTCAACTGGCTGCAGATGGTAATCAAAAAGACTTCTCTGCAATGCATCCCACATGTGCTCAAGTGCTCAATGGGATTGAGGTCTGGAGACAATGCTGGAAGGTGCAGATGGGAAATGCCCAGGTTTGATTGATGAACAACTCTGCCTCTATGAGATCTAGCATTGTCTGCCAATGAGATCCCTGGTTTGAGGGATGTATTCCTTGAGAATTTCTTGGACATAACGGATTGCAGTGAGGTTGCCTTCAATAATATGGAGCCCAGTTCGTTCTCAGTGTAAATCTCAGCCCAGACCATTACACCATCTTCTCCAAACTGCACTGAAGGGAGCATGAACTGGGGCATTGTAGGCATCTCCTGTTCTCGGTAGACTCTTCGGTGCTTGCTATCACTAAACCGACAAAAAAGTGACTCATAGTAAACAAAACAGCATTCCAATTGGTGTTCTTTTCTAGGCGCTTGCTGCACCATATTCTCCTGAGTCGCTGGTGGCTAGCTGTTGCTGCAGTTGTCTCAAAGGGGCATACAATATGAGGCCAACTTCCCACAAATAATTACAAATAGTTTGTAAAGGCCTTGCCAAAACATCTTGTACTTTATTTAGGATCTGAAAGGGTTCCATCTTGCAGCAATGACAATATTTCTGTCCTCACTTAGCGTCGTAATGCGCTGAGATCTACTACCAGGCCTTCTATTGGCACTTCCAGTCTCTAGGAATTGGGCAAAGCCCGGAAGACCACACTCTGAGAAATGCCAACTGTCCCTGCAATATCCATTTGTGGGTGACCTCAATGACTCATTCTCACAATAATATTGCCAACTTCTGGTTTAAGATGTTTTTTGCATGGTTAAATAGGATAAAAATGGATTAAAATGGAGAAAAGGCATGAAAGATGTTTGCTTACAAAACGAGTAATCTTCATGTTTACTATTCTTAAGTAAATCCATTATTAAAAATTAGGATTAACATTTGCTTCTTTTTGGTTTGCATTATCTATTTTGTCCTATCCAAATAACAAGAATATAATGGTTAATTTAATTAAAATTAATAGAATAAGAATAAATTAGAAATATCCCTACTCATTTTTTTAGGATGAAAAAGCTTAAATGCAACAATTTGAACCCAAAAACATTTTTAATTGCCATGAAACAGCCTTATTTTTTAGAGCATTTCTGGCTAGACTATGCAGTTAAAAAATGAGCATTATCAGAGAGAAAGTTTCAAAGGAACATTTAACTTGCCCTTATGCAAAAGCTTGGCGAATTATGACCCATTCTATAATAAAAAAAAAATTCTCTCTTCCTAAAAGGAGATACGACTATATTTCATTCCCAAGAGTGTCCGTTACATGGAAGTTTCCCTGTATTTACAATCTCCAGGTGATAAAGTTTATTTATATTTGAATTTTTTGGTTTCGCATTCATTAAACCAAAGTTTAGGAGAAAAAGGAATTTTTTTGTAGTGCTTATAAACACTTTTTTCTTTTCTTTTTTTCAATATAGACTTGAGGGATCAAATTCACCTATGAAGTTGATTATCGTCTATCATTCAGTGTAAGTTAAATGTTTAACTTTTTATCATATTTTTAAGTACAAAATTTAAAATTGTTCATTATGGGACACTACTATTTAATTTTAAAACCGGTAAAACATGAGGCCTTTTCTATCCATAATAAAACTATTAGCATCAGTTGATTAAAAATTGTGTCAAAGTTTTAAATACCTCATTTTTTTCTGGAATAATAGTTTGTTTAATTTATTTCTAAAAAGCGTTGTTAATCAATTATTTGATCTAACAGGAATTTGTTTCAGTATTAGATCGTCTATGGATTCAGATTCTTTTAACAAATTAACTGTAACTCAAAATACTATTGATAATACAAACAGGTAATATAGTAGTGCACCTTTGCAGCATATTTTTCCTTTTTAAAAACATCGTAGAAAATGATACAATTTACAAACGTTTTTGTGTTGTGAAACAGTCTACAGATTGTTGATTCCAAATTAGACAACATAAGGATGTCCCAATCAGCCACTTTAATTAACTCTGATAAACCATTGCTGTAAGAATCAATAATCAAAATATGTATATTATATGATAACAGTTATTTATTTTAATTTGTTTTATTTTTTATTCAGTAATGAAACGGAAAAAATGGTTTATAAACTATTTAATGGGGAAGAACGAACATGGTGAGTATGTTTTATACACAAAACAATGTTTATGATAAATTTAGAAAAATAGTTTTAAGACAATTAAATTCATTTTATTTTCTGTCATTTTTAACATACAGGTAACTTACATTGTCTGCTAATCAAAAAATGTTATCATTACACTTTAGTTTAATAATAATAAGTAAATGATTGAATTTGTATTTTTAGTGGTAGGAAGGAACAAGAAATGGGTGTTTCTAGTGTCATGCAACATTTTCCGTAAGTATGATTATTCAACTAACTTTTAATGAGCTCTAATTTTTAATGTTATTTTCGTCTTTCATTTTAGGAAAAAAGAAGAAGGGAAAAAACAACGCTCACCGATCAATAAGAAAATTCATTTAAAGTAAATGTTTATTTCTAGTAAAATTTTTTTGTTTTGTAATTAATGATTTTAATTATAGGGAAAATGAACAATATTTACCTGTAAATAGCTCAAAATGCTTGCTGTAAGTACATCTGTAGTTTATAAAAACACTGACATATTTTTTATAAACTCGCATAATTTATTGATAATAGTCTGGCATTGGATGATAAATAACTTTTTTGGCATGGAAATGTTAATTTATCAAATTGTTGGATGTTATTATGATGCATTCCTGAGAGCTGATTGAGAAATTTTTAATATATTGTATAATTTCTCTCTCTCTCACACTCACACTCTCTCTCTTTCTCCCCTGTTTCTCAATATTTCATTTGTTTCCTTTAAAATGCTCACTTCTTGAATTTTTTTTCCACTTTCTATTACTGGAATGTTTGGAGTATCGAAGTTCGGATTAGGAAGGGAGCACTGGGTTTGGTAGTAAGTTTGAATCCCTGTGCTGCCTTGGGAATTTTTCTAAATTGTTTGAATAAATAATAATTCGTGCAAATATGCTTAACTGGTTGATCGTTAATGATACCTGATGTTTAGCAACCGAAAAGCCTCCTGGTATGATACAACTATTTTACCTTTGTCCATCAAAACTTTTGGTTTTCACACTTGCTATCGTAAGATTGAAGTGTATTGAGTCTCATTATTAATAATGATGATGTAAGTTCATGATTTATCCCATCAGATATTTCAGCAATGATGTATCCAATTAAAAAGAAAATAATGGGTGTAACCTATTATACTTGTTTTCATTTTTATTATCAAAATTGTGAGAAATTGTATATATACAAATGTTGATTTGAAAAATTGTCTTTTAAATTTTTAAGAAAATAATGACAATCTGTTATTTTTAAAGATTGTTAACTTTTTTGACATTTGTATTGATTATAGGGTTAAAGAAAAAAGAACAACTTGCTCCCCTGTGTATAAAATAAAAAAATTACTGTAAGTACAGCACACAAATTATTTTATCTGATGAAAATTTTGATTTTATTTATTTTATTTTTTTACTTTTCAGAGGAAAAAGAGAAGCAATAAAGCAAAGTTTATCTGCTGTCAAGGTCATGAATGTTCGGTCAGTTATTTATGTTAATGTTTATTGGCAACCAAAATTTGATTTGTGTTAACAAGTTGAATAAACATTTATTAGTATTATTTAATACATCTATTATATATACAATGTAAACAAGCTAAGCTTAATTTTTTTTAACTTTTAGAAAAACAGAGGAATCAAAAAGACAACATTCACCGCCTCCTGTTAGAAGGTACATGAATAGAGCGCGAAGTAACGAGAGTTTTACTTTATTGAAGTAAGAATATATAATGCTTAGTCGGAATACTGAAGACTAATACTAATTCATTTGTTTTGTTTTGTCTTCTAGTGTTTCGTCTGTAGACGTACCTAGTGCAGTGCCCAGGTAAAGTACATAACCAGTAGTAGTGTTAAGTTTTCTAGATATTGAATCTTGCTTTGTATATAAATATTTCTTCTTTTTTTTTTTTTTTCAAGTTTACACAATGTTAGCAGTGGGTTTGTTAACAGTATGTATAAAGTCTGCAAGGCTTTAGATGGCGACGTGATGAAAGAAAAGAAAATTAGGTGATCTTAAATGCTTACATTAATGGCCATTTTATTTTATTTATAACTCAATAAACATTTTCTCAAATAAATTTATGCCTTAATGATTTCTTTAAATTAGCTTTGATTATAATTTTACTGTTTGTCATTTTGTTTTGTTTTAGTAAACAACTTCCACCGGCTACTCTCCATCCATCGTTGCAGTGTGACAATAGCAGTGGAACAATTTTACCTAGTTCATCATCAAGTCTTGAGTCCTTGTAATTAACCCACATTGTTTTAAGTCAGAATAGAATGTATACTTAATGTGACTTTGTAGGTACCCATCTCTACATAATGTAAATTTGAGGACGAGAAATTGCAAGGATCTTGAGTAAATATCACCTCTTATCTAGAAAATTAGTGCTGTTATTTAAAATCTTTAAAATCAGTAACATTTGAAAAAACAGGATTAAACTATTTAATTTTTTTATTTTAATTATTTGTGGGGTGTAGGTGGCCACAATGGTTAAGGCATTGACACAGAGCCGCTGTAAGGTAAAAGTCCTTTGTTCAAATGAAGGCCAGCTGGGTTCGAACCCGACAAACTTACAAATGGGCTTTTTACAAAAACACCTGCACCCTGAGGATTCATATAACCTTGTAGTTGAAAACCCTCATAAAAAATTATAATTGTTTTAAAAATATTTATGTTAATGTTTATTGTAGAATGTATTAAAATTTACACTGAAACATTAGGATTAAAAACTTTAACTATCTGATTTTCACATAACCATATTTTATTTAGTGTGGGACGTTGGTATTTGGTAAATTGTGACAATGAAGCAAACTTGGGAGAAAAAGACTCAGTTAGTGAAATAATAAGAGCCGGGAAGTCCTCTGTGGAGTATGTTGTTCATTTTTTGTTTTATTCTACCTTAAAATATTTATGATAAGCAAACAATTTAAAGAGTGACAGTTCGTTTTAATTTTTTTGATTATCAAAAATAATTAGATTAACAAAGAATTTTGTCTTAATAAATATAATTTTTTTTAAATTTACTTTTGAGTATTCGCTCAAACACAATTTCTATAGTTCCCTGATTATTTGAGTAATATTTTTTTCCCTTAGCAGCACTTATAATGAAAATTGGGAAGAAAAAACTAGAAAACTAAGACAGGGAAAAAGGCCAGCTAAAAAAAAATCAATACTTAACAAATCAAAATTTTGCTTTAATCCGTAAGTATTGTGTTCATTGTCATGAGAGTGTAGATATGAAACCAATTTCCCATTTCTTTATACAAAATCTTAGCTTTGTAAATCGATATCAGTTTGCTAAAACATAATTTGAAAAGTTCTAGTAAAAAGAAAGAATGCACATCGAAACTTCGATCTCCTGGCAAGGATCCATGTAATGCATTTGCATCATCATATTATAGCCCAAGTGATGCAAATCCTTGCTGTTCAGAATGGGGCATGGGTGGAAAAAACCCCAGGAACACATCAAGAAAAAGGTAACTTTCTAAAAATGTTTTTGATGAACTATATTTTAATATAAATCTTGTTTTATTTTTATTTTTTTTACGTGAAATCAAACCCAAAAAGAATCCATGTTACCATTTTTATTTTTATTTTATTTTAGACGTGAAAAAACCATTACAAGCTCTGATTTGACATTGGAGGAATGTTACATGCTAATGTAAATATGCAATTTAATGTGTGCTTCAACATGTCAGTGAAAACTTTCCTATATTAACTTATTTGTGGAAGTTTTGAAGACACAAAATATTTTTGCAATATGTATCGTGTCTTAAAAACTTTTTCTTTCTTTGTTTTAAATCTAAGCTAAATATAATTTGTCTTAAATTTGCTTTTTCATTTTTTTCTTAAGGTAGGAAATCTTGCAACTTGCAGATTTGGTTTAGAAAAGGTCACTCAATTTCAAAACTTTCTACTATATTATAAATAATTTTTATTGTTTTAATTAAATTCCATTTGTGATTTATACCTACAATTAAAATAAAGATTAGTCTAAAATTATTATAAGGGAAATAAATAGAAGTTTTAAATATTGTTTTGATTACTTTGATTAGTTTAATTACTTTTTTATTTTGATTTGTATATCAGTTTTTTTCAAAATTCAAAATTTTCCCCTAAAACAATTCAAATAGAGCATGCCTTGGTTCTAATGTTTATTATGATAATGTTTGATAGCGTTTATTTTCAGCATTATTGTTACTCGTTTCTCTAAATCTATCGAGTTACTAATTCGAATTAAATTTTTTATTTAGAAATGGGATCAGAGATGGGACAATTACAGTTAAAAGTACAAACGATCAATGTGTTGAGGGATGTCTGAAAAAATGTTGCGACGTGCCAAAGGGAATGAAACGATCTACTGTCAAGAGACAGTTGAACACCCCATTTAAGAAACCACCTCCTCGTTCGCCTCCCACAGGGATTGACGATAATGATGTGTGTTTGCCAGCCTGTTTGGACACAACCGCTGGTTTAACAGACAAAGAGAAATTATGTGGTGGAAAAGGAAAAATCCCAAAAGCATTCAGGTAAAACAAAAATTTGTTACAATCATTCACCTTATAGTATTGGTGAAATGTTAGTTTTTAATTTTTTTAAAATTTTTGTTATGCCTAATTTCACATACAACAAAAAGCCCTCTATAACAGACACACAAGAAAGAAGTGTTTTTGTCCATTAATGAACGATGCCCATTCATAAAGACATTTCATGATTAATTCATTCACCATAGCAAAGGATTTTTGCCTAACGTATTTATAAAAGTCAAGCATCCAAAATCGATTTTGAGTGTCTTATGAAATGGTGTAGCACAAAATAAGTTGAGACTTGAGAGCCAAGATTAAGAGTAAATAAATAGGGTGGCAATTCTATTTTCCACCAATCAGAGTCAACAATGTTAAAGCAGAGGGGCAAGAATTTTTGGTTCCTCTACAAAAGAGAAGCTTTCAATGAAAAAAAGAAGACAAAATAATTTCCAGGAAAAATAGAAAACAAAAAAATAATAAAAATAAAAGTTTGATCAATTTAGTCTTTAACAAATGAAAAGCTTTTGAAGGAAGGAACCTTATGAAGAAAATGTAATGTCATGGGTTTGAATCCCGCTCGTCGCGCTTCCTTTTTCAATAAGACTCAAATAAAGTTTTAAATGCAGAATTGCTTTGGAATAGAATCTTCCCTGAGGCTGATATATTAATTAATAATTCCTTGATGAACAATATTGGTTGTTAAACTCAGGACATAATTTTGGTATCAAAAATGACTGAATTGTTAGGACATCTGGCTCTTGTCGATGTTGAAACCTAGCAAAGCTCCTGAAATTTTATTTGAAAATAATTGGAAAAAAGTAGCCTGATCCCTCATCCATGACACTTAACGGGTTTGACATTAAGCTTGGAATTACTTTTACTTCAGTCTCAAATTAAGAGTCTGGGTGAAATGTCTAATTTTGTCTAATTTTAACCATTCTATTTAAAACTCCTTCATGTTTGTTGAAGAGAAAAGGTGTTTAGTCACTGTAAAAAAAATTTCTTCCAAATTTGTGTAATGTTATTGTAATTTACTTTCATGCCAGTATCATTTGTCTTGCTTGCTCTTCATTTTAGATACAACTATGAAGACGAGGAGTATTGCGAAGATCAGAATAAAAACAAAGGTTATTATAGTGGCTATGAAGACAGTAACAGGAATATGCAAGATTATAATTGTGGAAAGTAAGTTACCCAAATAACTTGAATATAATACAGTTAACAGTTAGACAACTGTTTAATAAAATCATTGTTTATTTTAGTGACTTTATGATGGGCCCTTCACAATATTGTGATGACAAATATGACAAGTAAGTTAGCTGGTATAGTTAAAATATTAAGGGGTTTAAAAAAAAATGGCATAGCTATGTTTATATGTTTGTTTAACATGTGGAAGTTTTTAATTAGATGGTTCTTTTTAAATTTCTAATTACATTTGAATGAGACCATGGCGGTTGAGTGGTTAGGATATCTGGCTTGTATTTGTCACACTAGTGATTCTTAGTTCAAATTTCAACACATCCCTTGGAATTTTCATTGAGATTAATTTGGAAAAATATTGTAAAGTGGTTTATCTGCCTTGTCGTTGGTTAGACATTAAGTTAATCCTGTATGACAGGAAATACTTTGTTTTTACTTACTTTACTTTAATTATTTAATTATAGCATAATACTATGTTTTATTTTTAAAGAAACTATGCTTGTAAGTCAGCCTTCAACGTCAAAAGACAAAATGTATAGGTAGTGTATATTAATGTTTTCATTCTCTATATTGTACTCGTTTCTGTATAAAGCCCACACTTTAAAAACATCCTATTTTTCACAGTTTTAACGATTAAAAATCAAACTTCGAACTGGGACTTTTGAGTATTATTTCTTATAAAGGCATAAACGTGTGCTTTATAAAAGTTGGTTATTTTCCATTAGAAAAGTTAATATATAATATATTTTGTGAATGTGTGTATGACACCATACATATACAAACATATCTTCTTAACTATTCATTCAAAATATTTCTTTCAGTAAATTTAATTAATAGAGATAATCATTATTAGACTATATTACAATAATAATTTATTTGGTGTGTACATACGTTAAACAAAATGTAATTTCAAATGATAAAATTATACTGTAATTTAATCATTACTGACCATTTTAGTCTTCCTATACTCGCTGGGTTAGGTATGTTAATAAGGTAAGTTTAACTTTTTTTGTTCCTCTTAAATATATATATATATATTTACTGAGGCTTTTCAGTAAAAACCAGAGACATAAACTTTTGACTTTTTGTCTAGTTTCTCATAAGCCAAAAAATTTTGATCTAACTCTTCAGGACAGCGAGATAAGAATTGGATTTTAAATATTTCAAATGGTAATATAATCAAAATACATTTTTTAAGGGTTTTTGATGCTGATTTGAAATGTGCAAACAAGTTTTGATTTGGTGCGACCATTCACAAGTTATTCACAGAAAACTATTCCTGAATATTGATTTTTGGAAAATCAAAATCTTCTTAACCAAGAACCAATTCATTTATTTATCATGTTAATCGTAAATTGATTGTTTTACATGATTCAAAATATCACAACAATTTCCTCAAAGAACATCAACTAACAGGATGCTTTCGATGCAACCCTTTAAAACATGATTTAGCCTGATGCAAATTTTAGTCCACGAATACAAAAGAAATAAATGATAAACAAAATATAAATTAAAAATTAATTTGTTGACCTTTGAAGCTTTTGAATAATCCCAAAATAAGATTGAAATTTTTTAGTACATAATTAACACTCATCTTAAAAACTACTACGATAAAGTTTAGTTTTTACCTTCTTTGACTTATTAGGCAAATCATAAAAATGACATATGTTACAAGAAAAATTGGAGATCATTCTGCAGTGGGGACAAGTGGACTGAAATTTGCACCAGGCTGAATTGTGCTTTAACGAATTACATCCAGTGTCTTGTTAGTTGATGTTATTAGAGGAAATTACGGCGAAATTTTTTTTTCTGGTACTATAAGAAATTAATTTATTATCATTTAAAATGATAAATAAATAAATTGGTTCTTGATTGAATTAGTTGGAGATTTCATTTTTCGAAAATAAATGTTTGAAAATATTTAATTTATCATATATATTATATAATAATTTTATCTCAAATAAAAACCTTAATTAATTGAAAGATGTTAATTGGTCAAGTGGACCACGAAACTAGTAAATTTAATGAGTTTGAAAATAGTTTTTTTGCAAATAACGTGAACGTGTGTTTAATAGACCAAACCAGCGAGGATGGCAGACCAAAATGTAATGATCAAATTCACCATAAATTAGTGTAAATATGCAATATACAAATAAATAATTAACATAATAAGCCATAAAAAATTAATGAAGAGGAGCAAGAGTAATAAATAGCAATACAATCTTGAGAGAATGTACTTTTGATGTGATGACACATACATGGCTTTTTGGGGTAAATAAAAATCTGAAAGAAGTGCAACCATTTATTCTAAAGAATACGAACGATTAATGGCTGATTAAACAAATTTATTAATATTTAATTGCAGCAACCACAGAGTTCAATATTTTAATTTTTTAAATATTTATATATATAATCTCAGATCCACCACACACTACAGATTTTTATACGAATTATTGGTTATTTTGTTGCTTATACAGTTTTAAATCTTATGTGAGTGTGCATACTTAAATGAATATAGTCAGCTACCTGTCCGATTTTCTTCCAGCTGAAAAGTTGCCCAAAATTGGCTCAGGGGAGGCCTTTGGCACAAAAGTATCAGTAATTTATACCCTTAATTAATCTTTTTGAACCAAAAGTTTTCAGCCCCTCTAGTAATTTCATACATTCAGTAAAATTTTGTAGACTGTTGCAAAATTTTAGACAGATTTCAGCTTTGACATCACTGGTAGGAATCGGCCAATTATATTGGATAGTCCACCAGCACCCATAAAAGTTGTTGACCTAGTGTGTGCAGTTGCAACCCAATCAGCCTAAATTATCTGCATTTTGTTTACTCTGTTCTCTGTAGTGTGCGGTAGCCCTTAATTAAACAATGAAAAGAAAGGAAGATTTTTTGTTAATAGAATATATAATTCTATAAATATATGATGATTTCATTTGAACATTTAAACTGTATTAATAATTTCATCATACATTAAATTTGTATTAATAAATAATAAACTATATTAATAAATAAAATGAATTATTTAGTTTGGGTCAGTACAATTCAGGACTTTGCAGCTGTTGTCAGTTTAATGGATCTTGTTCAGCACAAAACAAGTAATGTTATTATAAATTGCAAAAATAATTTTTATATTTAATATGCATAATATTTTATAAAATAGGGATAACTATGGTGGAATGAAAAGTGGATACTTAGACAGAAATTGTGAAAGGTAATCAATAATTATTCAGTAATAAAAAATTGTAGTTTTTTAGAATGATCTTTGGAAAATTGTATGTTTTGTAATTAGATGGTAGATATTTAAAATATTATCTACGTAATATGATAAGTATACAGATCGGTGTTAACATCAATTTAGCAATGATTTTACTTAATTTAGAAATGTATTGTTCTTACTAATTATTAAAAAGTTAATTAGTTAGTTAATTATATAAAAATTGCATGTAGACAAAAATTGTAACAAAGATACCAGTTTAAATAAGTAAATATAAAAAATAAGTCACTGTAAACAAACTACGTAATACACATTATAAATAAATCATTTGTCATAGCTTTTAATTATTAGTATAGCAGAATTACAAGTTGATAGTAGAAAGTTAAAAGTAAAACATTGAAGTAGTTAACTAATTACTGGATTTATTTTTGTTGAAACTATTTATTTAGAATGTTTGTTATTTCACTGAGTTAAATCTTCAACTTCATACTTTCAAATTAATATCCCATTGTCATGAATCAACATTACAAATAATTATTTTGTCGTTGTCTTGTACGCAGCGTATTGAATACAGTTCTTAGACATCATTCCAGTGATTTTCCAAGGTTATTATTAATAATACTATCATTTATTATTATACTTATTATGTTACACAATGAAAGAAAGCATAAAAATTATTTTTTGTCTGTTTATTTTTACAGAACTGCATCGGACATTTGCAGGAAATATGAAAACTGCCCACCGTACGTTTTTATATATTTATATATATATTTTAAATTGTGGAGTAGTGTGGTAGATCTAGCTTTTCACTTTGACAGAGTAGTAGAACACAAGCTTTTTAAATTAAATCATTTTCAGAACTCGTATCGCTGCATTTGATGTAAAGTAAGTTAAGAATTGCACACAAACAGATAATTATAATAATAGTAATGTCAGTCAATTAATTACTTGTCATATTTATACATTCACTTATATATTTTTATTTAAATAAATAAATCAGTGTTATTTTGGTTCTATTTTGTTTTATTGCTTTTAAAAATAATGCTTTAAAAACCAAGCATTGTTTTTAAAAATTGTGATTTCTACCAACACATTTGTACTTATATGTATTATAATTGTTTCAGCCAATCGAACACATCTCTTATGAGGTAAGATTATTTTATGTATTTATTTATTTTTATTTGTTGTTGTTGACTGTCTCAAGTTAATACAAATCTAACTATTAACAGACTACCAAAAATGACAGTAATTGAAATAGAATGATTCTTTGTATTTTTTCTGCTTTAATGGCAATTCTTCAGCAGAAAGACTTGCAATAATTTCTCAGTTGGCACTCGGGGTGGGGAGTATGGTCTTTGGCTATCCGTGTCAAATTCTCAGTGTCCCTCTTGTTGTGTTCTTGCTAAAGAGATATGCTGAACTGAAGCACCTTGGAAAATGGGTGATAGTCTTTTGGGTGCCCAGAGACATTGGGCTGGAGGGCGATGAACATGCTGGGACATTTCATCCTCTAGACAGGACCAATGTGATCGGACACACTGACACTATACAAGTAATAAATATGCAATAAAAGAACATCGGTAACATCAGTGGGCCAGCGTGTATGAAAATGAGTACAACTGAATGATTCCCCCCCAAGTGTCAGAATCAAAAGGAAGGAATTGTGCTCACCCATTTGAGCCATTTCCTGGTTCTAGAGAAAGGTTGCTCAGTGTGTCGCACAAAGTCGAGGACTGCCAGGCCTTGGCCCCTTATAAGGAGCAAGTAGGCATCCATTATAAAAAAAGTCTTTGGGATTGAGAGTAGATTGTTGGGTCTACTTGCTAACCTGATCAGGGTCTAACCTGATCCAGTTTTTAAATTTTTAAGTTTGGTTTCCACATTTAATCTGTAAATATTATGTGCATTATTTATTTATTGTGTATATTTTTGTGTGAAATTGAATGTGGTTGTGTATTATTCTTGTAAATAAGAGGGTCAATGGCAGAAAATCAAGTACCTCATTGGCCCTCGTATGCTCTAGAGGCTGAAATAACTCCATTGTTGGTAGCCGCCATTAAAAAAATTCTCATTGTTCTTAATTAATCTATTGAAAACTTTTCAGATCTAAGTATCGGCCTGCGAATGCTGGGTAAGAATACCGGAATTATTTGTGTTGATGTTAATTTTTTCTTAATTTTTATTTTTTATTTTTGAACAGTCCCTGTCGTGAGCCATCAAGACCTACCTATAAGACTAGTTACAATAAGCCGTACAGTTCTTATCTCCCGAACACGTATTCAAAGTGAGTACTGAACAATTCTTTTCTCATAAAGTGCATGAAGTTTTTTTAAATTTATTTTTAGAGTAAACTTTTATAATAGAAAAATAATATTAACAATAAAGAGATTATCTGAACTGTGTAATCATTTTCTGATACAATTTATTTTCATTAGAGAAAATTTAACTGCATACTGTAGGTAAATAAATAATTTATCTTATGATACTTACTCTATTTCTTTAAATATATTTGAAACAACTATGTGAATAAGTTTACATTATTTATACTTATGAAGATCATTATTTGAAAATGTATTCAAAATAGTTGAATTTGGCTTTATTATGTTTACATTTCTTTTTATTTTTTTATGCTGAAAATTAAGATTGAAAATGATTAACACATTTGAAAATTTTATTTGATTAATTCTTGAAAATTTATAATAAACTAAATCAATTCATCAATTTGCATATCAAACTATAATTATTGCTAATAAACTTTGCTACATTTCATATTAAATATGTTTCTTTCAAGGATATTTATCAGAATAAATTTTCGTTTGTACAAACCGTTTAAAATGTTTAAGCCTTTTTAAAGATTACAATAGGACAACTAAATTTGATGATTTTATTGCCTTTTGACTTGAAATTGTTAAGTCTTTAGTTTGAAACTTGATTGAATTGATGATTGGTACAGAATGAAAATGATTGTATGTTAATTCTTTTGTCCTCCCAGCGACCCTTACAGTGAGTGTTGTAAGTCGAGTTACAAACCTATGAAAAGCAATCTTGATTATTCAAGGTAAGTAAGGAGTGTGATTACATTTTTGTAGATAGTGGAGTACAATTGAATAATTTTAAAAATTGTGTCAACTCAAAGTCCAAGTGAACCCTCACTCTCATGCCACGAGTTGTGGTCGGGATCATGTTCTGGCGACAATACAGCTTTTCCCTTGTATTCAAAGCAAGTTTCAGACCACTCTGGCCTTGAAAACATTAGCCTAGATTTCTTCAAGGGCAATTTTTTTATTTTAAGGATAATTTAAACCACAAGGGGATGATCATGTTTCTAATTCAATTCTGGTTTAATAAATTTATTTATATTCTATAAATTAATATATTAGTAAAAATTATAAGTATAAAGTAAATTTAATTGAATAAACATAAATCATTATTTAGAGATTAAAAAATATTATTTTTGGTGTATTAATTTCATTGTTGGTAAAGATAAAAACAAAAATGATGCAAAATATTCTAATTTGGTATGATTTAAAAAGATAAATCAACACAGTACTGTTTTTTCCATATTTTAATAAACATTCTCTAAGTAAAGTAGGCCATAAAATGTTCATCACTTGGATCTGACCTGTTAATTTCTGATAAATAATTTTCCTATTTTATTTTTTTATAGAAACATTTTATGGTACTTATGCCATAAAAAAGCTACGTTCCTCTTCTTTCAAATGGTATATTTGACCATTTTCCTTCCTTTTAGCAGTTTTTAAATTATAGCCACTTCAATCAGATATTCTGATAATGACTTATCAAAAATCTGAAAAATTTAAAGGTAAAAAAAATCAATAAATTTATATCCATACAAAAGTTGTTATATTTAGGGGTCTCTGGAGGTGCTAAAACAAAATTTTGTATTAGTTTCAAGAAATTTTTTTTATGACCTAGTTTACCGGGAAAATGTTTGGTTTTTAAAAATTATCGGTTAATGATAAAATTTGACAGCTTTTGCATATTGCAATCTACATAAAAAAAATGCTGTAAAATGATATAATTCTGTTGATACATAGTTGATTTGAGCAAGTAGAATGGCAAAATAAAAATATTAAAAAATGAACCAGCCTTTCAATCCACATCGGGGGATTGCTAATGTTTTTTGAAAAATAGGTTCATTTGTAGTTGAGGAAACTAGAAAAAATCCATGCTTTCTTTCATTTGTACCCTAAGGATCTAAAAAATCAAAAACTCAATTTTTTAGATGATTTTTTTAAAAACAAAAATTGTTTTTCTACAACGGTTTGAAGAAAACCCTCCACCCTTAAGGATCTAAATCTCTTAATTCATTTTATGCAAATTTCTATGCTTCATTTCATGTGTAATATTTTATCTTGATATGATTGTAATGTAGAATTTATTTGTGGTGAATCTCATCCACTCTACAAAGCTAAATTCATAAATGCATTACGATGGAAGCCATAATTTTTAATATTGTTAGTAGACGTTTATGTTTATCGTTTACTGTGTAAATAAGTGATTCCCAAACTGTGCCCCGCTGTGCTACAAAGACGTTGTGAAAAATTTTTATGTGCAAGTAATAATGCTCTAGTAATATTTTATAAAGGAATAATAATAATAATATTTCCTCGAAATGAGGAGGTTCCGGGTGAGATTAGGTACCGCCTTATCTAGTACGTTAATTCAAGAAAACGGGACTCCTCATGGTTCAGTTCTGAGTGTCACTTTATTTGCTATTGCGGTAAACGGTCTGGCTGATAATATAGATGATCGTATAGTCACACCTTTATATGTCGATGATCTTTGCTTTTATTCCTTTATAAAATATTACTAGAACATTATTACTTGCACGTAGCATAAAATTGTAGACAACATAAGAGGTATAGATAGAATGCTTTCCTGAATTACCATAAGAGATAGACGAGATAGACCAATGTTTTGACTTGAGGCACTGACAAAAAATTGTTATATATTAAAGGCACTGGAAACTGAAAATGTTTTGGAACCACTGGAACGTAAATTATGTTTATATATAGTTTTAATTAATTATAGTTTTAATCTAACATCTTGGTTGAGATGAAAAATCAACTGTCATGCTTTCATCTCAACCAAGACCTTAGGTTAAAAGTATAATTAATTAAAATGATTAATACGGTCAAATATGACTACTAAATAATTAACTAAGGTCCGAATTTCAACAGATTCGGAGTTATTCCCCTTTTTCCGAATTTTTAACATTTCACAACCTTGCTTCAAATAAACAATGATAACTTCAAAATTAAAAGGTTTTGGACAAATACATTGATACCATTGAAAACGATGTTAAATTTCCAATAAGAACACCCTGTATAGATTCAAAGACCTGATAAAGGAGATATATTCCTCGAAGGCTTGACGAAGAAAAGTTTTTCCTATCAAATTTGCCTTATCCCTGATTTTTTTTTCACATGTAATCGTAATATTTTAAATGATTTATTTGATAAATATTTTAAATGGATTATGATTTCCTAAATGTATTGTATTTAACATCATTAATGATTTCAGTTATTGCAGTGACATCCCGGATGATAGGTAAGAAAAACTCATTTTTAAATTAACAGCAATAAGTAAGTAATTATAATTTATTTTTAAAGTTTCCTTTGTAAAAAAAGTTTTAATCTAAAATTAATTGGTGAACATTATCGGTTGTCACATTTATCAGGAATTGTTTTAGTGTTGTTAGTACTATTTTAGCAACTAAGGTTATTAGTTGCGATAAATTATTTAAATATCTGCAGTTAATAAAAGTTTAATGTAGTTTATAGGGAACCTCTTCATATGTAGCTTTCATTCATTTGTGACAGTATTTATTGGAAGGAAGATTGTAGGAGAGTGTGTCAGAATACCCGATTGTCAACCATCATCAGCAATTACCATTATTTATGAAAGTACATAAGCACATAGCATAGAATGTAAAATATGAATATTAATGTTATGCTTTTGTATTTTTATTGCTGATGATGGGTGTAAATTCCTGAAATGTCTAAAGTAAATGTTAATAAATAACTTTTATAGTCATTTTAATGGTGGGCCCTTAAGGTATTTTGAGTACTCAGTTGCACCAAACTTATTACGCTATTAGGTTATTGTTTGTAATGGGATGAATGTACTATGTGATAATGTAGTTAATATCGTGGACCATAAATGTTGTGATGGGTTAGGTCAGTATGACTGACTAGAGCCTTACGAGGTTCTGCTAATCTCAAAAATAGACAACATTTAAAATATCCTAGAAAAATAAAAATAAAGGTAAATACAACACTGAAAATTTTATTTTTAACAATTATTAATTACGTACATAACAAACCCTACACCTTTAACATTTATAAACCTATCTTAAAATTACCCTTCATTAAAATTATTTAGGAACCAAAATATGTGTTATAAAATAAAATCATAAATTTTAATTAAAACCAATTTAAAATTAAAAGAGATAATACACAGGAAAATTGTCTATTTGACCTTAAAAGAATCATTTCTCTGTCAGTCCTGCAGAAGAAGTTTGACCTGGGGGAAGTTGCTTCTGCCTTTGGCAAAACCACTTCCCCTTGGGGGGGGGGTCAATCTCTAATCTCCGTCAATCCAGGGGGTGACAACGTGGAAGATTATTAGAGACAGCAAAGAATCGTAACATGTCCCATCCAAAAGTGATGGATCACCTGATCGTTCTTCATGAGTGCTATTTGGTGGATTTTTGTAATAACAAAAAAAAGTTTAAATAAAGGTGGATTAACAAATGTTTTAATAAGGACCAAACAAATATATCCCTGCAGCAGGAGCATATATAAAAATTACAGAAGTGGGCGCAAGCAGTATTCATTTCTGCATTTTGTTTTTCCATTTTTTTGTTTAAAAAAAATAAATAAAAATATATATATTTACTACTGTCTCCTATTGATATAACCTCTGCTGTTGGAAACCCAGTTAAAAAAAAAAAAAATACACTTTTCTGTTCTAATAATTCTTTACTAGCTGGTAATATTCAATACTGCATGTATGTCTTATAAGTCCTGTTAGGTTCAGTTTAAATCATTAATAAACAAACATTTCTATTTTTGACAATATTATGATTCACATTCAGTACAATTCAAGTTCCATTCATCATTTAGCAAGTAATAAATCTTTTCATTTTACGAATTTTAAATATCTTAACCATCCCAACCTAACCAACGTTATAGTTACGACAGGGAATGACATTGAAGAACCTGGTTCAAATACTTATTGTAAAAGAATTATTTTCAGGCAATGTAAAGAAAACACCCCAAGAAGGACAGTGTAAGTCAATAGATCTAGTTTTATAACATATAACCAAGACTGTGAGGACACTTAAATTTTCTTACCTCTCTCATCATTGCAACACCAATCTTAATTTTGGTACTTCTAAATTATTCAGGTCTTCACGTTCCAAAAGAATTTTATTTCAAATTGGAAAATAATTAAAGAGAGAGTTAAGAATTTTTTTTTTGCATGTAAAAGTGCAATGTATTAGCAGTATTTAATTTTGGATTTAATTTGTTCTATTTAATTGAATTGTTCAGCTATGCTGCGTATGACCTAAACTCTCCAAAGTATGTTCCAATACAAACAAGTGTTTCTGTGAATCCTGATCGAAATTATCTCACATCTACCAGGTATGTTTAACTCAAGTGACCATCGTTTTAAATTTTCATTGTTGCTTTTCCCAGAATTTTATGAAATTGATGGCAATTCAAATGAGTATAATATGCATAAACACTTTTGTTTGTTTCTGTTTTTATAATCCTTTGTGTCTTTGATTTTCAGATTTATTAAAAATCCCTGTCTATTCATTTCTAAAAATGTTTCTAGCATTTCTCAATTCTCCCCTTTTTAGAGATGCGTCCTGTCAACAGAAACTGGAGAGACAGGTAAAAGACAGCTATTGTCAGACAGCACAAAATCGTTCGTATCCGCCTGTTAGCCAAAACCGACCTTGTTTTTGTCCAACTTCCTGTTGTGGGTATGTAATAATATAGACCACACTCGGGATAAGAAAAAAGTTTTTCTTTAGTCATAGCATGCAAAATAAGTGAGGCATTCAAACAAAACAAAAAATTAATTCTGTTTATTAAATATGTAAGTTTTGAAGACATTAGTAAAAATGTTACAAAACAACACATATATTTGTATTAGGATGTGCAATTTTTTAAAATATTTTTTTAATACAAAAAAAAGAGAAAAGAATGTGATATGCAATGTAGTTTAGCACTTGCTTAAATTTTGATAATAATAGTAGCATTTTTTATTTATATGTAGCAATAAAATTCACTATATTAACATAACCGTTATATAACTAATCCTTGAGTTTAGTCACTATAATTTCTAGAATCATGGATGTTTTGAAATTCTCAAAAGTGTCAGTGTGATGGGTTGATGTCCCAAATATTTGGGGGATTTTACATATAATTACATATGTTTCCTTAATTTACACATTTTGGCCCATATTTAATAAAAATAAAAAACAAAATTATTGAAAATTTTAAAAAATGAGCAACAAAATAAGAAGTATTTTAGAGAACTAAAGATTTCAAGTTGTAAACAAAAATTTTGGGAAAAGTTTTTTGTTCAGATGTGAATTCTGTATCAAACGTTAAAAAGGATTTCCTTAAAGCGCTGATAAAATTCCAAATGTATCGCTTCCACCACAATCTGTCATAATATTATGGGGGACCTGGGTAGAAGCCACCATGTTCTACAGTGAAAATTTTTCAAAAATTAAGGAACAAATAGGAAGAAAATGCTGTAGCCCTGGAAAAGGCAAAAGAAATTATGGAAGTACATACACTGACATAAAATTGAGCTTTCATTGCATTAATTTCATTTTTTTGGCAAGCACAATTACGCAACTGGAAATCCAGTACCCCTCACTCTAATGACTCCTTCGAAAATTTGGAAAATATTATTGGAAGGACGGGAGATAAAGTAAAACAAAAAGTGTAAAAAATCTCAGATTTGACAACTTGAGAGAGATTACTCTTTTGATGGGGGGAAAATTGCAAAACATAAATTCCTCTCACTCCAAATGTAATTACAGTCTTCAATATTGGGCCCCCATTACATCCCATTCATTAGATGCGGATCATTCTTTTAGTCAGTGCAGAAATATTTTAGCACCAGGTTAACATAATTTTACTTTCAGTTTTAAAATGCATTTTTTTGACACTAGAAAACATTTATATTTACAAAAATTTAAAAATGGATGATATTTTGAATAAATTTGAATTTTAAAAATTTACTTGTTCTATATTTCCTTTGTACACAGTGTAAATTATAAAATTTGCTTACAAAATGCATAACTAAATCTTTTTTATTTTACAAATTTTCTGTTTTACTTGCAAATTTGTTAAAAAATAAATACATATTTATAATAAATAAAGTATATTTTATTTCACATATACCTGGTCCCTATTTATATATATTTTAAAAAGTCCCAACAACCTATTCAATTAAAAATTGCTTTCTCATGTTGTTTAGGTAGTGGAATGATTTAAAAATTTATGTCTCATTATTTTTTGGTGCTATACAAACAATATAATGAAATATGACATAAAACCCCCCATTTATAAATCTTATTTTATAATAATATCTAAAATATGACAAAAATAGGGAAAATTCAAAAGGATGAAGTTCAGATGAGGAGTTGGAGTCCAAGTGGATTGAAGTCACGATAGCTCAAATGTTTGTGCAGTGGCCCACCAGTGGTGGTGTATTGAACTGAAGGGTCATGGGTTCGAATCCTGCTTGTGACACCAACTTTTTCATCTCAACCAAGACCTTTGGTAAAATGTTAAAATTAATTAAAATATTGATAATAAAAATAAGAAGTACTCTTGTGATCTTTGGACTTGCACCTTGCTTCCAACTCCTGGAAGGAATACCACAAAACAGAGCCCTGCAGCTTGATCATCTTGGTCTGAATAGTCTTGCTTTGTTTTGTCTATTAGAAACATTTCAGCATAAATCAATCTTCAGTGGTTGATAAACTGTGTCAATGTCATAGACAGCCAGAACAGTCGAAGATAACTGAGTTATAGGCTCATCACCAAACAATTTTAAAAATATTTGAAAATCAATAAATGTGTCTCACTTCTTTTGTTCGCAATGATTTTAATGAAATACAGTTCAATGTTAATGTTAATATGAACATAAATGCAAACCTATTGGTAAGTCGTTTAACTCACGCCATTACTATTTCCATTGAATAGGTATCATGCACCATTCTTTCAGCCTGATTCACAACAGTAAGTATCAATGCACTTTTATTTTTGTCTATTTTAGTCATGCACATAAATATTGTCTTTCGTTGATCTCGTAATGACAAAGAACAAGACCTACCGAACAACATTAAAAAGAATCTTAAAGAAATAATGATGTCAAATAAATTATGAAGCATATAAATTTAACAAAAATTCAGTATTTTCTACATTTACAATGAATGAGAAAAAAATATATACACAGCTATAATAATTTAAACTTCTCTATACAAATTAAAGTTACATCGCGCACTATTTTTCATATCCAATTCTCAATTGATTAATATTTTGAAAATTTTATCAAAATTTATGATCTAACACATTGTTAACTGTTATGATTTTGTAATTACAGATATTAAAATGATTAAAGGTTTAAGCAGACTTTCTGTTTTTATTGGATGGATAATGTACAAATTTCATAATTGATAAGTGATCATTTATTAGATTTTAAACCTACTTCAGGAGAGGAACTAGCCAATATGACATAATTAAAGTCTAAACAATTGTCTTTTTTTTCTCGCTTTTCTCTTTTAGGAACAAGAACGAATTCTCTTATCCAGCACAAACAACATCAGCAAAAGTTCAGCACATTGGCTTAAGTCCTCATTTAGGCACAGCCCAAAGTAAACTGTCACCAAATAAAACCAAGAAATTGTCACCAAGTAGAACTGTTCAGTTTGATTCAACTAAGAAAAATCTAGGCACATCAAAATATACATCAACGAGCGAACTGTTTAAACAACAATCAGAAGAGAAGACAAAAAGTAAAGCTGCGAATAAGAAAACGTCTTTGAAGAAATCCAAAAAACCTGACCAAAATGCAAAAGCTAACAATTCTCCAAAAGCAGAAGCACAGCCCACCACCCAGCAAAACAAAAAAACACGAAATAAAACGCCTACTACTGTAAAGCAAGATGTACCCAATCCTACAACAAAAACATCCCTTTTAAAGAAAGACGCATCTAACACCAAGACTGTAACAAAAGCACCCTCTTCTGTAAAGAAAGACGCACCTAGCACTAAGGCTGTATCCAAAACACCTACTTTAAAGGCAAAAGAGCCACCTAGCACTAAAGCTGTAACAAAAGAACCCACTTTAAAAACAAAAGAGCCACTTTCTGGCTCACCAAGCAAAACAAAAACTACAAAGCCAAATATAAAGAAAAAAAAGTAAAAATTGCCCCCCCCCCGCTCACAAATGAAATAAAGTAGGTAGAAATTCTAAATTCTGCTGGGCCTTGAACGTATGCACAATACTTTATGGTATCTTTCACGTGAGTATACCTACACCAAATAGTATGTTGCACTATTTAGATGCACAGTTTTGTAATATGTATTTAAAAATTTCACAGCACTTTTTTTAAGCACAATCACATCATTCATGTACAAGTGGACAGGTAAATAAAAAATTCAAGAGGTGACTTTTATTGTTAAATTGATAAACATATTTACAATAATAGGAATTGGTGGAAATACATTTGATTTTGAATTAATATATAAATATGTATATTTTTTCAAAAGATTAATTAAATTTACAGCAACAAAGAAATTGCAGAGAAATCTATTATAATACGTGTACCCAAAGAAGCACATATGTATGTACTTATGACCTATTTTTGAACAAATTGTACATTCATTTTTTCTTAATTTAAACAATTTAATTTTAAGAGTTATAAAGAAGATTGAAGGATCTGAACAGGATAATGTATGCAGTAAAGTGCAACAGGATAATGCATTTAGTACAGGGCATCAGGATAATGTATTTACTGGGCAACCATTAGATGTGTGTGGTGATGACAGTGAGGTAATTTATATGCGGTTTTGATAGTATTTAAAAACATAGAATCAAGAAATATTCAGTCAATCTTAGGAGAAAAACAATTACTGGCAAATCCCAAATGACCAATGAAACTTCCAGCTTTACTGAAGCCAATTTAATGTACAGTTTAATGTGTTCGATGTATTACCACTTTTTTACTCACAAATAACTTGGAACATGGTATGGTCTAGATAAAGACACAAATTCTGTTTTTAGGAGCAAGCTTTCGATCTAGTTTAAGATCATTATCAAAGCAAAACAATTTCAATACAATTTTATTTACGAATTTAACAGATGGTTACAAATTTCTTTGAGGACCGACTCAGTTCTGACCTTTTCCAATTTAAACTTTAATTAAAAACTTAATAATGTCAATGTGTAAATATTTAATATTGTTTTGCCCTGAAGATGACCTTAAAATATGTGACAAGCTTGAATTTGTTGAAGATCCAGACTATTTGTGAATATGTACCAGCTATCAACAAAACTTTTAAATTTCAAACAGCCATTCAGTTAGAAGTAAAATTAATGTCTTCATATATAATTTGAAATTTATAATAATTAAATATTTTTATAGGTATATGTAGCTCACAAAATTAAGCTAATCAGATAATCAATTTTTTTATTTACAACTTTTATTTCATGTTTTAGAAATTAGTTATAATCTTTTTTCAAAATAATTTTTCAATTATCTGCATCCATAAAGTTAATGTAAGTTATTTTAATGTTCCAGCGGCAAGCATTAAAAGTGGACAATTCGAAACCGGTAAATGGTAGGGTTTTTCTTTAAATTTGTTATGCAAATTACTGCACACAAAATTACTTAACACATTTTTTCCTCTAGTGCCTGAAGTCAAGTCTACACAAACGGGCGGTATGAATGCACTTTTTTTAAAACGAAAATAATCTATTCTTTCTTATAGCACTGCAATATTTCTTTCAATACATTAAATAAGATTTGTGGAATTTTTCTTTATGAATTTATCTTAAATCATTTTATTTTACAGCCAACAGAACAAACACACCAAAAAAGAAGCACAAGAAAAAAGAAAAGGAAAAGGAGTGCTGACTAATGAATAAATGTTTGTTCATTTTAGTTAACTTGATTTATAAAACGTGATCTTTAACATTGCAAAATTGAACGTTGAAAAACAAATAAATTTACAAACAAAAAGAAACTTGAAAATCTTTTTTTTTACTTCTCTGAAAACAAGATTAGTTACTTCAAAATGTCAAGATGAATAGTTAAATCAAGACGAAAATGATTAATAAATAACAAAATACTTGTTAGAAATTATAGAGAATTAATTTGTGCTGTTTATCAATATATATGTAAATATTTTGTATTTTCTATAATTTCATATTAAATTGGGAAAAGCAACATGAGGTAGATTAATATGTTATGTAGATATGAAAGAGTAACCAAAACATTTATTTCAGAGACTTTTTCACTACAGAAGGAGTGGCTGATACTGGGAGATGGTATGCAAGCTATTGAATTATATATATTAAAAATAATAATTGTATAATTAGAAATAATAACACAAGGTTTTGAATTTGAGATTGGTTTTGATCAAACCACTGTTGAGATGTAAATTCTAGAGTGAATATCTGTTTAAATTTGGAGCGATTGTATTTTATTTGCTATGATAAAATTTTAAAAGCACCAGATTTGAATAATTCTAATTCTAGAAGTTTAGTTTAATTACAAAAACTAATATGTTTACATTTTGATATATTTGAATAACTTGAATGTACAATTTTAGGGATGGACAAAAAATAACTAGCCTTGCTGTTGAGCCTTCCAGAAAAAACAACATAGTAACGCTAAATGTTCCTTCTTCTTCAGACATGACTTTGTAAAAAAACAAATGTTAATTTTAAGAAACATTGTTTCTACATACAATTATTTTCTTCAGGAAAGTTCCTGAAGGTGCTTACAGAAACGTCACCGGAGGAGGATTAGTGAAAGATATCAACGCAGTCGACAATTCAAATCAAGAGTGTGAGAATTCAAATTTGGAAGGACAAAATAAATTGATCTCAGTCGTATACTACAAGTAATAAAACATATAATATTTAGTTTGAACAATTATTAATTTTTTATATAATTATGTTTGCAAACCAATTAAATTGGTTTATATCACCTATAGGCAGATGCCTCCAAAATTTACCTTCCCTTCACACCTCCTGACTTATATTATTATATTATAATTATATTGTAAGAATTCAGGAGACTTCAACTCAATGGGCTGGTGAAAATGGGCTTAACTTGAATGTTGAAAAGTCCCACGTTGTTTGAATCCAGTATCTATATTTGTTAACAATCAAGGCATTTTCTTCTGTCCCGCAGTCCTTGGGATTGCCATTGTTCTGGAATCCCCATAATATATCCAAAATTTCCCTATGCTGCTTCTCCACCCTCCATCAGTTCCTTCACGCCAGCCTTTTTACCTTTAGTATAGATAAACTCATTTCTTCCCTTATTCTTTCCCACTTTAATTACGGATTAGTTGTAAGTGAGATGGTGATAGTGATGGTGATGAGGATACTAAGAAGCAGTGTTAGTGCTCCCCAGGCACTGCAGGCTTATTGTACTTTCTAGGTTCCTAGTTCAGTGCAACAGACTCAATCCTTCTTAGAAGTATCAGGTCATTGACTGTTGTTGCTACAATTTCATTCCCTAGGTTTTTTTCTGTATGCTAGATTAAGTCTCCATTAACCCATTGCTTCACATTCGTAGATGATATGGGCTGGTTCTTCCTCATTACATAACCTGCAGATGGGTTGTATATGCCAGTTGTGTAGATGTTTTCTCAGTTACCAGTGACCAGTTAATAGTCTCCTCTGATTCTGGCCCCGTCCGATTGCAGGCAGTTTGCCTTGGTGAAGGTTGTTTTAGCATAAGCTTACTATGTCTAGCACTGCTAGTTTATCCACGTCTCCTTTTGTTCTGCGATGAAGGATTCTGTATTTGTTTTTTGTATTTGTATTTGTTTCTGCCATCTTAAGTATAGGTTCGGGGCTTATATGTGGTCTTGCAGATCCCCTTCTGGTTTAAGTAAGACTTGCTGGGGATCTTGACGATAAGCTTTTAAATTTATTTTATACGTATATATTTTTATATATAACCTTATCAGACCTGAATTCTGAATATGTATTCATAAACAATTATTCAAGAGGATTTTGAGTTACAGAATAGTTTTTTTAATTCATTTTTTATTATTTTTGCTTTAAATTCATTTATTCTGCTGGTCATGGAAGCTAGTTCGAGAAGTCATGGGTAATATAATAACCTAACCCCCCCCCCCCCCGAAAAAAAAAAAAAATTCATTTCAAATTTGTTTATAAAAGTTATGTAAAATAGGTGATATTTTAGTGTAAAAAAAAATAAAATAAAATAAATGGTTAAAAATACATTCTTGCCATACAGAAGGGTATCCTTGTATATTGTATTGTTGGAAGTCATATTATTTATTGCACTAAAATACTCTAGTACAGTATACTTGGCACACATAGTGGACATTCAAATGACAGCCCCTGGGGATGCCAAAAATTTTATAGCTTGACTAAACCATATTTAATTAAATGTATAAAAGACTAATAATTTATTATATTTGTAGTGATAAAGGTTCTAATGAGGAAGATGGCTGTGAGAATGCTCCAACAGAATTACTGTCATTATACTATCAAGGGTGAGTTCTCTTATATAATAAATAGCCAATTAAATATAAGTGTTATCTTATTATTAAGAAGATAAGGTAGTTAGCAAACATTGTTTCCCCATCAGAAAAATGTTTCGTGCATTGCTGTCCTGTACTGTAAAAAAAAAAAAAAACATATTTAACCTGGGCATCTGGCTTACGGGAGATACTAGTGACCCAGCCATATATGTGGAGGTGAACTCACCCCTGGGGTTAAAACAAAACAAAAGTTCAGTATTTTATAGCTTCTCCATCACCTTTAATTACATCAAATATTCTGTTAGGAATACTGTTATGAAAGTTTGAATTTCCAGTGAGATATCACGCCATGCTTTGAGAATCATCCCTTTCTGTTCCCGGATACTCAAAAACTGCCTCAAAAACAAAAGCTTTCTAGAATGTATGACCTATGATGAAAGTGCTGGCCATTTCAATATTGTTCTCAAACCATTTCTTGTTGAAAAATTGGAATTACTTTTCGCAAATAATTTAATATAAATTGTTCATTCTCAAGCAAATATCCAGTGTAAATGGTCTTTTTCTTTAAACAGAGCCTACACAGCCCAAATCATTAGGGAACCACCACCCATATTGTAGCAAGACAAAACTTTTTCTGTTTTCTTAAAACACAGAAATAATATGAAAATCCAGTCAGAGGCTGAACTTTTTCACGTCTGAAAAAATTACTCATTTCCAATCAGATTGAAAAATTCAATTTGGTGAGTTTGTTGTATGATAAGAGGATTGGCTTTCTGCCTGCACTTGATCATCTTGGTCTGAATATTCTTGCTTTGTTTTGCCTATTAGAAACATTTCAGCATAAATCAATCTTCAGTGGTTGGTAAATGTCATAGACAGCCAGAACAGTCGAAGATGACCGAGTTATAGGCTCATCACCAAACAATTCTAAAAATATTTGAAAATCAATAAATGTGTCTCACTTCTTTTGTTCGCAATGATTTTAATGAAATACAGTTCAATGTTAATGTTAATATGAACATAAATGCAAACCTATTGGTAAGTCGTTTAACTCATGCCATTACTATTTCAAACCTTTTTTTTATTTTCTTCTTCTTGAGGGTCTCTGATGCGTTCGAAAGTCGCTGAACATTTTGTACATTCCAATTAATTATTCTTTTTATTAATATAAATTTATATATTTAAGTTAAGATGAAATATTGAGCATACTGCATCCGTGTAACTGCAGCGATTTCTTTATATCAATGTGGAATTTCATGCAGCATCCGATAATAGACCTTTTTTTTGTGATGAATGATGAACGTCCTTTTGCCTTTCTTTTACCATAATTCTGATAAATTAACCTACCTATAAGAAATACCCTCGATAATGAAATACTTCTCTTTATTGAAGAAACACTTTCCTTTCCCTATTAAAAATTAAATAAACTAGAAATATTAAAATTATAAAACTTGAAATAAAATGTAAAGTAGAAAAGTTCTGTGTGAAAGGATAACTCGAACAGAGTGAACAGATTGAAAAAAGTCTTAGTGTCTATCATTTTATTGCACTGAAAAGGTAAATATTTTGCTAAATAACTAACAAAAAGCTATGACTGCAGATTATATCTGAATGATAGAAACCATTGCTCTGTAACAACTTAATTTAAGCATAATCAAAAATAAATTTATTTAATTTTGTAATTGTGTGTGTGTAATTTTGTCATGGACTGTATTTGTAACGTGATACTACGATTATCTTGGTCTGTCTATAATTCTGCAGACCGTCGGTGGAAATCACATGTTATAAAAAATATTTTCTATACACAACTTGTTTGTTATTTCAGTGGATCTCAGAATGCACAAGTACCTAATCAACCCCTACAGATAGTAATTTCAGCCAAGCATGTTGAAAATGGTAGGCTAGTGGGTGATAAGCCAGGAGAAGAGAAAGCAATTCAGTAAGCCCATAATAAACACATATCTGTTCAAAAATATACAATTTTGTTAATTAATTCTTCTTTTTTTTTAACTTAGACTACTCAAAGTATGCCAACCAAATGCTCCACCACAAGGAATTACAGTGACACTGCCTGGCAGTAGTGTGAACAGGTAAACAAGCAGTTGAACAAAATCTGGCCTCTTAATACTATTTTTTGTTTACAGGAATACGTCACCTGCTGAAGCAGATATGGCAAGTAATGACGTACTTCTTCATCTTCCTAAAGACACAAAACTGTAAGTTAGTCAATTACGTTTAAAATAATAACATTGTGACTTGTGATTGCATTTTAGTAGGAGGAGCTCTTCTTCATCAACGTTGTCATGAAAAGTAAAATAGAAACATCCTTGCTTCATTAAACGGCCTTGAGTTTAAAAGTTCATAATGGAGAATGAAGTGTACAAAAAGATATTATGAAGAAAATTTGATTCCAACAAAAAAAATAAAAAATAGCAATAATTACATGTTATTTTGTGTTTCTTTAGAACATACGCACTTAACTAGGATCACCTTTCAATTAGCTGGGACACATAGAACAACTTTGGACTCATACATACATGGGTTTTGGCCCAAAAGTAAGTTTTCGTGTGTCTGCCTCGATGGCCTGTCATAAATCGAGTGAGGATTAACCTTCTTCTATGAGTCAGGTCCTCTCGCCTATCCAGCTAACAATGCTCTTTAAGTTTATTTTCTAAGGTGTTTTCGGGAAGGAAAGAATCAAGGAATTTCTGGATGAAATAAATAAATATATATTTACAGAAACACAACTACATTATTTACATAAATTGTCCAAGTATTTTTTTTTTTTTACAAGTATTACAATTTGAACAGAATGTGTTTAGTTATCACTTTTAACCATGCACATGCTTTTGGTATATTCAATTTAAAATATCAAAAAGGTATTTTGACTACATTATACAATAGTGAGATGCGGTCTGGTGTGACATCTCACGATTTCTAAATAAATATCAATTAACGGTCACTAATCACCACACATTATAAAATAATTTCATCTACCAGTGATAATTTTTTTCCAATAAAAAATTCTTGATTAACTAAAACAATTGCTTATATTTATGTAATAATATAGTAAAAATCATTGAAATTTTAAATGTTGAGGAACACTGACAAATTGAAAGCTTTTCTTGATTGTTGTTAAGTTTAAAAAAAATATATATTAGAATATATTGTACTTCTTTCAATGTTATGACTATTATTTAAAGTTCATTAGTATTACAATCATGTAACATTTTAAAAATGAAAAAGCATTTAAATTTTGCACATGGCATTGCATAAAGAACCACTAAACACGAATAAACAGAAATGGAGCGTCTTGATTAGAATGATCGGTAAAATAACAATTGGTAACTTTAGGATTCAAAACCATTTTTGTGTTTTAAAGTTCTTGGCACATTCGAGGTTTTGGTGGAGGTAAAACATAGCCGGGTTCACAAGGAGTACCTTTAACAGCTTCACTTGTTTTAGCCATTAGAACTCTATAATTGATGTCATTCTGATCCAATTTTCCATAAATAAACTTATGTAAACGGTTACTTAAAACCCAAACACTTTGATCCACCTCGTGGTCTATTTTTAAATCGTTTGGGAATGAAAGTGTAACATTGTTCAACTCGACGATACCATGGCTTTCTGGATTGTGCACTCCGACATGAGAATTCCAGCAGCCCACTCCACTCATAGTGACTAAGTTGTAAAAGAGAACGCCATTTCTATCCATTCCAGATGCACTTGAATGGCCCATTTCTCTTTTACGTTTGCCAAGGAGCATAAATGATTCAGGAGAAGATTTTGCCAAAGTTTCGTTGTGCAAAATCCTAGTGTCTACTCTAAATTCTCTGAAACTTGACATGGGATGGAAATATAAATATCTCCTACCTCTTTCAACTGGAGACACAGCCAGTCCAAATATACCATCATTCCAATTAAAAGTCAAACCGTCTAAAATATACTTGGAATGCAAAGGTTCTGGAAAGAAATAAGAATTTTCCACCCTCCATGATCTATTTTTTTGCAGATCATAAACCACAAGACCATATCGAAAAACATCTGAGGCATAAGCAAACGTCCTTTCACAAGTGATAACATCAACTGCTATGTTGGTGAAAAGAGCTCCTTCTGGTGTTTGACCTTTTGGAAATTGATATCGTACTATTAATTCATCATTGTTTAAATCAAATACTAATATCTGCGGAGGGCAAGCTCGTTTCACTCCTGTCACAATGTCGATGACTCCAGAGTCCATTACCCAAAGTCGTCCGCATTCATCCACAGCTATTCGAAATATCTAAAAAACATTTAGAATTTATAATGTGATTGTTAAATTTTAGAATTTTAGACAGTATGAACTCACAGAAGTCAATCCTTGACAATTGCCGGGAGAGTGCCAAGCCCAAGACGGGTACGGGTGTAATACTGGAGATTTGGTATTGCTATTGAGTGGTACCCACGCTAACGTAACAGGAACACCCTTTTTCCACCTCGGCAACGTTATAAACATCCTTCCTCTGTACACTTCCAATCCTAACGGAAGATTCGCCTCAGGATTAAAAGCCCCTGATGATATTGCAAGTTCCCTTGCAGCTGTACTTGGATATTGGAAATCTACTTGATTCCAACTGTAGTATTCCCTCATCCCTTTTGGCAATTGTCCTTGATACGCTGGCTGGTAACCCTCGTTTCTTCCAGATGCTAACCAAGTCATTGACATGACCCATGGTAAATAAAAAGCTGAAAAAGTAACTGTTTATTAGTTTCTTGTGTGAAAACTGCTCAAATTAAAAAAATATGAAATTGTATTAAATCCATATACATATTTAGTAATCATCATTAATTAACTAAATTAATTATTATAATTATTTCTTATTATTATATATAATAATATATTCTTATGAAATAATTATTTCAATTAATTATACTTTTTATATTAAGGTCTTGATTGAGATGAAAAAGCTAGTTTCACGAGTAGGATTTGAACCCACGACTTTGGCTCAATATGCCGCTGCTCTAACCACTTAAGAAGTCATGATGGCTCAAGTGGTTTGAGCAGCGGCATATTGTGATCGTGGGTTCGGATCCAGCTCGTGACATCAGCTTTTTCATTTCACCAATACCTTAGTTAAAAATTATAATTAATTTAAATTATATTAAATAAAATTACTACTGAGGTTTTTGAAACAAACTTAAAAATTAAAATTGGTAAAATTATACGGAATGTGATTAATGATTTAAATAAGTCAATTATATTTTGTGATCAGATTGACCAAATTACTTCTTTTAATTAATTAATCTTTTTATGCAAGGTATTGATTGAAATGAAAAAGTTAGTGTCACAAGCAGGATTCGAACCCACGACCTTCGGCTCTTGAGCTATCAGTGTATCACCAGCTATAGCTCAAGTGGTTAGAGCAGCGGCGTATTGAGCCGAAGGTCGTTGGTTCGTATCCAACTCATGACACTAACTTTTTCATTTCAATCAATACCTTGCATAAAAAGATTAATTAATTGAAAGATTTATACAAGCTCGATCTTGCTTGAACATAAATTATTATTGAACACACTTGTACAGAATCAAACTCTAGTGCACCAGTCTGGAATCAGATCATCCTATCCGTTCCACTGCTGAAGTTAGGTTTCAGGGTCTACCAACAGCTAGGTCATTTCAGCACCCACTGCATCAGTCTTTAAATCTAAACCCACTGACACTCTTACTCTTAAATACATCCTTTCTTATTTACCTATAGTTTATTCAATATGGTACAGGATATTCCACCATCAGCTATTTTACACTATACATTCATGCTAACAAATACATTCAGCCCCAATGTATTTCAAAGAAATACTTTACAAAGGTAAAGTACTATATATAATAAAACTGCCCTGTTTCCTCCAAAAATCAGACGAGAGGACCCAGATACCCACGGCTCTAAAGCACAATTCTCATATCGGGTGGCATTCCTTCATACACTGTTGTAACACATATGTATTCTTAGTTGAATGAGTTTGATTCTTCTTCTTCTATTTAAATCCTCCTAGGAACATTTATTGACCAAGCTATTGATACATGAGAGCTTCTCAATCAATCCAGCCCATTGACACTTCTATTGCCTCTTTTAATCAAATTTTTAGTGGATGGGACGGACTTAGCCACACTGTCCACCTTTTTTGTTACTGACCAGAACAAATACAGTTACAGTTGAAAATTAATTTTTTAGCTGCAGTTTATTATTTTATTGATCATGAAAAATGCCATAAAATCAATAATAAAATGTAAAAACTAATTTCATTCTGATGATCTCTTATGATAAAATTTTAAAAATTAGAAATTAAATGTTCTGAACTACACAAAATGTTATGCCGTCAAAGATTTACTATTTATCATCAATCTTTACAATCTTGTGGTTTTAATTTATAACAAAAACGATTAAATGTGTGGATAGCAAAATGTGCAATGCAGGGCAGGATCTCCAGAAAAGACCTGTCTACAAGTTCATTATATGTAGACCTCAACATACCTCTAACATTTAAACAATTAAACTCTAAATGTGTTCCTAGAAACTTATTAGGATTGTTAATGTAAAATGAAGTGTTGTGTTTAAAAATTTAATTTAATTTACGTTCTATTCTTGTTACAGCAAGCAACAGTAAACGAATTACGGAAAGCAGTTACAGTTACTTTCTAATCCATCAAGTTAAGGAAGAAAAAGTTTCCATTAATTGTTGACATGATTATTACATATATTTATACTTTTAATACCTTGAACAATGATTATCAAAGATGTGTCCCCCATGACATAAAAGCTGTACCAAAAATAAAAGAAAGAATCCGAGTCTGCAGTTCAGTTTCCGAGGGCGCATATCGTGATCTGAGATCAATTTTTGACACGACCGCTCACGGTCCGTTTCGTCAAGACATTTTTCCAGACTATTCCATCTCTCATCTCTTATTGATTTGGGCACGAACCGGTCTGGGTCGTGAACAATTTAAAGGTCGTGACTGTCCGTTATCTGAGGTCAGATTCCTTCCTATCTGTTCTATAGTCTTCAGGACACGCGGGTCCGGATATTTTCGAAGCCTTATACAATAAGTCCGACCATAACTGGTAATAAAAGTCATTTTGCAATTAGTGCCTGCATGTGCCCATTGACGAAATCTAGTCTCATTAATTACAGATATTCGTTACGTGGCCGTTTCACTTATCCGAGCGAGTGAAAGTAAAACAAGAAGACGTTGTTAACATAAAAATGTAGGAGTCGGGCTTCCCATGCTGCTCTTGACCCATTTCTTCGTGCAGTTATGTTACAATTTTCCGATGAGGCCGAGTGAGTCCAATGCTTTACGGCATCTTTAAGATCTTTAAGCCGTGGTGGGAATTATCAGACTCCATATATTCTCTAATTAATTAGAAACCATAAAAACAAGAATTAAGTAATAAACATCGTAACGCAGTATAAAAGTGCTTAGGCTTATTCTAATTATTTGGTTTTTGATAAAAAAAGAGGTTTATTCAATCATGAACATAATTTTGGAGAGAAGATCGACCTACTATACCGTGAATACAGATGATGAGGAAGAGGAATCCAATATTGATTGATAACCCTGATGACTCTCTCACACACTCACCAGCTCACTCCCTCTCTCTTATTTTCACTCACTCATACCCTCTCTAGGGGGGCGAATGAGTTCTATGCGATTCTGATAGCCTCTAATACTCAACTCCGACTTTTTACCTTCACGAAGCTTATGCGGGTGTATCCTGTTAATCAAACTGACGGAAAGAGCAGTACGGAGTGATAGGAATTAGGAGCTGTACCTGTCACCTCCTAAACCCTACACCCCACATCTTACCCCTCCTCCTAATCCAATCTCAATTCTAATCTCACAATCCATCTCCAATCAAAGGTGTCGTTCGACGCGTGCCGATGGATGGTACATGGGTGTACAAATAACGAAGCCGCAATGTACCCTTGAGTAACCTTACGTCGGAAAGAGGGCTCCTCCGGTGTGGACTTTAGATCCCTCATACTCGTGGGAGTCACATGGATAGATCGAAAGAAAACAAAAAACATCGGGGGAACCTGCAAAGGATTGGTAAATAAATACCAAACTAGAATACGTAACCACTCAAATGGAGAGATGGAGAATATTGAAAAACTACTCCTCAAACCCAAGCAAATCTGAGGCGTAAAATAGCAATCAACGAGCCAAACAAAAGGGATAGCTAATCCTGAAAAGAATCAGGAAAGGGAAGCAAAACCCTAATGTTCACCGATCACTGGAAGGGTTAACCCCACAAAACCAGGGCCAACGCCGACCAAACGTGGTAAAAGGGACAGGTCGCTGGGTAGCGCCCCATCATCAAGTGGAAGTGCTCCTAGGACATGTCCCAAGAAAAGCAAAATTGAGGGAAGAGATGTTGAAAAAAACCATCCCCCCAAAAATAGTTGATGGGGAAGGCAATGAGGCATATCAGCAAGCTCTTAGAGCGCTAAAAATGGCCGTGGTGTTGGAGGAATACCCAGAAAAAGAGCGAACAGCCGATCAGGGCAGGGCCGTCCTGTCTGTGGTTTGGAGCTGCACAAACTCAAAAGGACCTGTTCAGGAATGGGTACGTTGAAAAAAGGCGATAACCTGCGAGAACCAAAGTGCCAATGAATGCCTCATGCAAACGGTACCTACTATCCACCCGTGTAAAGGGGCAAGACTTAGAGTAGGACCCAATAGAGAAGTGATGAGTGGTCATTGGTGGTGACCTGGGCACTATGAACACTACCATTCGGGCTACTATACCGAGCAATGGTGGGCCGTCAGCCAGAGAGTTGAAAGCAAAGTCTAACATGTCGAAGATATAGATGATGCATCTTTTGTGGCTTTAAACAAAGCCAACTTAAAAACTGTATCTTGACTTTGCAATGATAACCTTAAGGGTAATGAAAAAAGCAGTAAAGACTGATGCTGAGGGTGCTTCAAGCAAAAGCTACAACACTTATGCTTTGTCGTGTGACCAAGGTGAACAACATCGATTTTATTTTCTAGGAACCCTAACAGATCAGGGAGATAAGGTTAAAAGTCATATATGACTACACGCAACGAAACGTAAGAACTGAATTTCAAGTAAAAATTAACTACAATGCCTAATCACTTATGAGCTCTGTTCCAGGGACGAAACAATAATTAAGATTAAACTACAGGAAGAAAGGAGTCACGACGGACATGATGAACTCCACCACAAAAGGAATCTGAGGACCTGATACAGTGCAGGCAAAAGAACCTACAACTAATGAGATGATGTTAACTCGCACAATGAGGTATGGAACAGCACAAACACCAATAAAAGAAGTGAGAATCTTTGAAAATTTATACTAACGATGTTAGTATCATTAATAAAGGCTCTGAACCGACATTTGTAACTAACAGAAGAAAAAAGTTATATAATCTCTCTGCCACTCAGTCACTTTCGTTACATATTGTCTTATGTATTTCAATCTGATTTAAAGATATGATCTTCGTACGGGAAAACCTTCAAAACGTGCGCCAGAACGTAATGAAGGTCAACATTTCCATTAAACATAGTAAAAAATCAATTTTCGTAACAAAAGTAATTATTTTCTTAAGCATTGTTTATGACGTAATTGTTTATATGGTTATGCTTATGTGTAGAACCCAATATGTACAAGTATACAATTAAATTCAATAATATTCAACTAAATAACTAAAGTTTAAAACTTTA